TTTTATATAATTTAAAATAATAACATTTGAGGGTTGTAATCGACACCTTATAATAGGTATAAGTTAATAGTACCTAGTATAAAATTACTACATAACATTCCACTTTTCTTTTTTGATCACTAAGTACAACTTATAATGAATCGCCTGTTAAATTTGTATTAATTTTTGTTATATCCTACGCATATTCCCTACCAAAAACAAATTACTTACCTAATAACATAAAATGTCTAGAAATAGCTCAATAATCAACAAATTTAAGACGTCTATAGAATGCAAATATAAGTTTTCTGTCAAAATTTCAAATCTCTCTAAGAATATTTTAAACTGAATTACAACAAAAAACAAAATTCAAAATAATGAAAGTATTATTTTATTAAAAAAACTGCAGACAAAATCAAAAATTGTTTTTTCGTTAGACATTTTTTGTCTTTGTTTATAGATATAAATTAAACAACTTTATATATCCTAACTCTCCCAATACCTTCCCAACTCTCCGCCTAAAATACCCATCAGCAGTATCTGCTTTTATTTAAAATTTTAATGCCTAAATGTATATTTAAAATATATTATTTTCATGTTATTCTGGTATTTGGATGTTTCGAAATCAAGCCATAGAAAACTAGGCACGTTTTTCTCATAATAGAACATTTAACTCAAATTTTCGTTAGGTAAACCAACCGTCATGACAAAATATAATATTTGTTTTATATATTACGCGTCATAATTATTGTTAAAGACCTAGTAGTAAAACATATTATTATTTTAAAATAAGTATGATAAAAACAAAATAATATTTTAGGTATTCTATATAATATATTATTTGTTTGTTAAATTTTATGTAGATTACTTTTGTTAATAAGTATTAAGTAAATCGTAACAAACGAAATTCACGAAATACATTTTTTCACTATATCCGCCTGAGTAGCAATCATTAGGCGTATACGGAACGTACCTTCGACATACCCTGATTTTGGCCCTCAAGCATCTCTTCTTGATTACTAGTCTATTTTTTATAGGTCTTTTATGAACAGGAATACTCGAAAGTTGTATATATTTGTTTCTGATCAAAAATCTGTATAGGATAACAAACTTACTTAACTAACTATATACTTTTTTATGATCGGTACTCTCCAGATTATCTACATTGTGACTTTTGAAATTCGAGACTTCGAGTCTTACACAATTGTAATATATTACAGCTGCGGATGATTTTTTTGAAATACTGAGTAAAAGAGCTTTACACTCTATAAAAATCAGAAAAATCATACCCGATTTCTGCAAAACAACCAAAATATTTACCGATCTATGGTAGCTGGTGAGCATTAACTAACGAAAAAGTTAACAACCTACCAATTATTGGTGTCATTAACTAATTAATTTAAGTGTTAAAGCAAAATTAAGGAGTTTTATGAACTCAGCTTTTTAGATTAATCTATTGTAAAAAAATTTCGTATTTAGTAAGACACAAGTAGACAGATGGAAGACGAATTTAGTCTGTTTTTTTTTTTAAGGCACAAAAACTCAGACCGACGACCGGATTTATCGGTATATTATACAGGACAACCTCCCATATATCCTACAAAGATATACCCATTGTATTATCTCCGGAGATAATAAAAATAATCAAATTCTGTTTTTTTTTTTATGTATTACTCACAGGAATGGACTACAATTATTTATATTGCAATTAATTTTTTATTTGTGAAAAACTTGAAGATAATTTTATAGAGATTTTTGAAAATTTTAATGTAACTACTTTTTTATTTTCATTAAATGTTTAAAGTTCTGAGAAAAATACCTATAATTATACAGCAAACTGTAATCGCATTCTCTAATTGATTATTGTTATTATTATTACGATTAATTGACTGTTCACTTCTTTTCTCTGAACTTTGAAAAATTATTAAAAACCACGAATTAAATGAAAATAAAGTTGATAGGTACGTAAAACTATTCAGAATAATAAACTCTATAAAATGGCTATCTTCAAATTTTTCAAAAACAATAAAATAAAGTTATTTTTTTTTTTACCAAAATTCTTATCTCAATGAGTAATATAAAAAAACAAATTTAGATTATCTTTATTATCTCCGGAAATATTACAATATGTATATCTTCGTGGGACACCCTGTATAATAGAGGAAATGTATACCTATTTTGAGATTGCAGCAAGACCGGTATAAACGACCGCGCAAAACGATTAGAATGCAACTAGTTTGGCGATACGATCACAGAATAATTTTACGCCCGTTGATAATTATTGTTAAAAACTCGAGATAATCCCGTCAACGGTAGATAAATAGATATAGATACTATAATTTACACGACATTTTAATATATAAGGGTGCCTGACATCGCAATAACGAACGGATATGGTAAGTACTCGATATTCATGGGACGGCAGTTTTTCAATTTCCACGATCGCTAGAATTATTCAAATAATTGTTGATGGGTTGTTAGTACTTGTAGTAAACAGTTGTAGTCATCCACTGTTTTAAATTCTGACCGAAGTTATTTAACAAATATGGTTTTCATAATACGTGCCTGGATTTGGAAAAATTAATCAGTGGAGAGAAATTCAACTGTTGTTTTCCCGTTGAACCAAAGTTCACTGTAAAAAATGTTCTTTTAAAAGTGGAAGAAATAATTGGAAACAAAGTTAACACTCAAACCATAAAATAATATGCATACACAAACATGGCAAAAATGAGGTGTTGTAGCCCCCTTAACCCGCTGGGCCCTAGCTATGCTTCTGAGTATACCTATAAACTAAGTTACCTTATGTATTATAGTACCTTCCTGACTTCCTACCTATAAGACCGTGGCTGACCTTAGAGCAGTGGTCCCGACATTTTTTAATTTCAAAATGGTCCTCATAATACAAAACTTCTTGTTTTCAATTCCGTCCAAAACTGACGTATTAATAATATAGATACATAAATATTAATGCATTCAATGAAGCTAGTCAAATATTATAACAATATCGTTTGAATAAATATTGCATAACTATTACGAAGATAGAAGAGTCTAATGTCTATATAATAATTATTATTATCATAAATTTCATAAAGTAAGTGTATAATATTAACCCACATCGACACGTTTCTCGATTATATAAAGGAATTTAGGAACAATATTCTCACACGCCAAAAAAAATTATCACATAAGCATAATATAGGTAGATAACACAAATAATGGTAACAAACGCAACACATAATAATATAACATAATCATATTTTTTAAAACACGATAGTAAACGATAAGTGATAAATAACTGTTATGGTTATAGGTGCTTATTAATAATACCAAATTTATTTCGACAATGAGTATAATCTTTTTTTTTTAATTTTGAGATGTGATAGCAGCCTGCATGTATGTTAAAGATTCGCATTTTGAACTATTACATAATAAACAGTAAACACTCGAATATTATTGTATATTTTAAGGAACAATGATATTTATACACTCTAAATTCTATAATAAATATATTATGATAAACGTTCGAATCCCGTCTGAAGTATCACCGAATTCATTTAGACCTTTTAAGGATTTTAACCCTGTCATGGTTTGACCTTACCAGGTTTTTAACTGTAAGAAATTTAAACTTTTCGAGATTTTTTACAGTATTAAGGTTTTAACCCAGATCCACGTATTAGTAATATAAATAAATCTTTTCTCACTAGTACAATTAGTACAATACAGATATAATGATAAAGATTTTTAACGTCAAAAATACTAAGGATGTAAAAAAAAGATGCGATCGAATACCATGTATAAAGTGAAAAAGTTTCAATTTCACTATTCTCATTATTATATGAGTATATACCAAACGACAATAGGTAGGCGTATTACACTAAACATATTATTGTGTAATTTTCGTGGTTTTTTTTTTTTTTATAATTTTCATTCTACAAAACTATTATTGTTTTAAGCGTCAAATTCTCGTCGAAAATTGCATACATTATTTTTTTTATTATTATTATTATTATCATTGCTCGGTCTAGTGTTTGACAAACACGTACAGGTATATTTACGTCAACTGATTGAACATAGAATATACATATGATTATTATCATAATGGATATACCTATGTACTTAATACTTGCAAATATATTTAACTTTAATAACTCCAACAGTCGGTGTTTAATTAACGTTTTGCCGCGGTCTTAAAATTTTAACAGCGTGCAAACGCTCAGAATACATTTCAATAATTGTATTTAATCGATGTCAAATAGGTAGATATATCTGTACGGCGATGAGGTATGAGATTTTTGGTTTTTTTTTTTTTTTTCAAAATATCAAAGCTTCGAGACACTTTACTGTAGTTCACTCTCGCTAGTACAAGATTTATACATCCAAAATAATATAATATTAGCTAAATACCTATTATATGTATATAATTATGCATGTCAGACAAATAAATAATTTCCAAAAAATAACGAATAATTAATTTTTTTTACGGCACGGAATTTTCCTCATGAATCTATATACATTTTTTATGCTAGTCGACCAAATTAATTCGAAATGTATTATGTGGTTATGTACTCGTATATGAGTTTGAAAATCTGAGAATAATAATAATATATACATAACAAGTGATACAAATTATTTTTCGGTTAACCCCCCCAAAAAATAAACGATCGTTAATATATTATTGTACTGTTTACCGGTTTTATTAATTGTCATGTCCCGCTGGCCAAAGACACATGGAACAATTAATAATATTACCATAATATATTATTATTATATTACATGGGTGGGTGGGTATACTCGATGAAAAAAAAGAGTGAGCAAACACGTGGACAATATTTATGGTCGAGTAAGTTCTGTGACCGTTTTACGTGTGATAATAATATAATATACAAATGACAATGGTGGTGGAAAGAATACACCTTTTTTTTTTTTTTTTTTTTTTTGTAATATTTAGCATCTAATATAATTGTAATACGTGTACTTGCCAACGTTATTTTTTTTTACTAAGTTTAATGGAAGGGGATTGTCGGTATATGTATTGAAACAAGTGTTATGGGCCCCGCAATTGCTGGTGAAACGGTAGCGATCGAAAATTTTTTAACGCACTGACATTCGTACTTTAATTGTCGTACGGCGCGGACCACCGAGTCAGTGGCGACACGCAACGGGACAGAAGATATGCCGGCTAAACCTGCAGCAGATATCCTGGAACGCGAAGGCCGATTCAGTGATGTGTCTACCTGTAGTGCAAACGTAAGTATTAAAACTGCTAACGATCGCCACGTTATTATAGCGAATTATATTACTTAATTAACGATATACCTACAACACTGTAATCGAGTACGTAATATTTTTTTTTCGACGACCTGATCCCTTGAGCCAAGAGGACAAGTTTGTCTATATTGCAATTACAATCAATTTGTTCGTTCGGCTCGAGTCATGAGGATCGTCAATTATACGACTTGCATAATAACACACTAATAATACACTCAAACTTTGTTATTATTATTATTTTTTTTTTTTTTTTTAATATTTAAATATATATGTATACATATATATATATATGTATTATTATTATAATTGTTATCGCCGCCGTTTATACGTTTTACGGACTTTTTGTTTTTGTTTTCATTTTAACGAATTTTATACTGTTGACAATTTTTCAAATACTTCCGTGTATTTTTATTATTTTTATATTATTATATAATACTATACGTGTATTTTACTGATCCTATTATTTGTGTTTAACTTTGTAATTTGGTATTTGTTAATTTTATAGTAGTATTGAAAAAGTATTGAACGGACTAAAAATTAATTTGCTTTCCCATATACAAACCCAGGTTTATGTTGTTTAATATAATAGAGAGTAAATATCAATATACATGTATAATTTTGATAATTAACGTTTGAAATACTTTTTATACAAAACGTCTCATCATTCTTGCATCATATCACATGATATAAAATATATATGTACTTCTCTATATTATATTATACATTAGTTGAGCGGAAATGAATTTTAAAAATCACGTGGTGTTGGACCAAGTCCGGATAGAGCGCAAAATTATCCTTGTTTTTAATTCAGTTTATGTGAATTTGATATATTTCTTATAATTTTGGGCCGGTAAAAATTCTAAATCTCGGTGCACCCAAACCAGAGCTCATTTGACTTATAATATTCTATTTCCGTTCGACTGCACCACTCGTTTATTGTCATCAATTATTATTGTAGATCAGTACATTATAAATTAGTAAATTTGTATAGTAAATATTTACTACAAACAAAAATATTTTGCGGTTTTCCAATGTTTTTCGTCGCTTCTCATCTCGTTGGTGAAAATCGTCTTACGGAGTGTTAGAAAAAAAAAACAATATTATCTTACATATACCTCTGCTACATGCGTACCGCGATTGTATATCATAGAAAGTCGTTTCAAAGAAAAAGGGAACGAGGAATAGGTTAGGTTACGCGAATATAGGTGATCCCGAACCAGCACAAACTCGAAGCATCTTTTACACCGTCCCTATTTACATAGGTGCAGGAGTCACAGTATTACGTCACAGTGTATGGGTAAATGCCAACGATGGGAAACTGTTTTTTTTTTTCACGGTTTATGAATATCGGAAAGGACACTCGTTTCATAATGTAAAACAATATTATACGCATGTGTAACTCACGACGACGACGTTCAGTTTGTTGTTTTCGACCGAATATTTGTCATTGTAATGCGTTCGTTATCGCGACCCGTGTGTGTCCCCCCTAAAACCATGTAGTTGCCTACCTGTATATTATGTATTATGACAATCTTATATTCGGATTTTTTTTTTCAGATTCTATAGTCGAATAACCTAACCGAGGAAACGAGAGTTTCCGCGATAACGTCCGTGCATATACACGCCGTGTACACTATTAATATGAATTAAATGATATTATAATGACGTACAGTATATAGGTACCTATCTCTATAGTAGTAAAACAAACCTATGCGTGGTTATTATTATCGATATCATCGCATTGGTGATATGCGATAGATAGTAAACAGACATACACAAAGTCAAGTGCCATGACTGACAACGTCAACGCGTTGGGATATTATAAATAGGTTACTTATAGGTTATATATATAGTGTTTCCCAACTGGTGTTACGCGGAACCCAAAAGCTCCGAGAACCAGCACCAATGGTGCCTCGAGGAATTTGAGAAAAAATCCAAAATACATAAAACGTTAAAAATCGTCCTTGCTTTTATTATTATTTTACTAACGCACTCACTTTTTTGCCGGAAGTCTAGATGAATATCCACTCATTTGAATATCCAAAAAATATGTCTGCGTTATGTGGTTATGAAGAAAATGGGAGTTCCGTAAAATAGTCAAGTTCTTGAAAAGGTTCCGTGAGTAAAATAATTTGGGAAACAGTGGGTTATAATATTAGGTATGACGTATAAAATAGGACCATTCTAAACAGAAAATAAACCACGATCTTCTCTCGAAAATAGCCAGATACCAACACAATAGTATTAGAATATACCTTACCTATCTATCGGAATTTGTCGGAAACTGGACGATATCGAGTGAAATAATCGGCCTCAGAATGCGTATACAATATTATAATCTACGTGATTACGTTATATATTATATAATGCGACGAATATTAGACTAATAAAAATAATACTATAATATAAAGTAAGTTTGGTATATGGCCAGTGGCGTAGCCGGGAGAGGAGTATTTCAACTCCCCTCGCATTGCTTTAATCAAATGTTTTAACCTAATAAATGTATTCATATTATTGTATACTACGTTAATTCTACTTTAAAAATTGTGAAATTTTTTTGTCATACTCATGAAGATTAAAGATATCACTAATTTATCATAATCACTTCATTTACTATTAGTAAATGCATAATAACTACGACTTAAGATATACTTAAATCGTGATAATAACGGTTAACGGGATCAAGTAAATTTATCATTATCATAAGCACGTTGTGATTAGTGAATTAGTTGAACAAAACACTTCTAAAACTCATCTAGAGATCAAATAGATTATTATTATATTATATTATATTATAATTGTTTAAATCATTTATCACGATTTTTTAACAAACCGTTTTATGACTATTCTAACAAGTAAAAGCTGATTACAATATTAATCACAACATTTGATACATTCGTGTGTTTATATTCATAAATGTTACTGTTTAGTGTTTAGTGTTTTCCGGGAAATAATAATGTAGCCGGAAGAAGTTTTGAATCAATTAGCAGTGAAACATGAAAAATACATCTGTTTTAAATTAACATATATAATAGTATATGTATACCTATCAATAGATTAATTTTTCTTTTCTATTTACACCACTGAACTTGGTACTTAAATATCTCAATAAGCGTATACCTAAGACATTGAGCAAAAAACATAAAAAAAATCTTTCCTAGGATAATGAGGACGGGTGTACCCACTATTATAGGTGAGAATTTGGAAAGGTAGTAATAGAGAGGTTTACAATTTAATGTATGTCTGTAAGGAACGATTAACCATTGCTAACGAAAAAACGATTCTGAGCGGAGTTCGATTGATACTGTAGCTTTGTCAATAATATATATGTCATATTATGGTATAATAATTACATATGCATTACCTATATATTTTCTTTAATACTATTTGTTTAATATTGTACCTATTTTCCCGTTTTCCTGCGTTTTCTCGGTTTTTCCAATTTATTGGGAAAATCGAAAAATGACCTCCTTAGAGTATTTCTCTAGTTAGATTTCCTTTTAGAAAAAATTTTATCATTGTAAATCAGAACAAAATGTCTTGTATAAAAGCTGCCCACAGAAAAAAAAATAAACATCATTGTAAAACCAATACATTCCTCGCTCCATTCAGAATCTAAAACTGTAAAAAGCTAATAGTATAATTCATACTTCAAATCCCCCCTCCTCCCCATTTCATAATCCTGGTTACGTCACTGTATATAACACAAATACAATAGCGTACAAGTAAGTTTAACTATTTATAAAAAAATACAAAGAACTATTTATCCTTTTTTTAAATACCTATATAAGTTAAGTTAAGGAGATAGATGACAGTGTATATTACAGTAAATTTAGATCTAAACGCCATGACAAAACTGTAAGAATTGTGTTTGGCATCCATCACCAGAAATATCCATTTTGAAAACGGATTACTTTACTAGGATATGTTGGAAACAAAAATTTAATTGGTTTACTGGAAATTGTAAACAAATTTAGTAATAGTTTTTAAAGATTTTGAAAAATACACTTTTCGCTTTACCTTTTACTTACAAAAAATAAAAATAAAATTCAACAATTAATCTTAATCCATTCCAGAAAAGAACCTAAAGAATAATAATACGTTTTTACAATATTATTGAAATATTTCAAATGCAATTCCTATAGTTTTGTCTAGCTTTTCCGTCTAAAATTCTAAATCATCATATTTACCTTTTACTATAGATACACTTTTTAATTGTATAACGAGAACGTGTATATTAAAATTTTTATTGTACTCAGATACCTAAATTCTATAGTTTTCAAAGATTGTCAAATTTAACTCGATTAAGTTAAGTTACGTAAAAAAATACCTTCAGTTAGTTAACGAAAAATATAACTTAACGTAATGGATATTAAGTTGAAATGAAAAAATGAAAAAAAAAAAGTTAAATAATAAAATATTTTAAAACATTCAATATTCGATATAGGTATTAGTTTCACTGCTAAACTTTTTATATATTGTTATATGCAATTAAGCAATTATACAATATACCTATACCGGGTGATCCATTTAAGTGGGTACACTTGTTATCTCGAAAAGTATTAACTTTTTCGGGATTTGTTTTCTAGAACATTTAAGAAACAAGCAGCTCTACAATTTTATATTTATGTTATTTTTTTTCACCCTTATTTTTGGAGGTAAAACCACTATTTAGTATTATTAACATGCTACGCGCTGTACCGCCACACAAATAATACTCCAATACTATCTCCTCCAACCTAAGCTTAAAAGTGGAATGTTTCGTCAACGGCTTGACAGAAATCAAACATTTCAACACTAATTTATTTTAACTTATCTATTTATCGACATTTTAATATAGGTTTCCATTTGAAAATCAATAGCAGGTAGTGGTTTTACTCCCACAAATAAGGGTAAAAAAAAACAACATAAATATAAAATTGTAGAGCTACTGTTTCTTAAATGTTCTAGAAAACAAATTCCGGAAAAAGTTATGACTTTCCGAGATAATGAGTGTACCCACTTAAATGGATCACCTGGTATTATTTCTAATGGTAATACATATCAGTGCATATTTATGTATGAACTACAACACAATTAATTGTGCACTACCAAATTTATAATCCAAAATCGAAGTCCAGTGCGCGTTGTAGGAAGTTTTACTATTTTCAATGAATTCCAAAAAAAAAAAAAAAACGAGGCGTATGAGTTAAATATGTTTTGATAAACTTTAATAAAAAATTATGTTAGTTTTTAACTAAATGTTAAATAAATTATAATTGTCCGTGTTTTTTTATCTCAATATTTTGAGCATTTTTGTGGCACCAAAAAGTTTTATCCGCATAAATCAGAAAAAACCACACTTCGTAAACCAATTCAAATACATTTCTCAATCTTTATAGAATCTAAAAGAAAAAAATTGCAATAAGTCATTTATAATATCAAACACAATATTTGTATTTTACATAAATGAAAATGTCGCGTTTTAAACGAAGCAATTTAAAATCCCCACAAGTTAGTATATTAATCGTATAATTGGGAAGTACCAATTTACTCGCTATGAATGTTACACCCACGTATAACTTTTTGCATACACGTGAATCAATAAGTAAACATAAAAACACATGTAATATCGTGTTCGATTTTCGTTTACATTCTACGAAACATTCGTCGACTGGTTTATAAAAATGTTTTCAATCATGACTATATTATGCACTATGTAGTGCTTGACTAAAATAGAAGACTAACTACAGAGGCTTCAAAATTATTCACCATTGCCGATGATTGAACTCAACCTAACTTGTGGGAGAAAAAAACCACAACCAACAATAAATTCTGTCTAAGTTGTATTTATATTCATACATTTATTTCATTTATGTTTTTTACAAAATTATTCCTTACGAATTTTCGTAAAATAATTAATGATTAGGTTTTAGTTAAACTAATTATACGTTAAATCACATTGGGCAAAATAACAAAACAAACATGATAATAAATTAGTATTTTTTATTGAATGATAAATTCAAAAAAATAAAATCAATTTACTTGAGTTGATGATTACATGTTTTTTTTTTAAATATCATTATTTTCAAAAGAGACGAACCATCCTTCAAGAAATAATAAGAGGACATTAAAAAAAGAAAAAGTATTAGAGACTAGAGGAGCTCTGCTCCCCTGCGCTACCCACTTCCCAATTCTAGTACTATATTATATATTATTATTTCATAGTATATTCATATTTTATAATATGGATAGCTATATAACATATGGATGAAACAATAAGCTTGAGGCGCGATCGTATCAAATGGAACAAGAAAGATAGACTGATGTAGTGGACTGAGACGTGAGAGGAGAAAACACGCACTGCTCCAGTTATAATACCCCGTTTACATAGTTTATTCCAGTGACGTTAATATATAAAAGGGAGATTTTAAGGGTTTGATACCTTCTCGCCTATAGAACCGTGCCATAAATTATTAATTTTATTATGTATTATATGTATTGTTGAATGTATTTATATAGTATCTCGTATATTAGATATGTTTTTATATCGTAACTAAGTAATCAAAATATTAATTTCTTGTTCACGATAATGTTTAAAATAAACCATTAAAAAAAGGCAATATTTTATAATCAGATAGGTTTGATAGAGTACGTACGTAATAATCGTACGTACTCAAAAATGACAATTTATTGTTTTTTTTTTTTTTTTTTTGAGTGGATACGATATTTCAACAATTACGTTAATAACACGAAAAAGTAAAAGGTGGACAATTCACAGTGCATTTACTTAATATACAGAGTCGGTTATTTGCACAATACGTTTGTACTATAGCAATAGCAGCTAGTATAGTTATAGCATTTTAGTAAAATGGAATATTCATATACACGTAGTTAGTAGATAAAAAATAGTACCTACACGGTAGTAGATATTGGTTAGTAGAGATAGTGAAACAAAATATACATATCAGCTAGTCGCAGGGTTAAGTAGTCATCTAATTGTTCACACGATGCTAATTCAAGCATAAACTAAATAAAAGAACTGATACTGGGGACGGGTGCAGTCACTGTTGTAGGTGGGAAGTTGGGAAGGAAGGATACATAAGGTTATTTCATTTATATCTGTAAGCAACGATAAACCATTCCTGACGAAGGACGATTCCGAGCAGTTTGGTAATATATAATTTGAAGTACCATAATTTTTGTTAATTTTAATTAATAATTCAACAAAAAAAGGTTTCTTGTTTTTCAATTAGTGCCATATTTGCTAGAAAATGTGGTAAGTACTTATTTAAAATAACGAAATCGTGAAAATATCATATTTTTTTCCCGGTTTTTTTTTTTTTTTTATTAAAAGGAAACTTTGTTTACAATTAGTTTCGACAATTATAATAATTACAAAGATAGTACATAAAAGTATATAAAATTAATGATTGAAGAAATATTACAAATAAATTAGATTTTTAAACCAGCCTGGTTGATGAATGATATAAGTGAGATAATAATTGGTACAATAAGTGAAGAGAGAATGAATTTGGTGTCGAAAGGGACATTAAAAGAGTGAATTAGGGTGGAAAGGATCTCGCGTTGGGGAGCCTGAAACGGACAGTGAAAAAATATGAGATATCGCAGATAATGGGATCGTGGACATGTAACATGCAAAAAGAAGAGTTATTAAGAGAAAGTTTATAAGAGTGTGAAGGTAGTAGAGTGTGTCCATATCTTAGGCATGAAAAAGAAGTAATTAAATTACGATTTAATTTGAGGTTGTGAAACCAAGGTTGGGAGGGTATAGATGGTGAAATATATTTTTCCCGGTTAATCGTTTTTATTTTAACCGTTTATACCATTTCAAAAATCATAATGTAGATAAAATTTACTTTCAGAAAAAGTGCTACACATATACATCGGAGCAAGTTTTCTAGGAAAAAAGTGATCTACAGTATAAAAAAAAAAAATTACCATTGTAAAAAAATTAAAAAGGGAAAAAAGTCGTCCGATGATTTTCGAAATTTTACCACGTCTAGGTAAGTTGAATATAAGTATTATCACTAAGTTTCAAATCTCTACGTGTATTTATAACCGAATTACAGCAAAAAAACTCCTAAAAATTCAAATTCCTCAAAAGAGGCTTAACATTTTTGGCAATGATACCATAAGAAAGTAAATCAAAAAGGCAACAAAAAAATATATCTTGTGATTTTTTGATTAAATCATTTTTCCTAGTAGTAGTAGTCCATGTTTTTATAAAATAATACAATTGTGAAATTGTACGTTTTCTTACGTTTTTTGCCACTTAACTGCTTTTATTTAAAAAATGGCTTCGAAAATCAACCTATTTAAAGTACAATCTAGACAACTTGAGCTTTCAGAAAAGTTGCTACACAAAAAATCGGAACAAGTTAACTAATAAAAAACATGTCCACAGACTAGAAAAAAAAAATAAACAGCATTGTAAAAATATTAGTAAATGAATTAGTAATAAAGTATACATTTTAAAAAAAAATTTGACTCCTAATTTAATTTTAGAATTAAGGTGGTACGCGTATAGATCCCATAAGTGTAAGGTGGTTTTCGGTGATAAAAAGGTTGGGAACCCCTGATCTAAAGATTTGAAAACACACAGGAAGAAGAACTATTTAAACTGGTGAAGAAATATCTTGTGATAGAGATTTACCTTTTCATAAATATATAACTAAAAATTTAAATTTAAAAAATTTTCAAAAAAGATGATGAAAAATTTGGAACTTGAACTTGAAAAATTACACTTTTCTACTGAATATAACTTATTAAGTAATGTCAATTAATGAAGTCTAGAAACATATGCAGATAATATAATAGGAGTAGCAGTATGGCTTTAAAAAAGGAAAATTACCTCTCTAAAGTACTATCTAGACAACTTGAGCTTTCAGAAAAGTTGCTACATGTAAAAGTTGGAGCAAGTAAGTGTCCACAGACTAGAACAAAGAAAAACAAAAAATGGAATAAACAGCACTGTAAAACCAATTGCGTCCTCGGGTGGATATGCGACCAAGGCTCCATGACAACCGCGGAACAAACAAGTCGCCACCGCATAAATATATACTCCACACTTCATGTTCATTACACTAGAACGTTCGTCACTATAAACAGTTATAATAATATATTACTACGATTTAATAATTTATATCTTATAAATATTTTTAAACAAACCTATACAATTTGAATAACGACTTTTCGAACTGTTCGGATCGCAATGTCAGAAAAGGATATTGCCAGGCAAATTTTATCCGGTTACATAGATAGAGAAATCGATTTGGAAAATCAATTGAAAGAGATGTTAGTTGCGTTTTTATTGTAATATCTGTGTTTGCACATAAATATGGTCATCAGTGGCACAGCCAAAATTTATTTGAGGGTAGGGAGCTCCAAAGACTTATTTTTTCACAAAATTGATAATTTTTTCCCCACATCAAATTCCAAATTAAATAAACAATTTTCACATACAGCTTTTTATATACATGGCAGAATACAAGGGAGAGGGGGTCTGATCCGGGCACCCCCACCCACCACTCTAGTGACGTCACCTATGCTCATCAGTTATCTTTATTTTTTTTTTTTAATCTGGTATTGTCGTGCTCAGACTAAGTAGACGGAAGACGACAACGGCAGTGGAAAAAGAAGATTTTTTTAAGATTCGCCGAGAAAAGTTGGAAAAACAAAGGAAAATCGCGAAAAAAAGAAACGAAACGTTTTTAAAAGTAGGTACTTAATAAATTTTATGATATTATACTTATCTTTATATTTAGATGCTGTGATATTATTATGATGATTTATTTATTTATTATTACAATTTAAGTCATCAATAACGTCAAATTTTAGTTTGGTTACTTTTCTTTAGTTTTAAATAATCGTCCTTTTAAAAATAGTGCAACATTTAAAAGGTAGTTAAAACGATTGAGTTTAGTTCAAATATGAAAATTTGAGATATCTATGTACCTACAAAGTTTGATTTAATGTTACAACACATTTTCTCTTCTTTTAAGTAAATTATTTTTTTATTTTTTTAATTCATTCTATGATATTTTTATCAAATTCATTTTTTTTTTTCATTTTTTGTAAATTTTTAATTTGAAATGGTAATGAACATTAAAAATAAACAATTTATATTTATTCAATTAAGATAGATATGGTATAACATTTACTAATGAAATTTCGGAAGTTTAAATGTATATTGAGTTATTTAATGGGGGGGGGAGTGGTTTAAATATGTGTTAATAATAGTAGATATTTGAAAATTAAGGATTTATATTAATGTATTATGTATTACACTTGATAATCTTTTGGTTATAATAATTTTTTTTATTATAAATTGTAATTGATATTTATAGGAGCTTGAACACACTACTGCAAAACTAAGAGCATCTCTGGCTTGCGACGACATTACCGACGAAAAACTGGACATTGAACGCAAAAGATTTATAGATTACATTCGGCAGAAACGAAGGCAGTCATCTACATAGAAAGCCTAGCTTATAGCTATGTTAGGATACTAGACGGAGCAATGTCGCAACTAAGTTTTTTCGGGCCTCTGAGCAGCAAAAGTTTTAGTGTACCAATTGTCTGTACATCATATAACCTCCCTCCTATAATAAATCACTTTCAACCCTACCACAAGTATAGTAAAACAGTAATGTTTCGTAGGACTATTTCTCAAATTTGTTTACATCATTGTTCAGTAAACAAAATCAAAAACATTAAGATCACAACTTAGAATTATATTTAAATACCACTTACTCATCTAATTTGATAATAAAATCAAAATAAAGAAATATCTACATGTAAAATAAAACGTAACTATTACCAGTATTATTTTAAATAATCAAAGTATAAATCTTTATTTTAATACTTCATCCTCCTTGCCTTTAAATTTGAAAAATCTATTATAATTTGATCTAAAGGTAACTTTAGAACGATATTGTTCAATATTTGATAATCAGTTCTGTCCCATTGCGTTCATAATTTTTAATTATTTTCAATTTAGAAAATGATTTCTTGGCACTAGCAACTGTGACTGGCAAATTCATAAAAATAATACAAGCTCCTAAAACTTCTGAATAGCTACAAGATAAATTATTTTCTAAAATAAATAGTGCTAAATCACGAATAAACCACATTTTTTAATTTTTATTGTTTCTTTAAGAGACAGAATTTGACATGTTAACTCGGAACTAACGTCCGACTTGTAATTTTGAATAAAATCAAAACAAAACAAAACCGCTTTTGATTGTTTCAGTTTATTCAGATTTAATAATTGATTCCGGCTTTAATAATTCGAACATATTACAGACATCTCGAAAACTTTCAAATCTTGATTTAAGCTCCACCAATACAGTATCAAAAAGGGAAAAAAATATGTATATTTTAAAATTATTTTCTGTGATATTTAACGTCACAATCCACTTCATCAAACCATTTTTTTTGCAAGTTGTTGTCTAGTTTGTAAACTATTAAATGTAACTATCAAATAATTTCTGGTTTCACCCAATTATTAAGAAAATTACATGGTAAATAAAAAATTGATTTTATTTACAAATTAGACAAAATTATCTATCAAAAGATATACAACTCTTTTATATTGAAGCAAGGTTTCTGGAAAAATTTAAAATAATAAAATCGTTAATGCCGTACATTTTTAACTTCAGAGCGTAGCAAGCGATCTATTGGTTTTACTATGCTTTAATAATAAAAATCTTTTTTTTTTTAATTGTTTGTATCTGTAAACAACTTTTCCACCAGAAATCTTATTTTAATGTATAGTGTAGCACCTTTTCTGAAGGAAAATTTTCTCTTGTTAGTGCATTAAGAAGTAATTTTTTAATTTTCCTACGAGTTTTAAAAATAACTGAAAAAAAAGAAAAGAAAATTATTAGGAATATTGTAAAAATTTAAGGTGCGCCGCGGAGTTGTTGATTTCATTGATTTTAATTTTTACAAATTTAATTTTTCTACCAAAAATATTGCTCAAATAGATATACAAAACTTTTATTGTTTAATTTTTAACTAGTTGGTGAGTAAGGAAGTCGCTTTTCTATTGTACCTGTATTTTCTATCTCTGCGAGCAGTTTTTATAATAATTAAACAAAACCGGGGTAAAAATTAAAATAAATGGGAAATGTTATGGATATAATTGTTTCATTTTTTTGTAATAATTTAGTTTAAATATTAGACTAGAAATTTTGATAGAAAATTTATACTAATTTTTTCTAGACGTGGTAAAATTTTAAAAATATTAAAAATAAAATCTATTTTATAGTTTAAATAATGTGGCGCAATCAGAACTTCTTTAAAGCACATGAGAATCGCATGTGCCGTGCCGCTACACAAATGATAACTACTCAAATAAAATTGAAAATTTAACAGGAGGTTCATTATAGTAGTACTTAAGGGGTTAAAACCAAAATTTGAGTGAAATGTATCATTTATTTTTTTTTTAATTTTAAAATCACATTTTTACAAACATTTTAAATATTAAGGCCTTTCAATATATGTATAACGAAATTTTGATCCAAATCATTTATCATTAGCAATGGTTTATCATTGCTCACAGATATAAATTAAATAACTATTCATCTTACCTTCCCAACTTCTCACCTACAACATAGCACATTCACCAGCAGTATCAGCTCTATTTTGTAATAGTGCCATCCAAAACCATTACAAATTTCAATATGTGTATTAAATCAAAAAATTAAAACAACTTTACACACATAAACATGTACCGTATAATATAACGCAATCAAATATTTTACATCGCACAGTTTATATTAAATGTATAATTTTTATAAACAATAAAATAATAATAAAAAAAATTATACAATAAATAAAATAAAATCATATTTTTGAAATATGTTCATACAATATAAATTATTGAGTTTATAAATCATAAACTTATATAAATCATAAACTTATATAAATCCTATACAGTCATTTAAATGAGATAATTTATTAAAATGACTCTATACAGTGTAGCCAATGTAGGTACACACACACATATATATATATATATATATCTATTACAATTTTAGTTTTAACCCTTTATTGCATGCAAAAGCACTGATGCATCGCATTGTTTAATATAGTTTGGTTATAACCGATTAGGTATAATTGGCTGAATTTATGCTTATAACAGTTATAACACACATGCATTACTTAAAAAATTACCAAAATCTATAATTAGAAAACAAAATTGATTTTTTATTATTGATAATCTATTATTATTAATTTACTTTAAAAAAAAAAATCATACAAGAAAGAAAAAATAATAATTTTATTTAATAAAAATTATGATATTGTGTTTGACCCATAGTTGAACTTTTTGCCAGATTTTGCAATTTGCCGGAATGTAATTCATATTGATGTTCTATAAAAATTATACATTTCAAATCAAAATTAATTATAATTTCAATGAAAGGGCTTTATAGAGACATAGTACGTTTCTGAATTATACTTACGAAAACAATTTATTTTGATGGAAAATTTGCAGTTATGTAATGGTAAAGAACAACTAGTAGAAATAAGCCAACGCCTAAAACATTGGCGAATACAGCCAATTGCACATCCGTAATCATCCTGAATGTTAAAAAATTGCATTAAGTATTAATTTTAATATTATTTTATTAAACTAAAGAAAATTAAATGGTTAGCATCTCAAAATATATTTCAGTAAGGTACTTTAAAAATGAATATGTATCTCAAAGAATGTTTGAGGATAACTTTTTATACCTACCAACCTATACATACAAAATACAAAAGCAATGAATTATTTTTAGTGATCTTAAAGATTCAAGATCACCGTATTATTTAATTTTAACTACTGTTTCAACAATATGAATTCAATACTATTATAATTAGGTACATTTGGTTATCTTATGATTAAATGCAGGCTATAACAGTAAAACATATCCTAGAGACAGCAAAATTAAATTAAAAAATAGATATTGTGTACAATATAATAGAAAATGAAATAATTATTTTACACAAATTAATTTAATATTGGTCACTAATGGATCACATCATATAGTTTACACAAATGCTGACAAAACTGATGTTAACAGTGTTTCATTAATTTCACATATAAGTACCCAGATAGCAAACACATTCCCGAGTTGCGGGTCCTGCTTAGAATAGTCGAAACGTATACCTATTCAATATTATATTAGATATTGTAAATTCGTAAACAAATAACATATTTACAGTTGGCAAAGTTCGCATTAAAAATGTTTAAATTTAGGTAATATTTAAATGATATAATCGAATACTCACTTAGGTGACTTGGTGCTCACTTTATCGCAAATAGATACAGATTAATAACATATAATACTGTATAATTTTATAATTTTTCAGAGAAACATCAGAAACAAGAATGACGAAAGGGCAGTGTAATCGATTTGTTCATTTAATGCCGTGTGACGTTGTGTTTAGTGTAGCCGATGACGATATCAAAGCCGATTAGTAAGATATCACTACATGGAATAAAACATGCATGCATTGATTGTTCCATAGTGTGATATCCATTATCAATAACCATGTGCGCCTGTTGAACAACATTAAACATGTCGAATATCGAATATAGTGTATTTAAATATAGTGTAGTTTAAATTGTTTAAACTTTATAATAATATTATTGTATTGCTGTCTATTCTCTGTATACGAGTTTAACAAAATTACAATAGTTACCTACATGTTTTGATCGAAAGATTTAATTTTAATTAATTATGGATCATTTTCACGAAATAATTGACAATACTCCTGGCTATGTCCGACCGGGGAATCAAGTGGACGTAGATTCATTTCTTTCTGCTCGAAATCTGGAAACACAAGCTTTGCTCAATGAAATACGTAATTTAATATTAGAGTCGTATAATTATTAGTGTAAAATAATGAATAGAATTCCTGAGTATTTCCTATAGTACTCCATAATTTAACAACCATTATTAACCAGGTTTTTTTTATGTATTTAAAACAAATTTTCAGAAACTACAAAAAAGAGCAACAAAATGATATTTCAACGGCTTCCAAAAAAAATGCGCCGTAGAGTTATGAGTACAACGGTAAAACGGATGCCAAAAGATTTACAACTTGCTCATAAAAAGTCTGTAAGTATTTATTACCTAAATATGTTTGATGACATACAATATTTTTGTATTGTTAGGTAATAAATATTTTTTTTAAAATTCAATTCAGATTGAAAAACAAATGAATAAACACTTACGGCGCAGAAAAGATTTTAGGTGTAAACCTAAAAATCGAAGACTGGATTATATTCGACGTCAGAAAAACGGACAATGGCTGGAAACTCATGTGTGGTTTGCTAAACGGTTTCATATGGTACTCAAGGACGGATATAAATTACCAAAGAGTTCACATGATAAAACCTATCGAGCGTGTTACAGGGCTATTGGAAACCATTGTTTAGCACAGGTAAACAAATTAAATATATTATAAATTAAAATTTTAATATATTATTATTATAGGATATTTCTTACATTAGTTGTATTGAACTAAAAGGACCTTATGATCAAATAATAGAAGGTTTAATGCATCACGTTAATCAAGACTGTGGACGTACGTTCAAAGCTAAATGTTATGAACGAGGAACAAGAGAAGGGTCAATTTGTGTATACAAACATGACGCTTATCCATATGAAGCTATTGGTCTGGTGTCTTTTAATTGGGATACATTTATTGAAGAGAAATCCAGAGCATTGTGGATTTGGGCAGAACCATTAGTTTATAAGCAATTAGTCAATGAGTTTAAAATTACATTTAATTTAGAACAGAAAGACTTTTTAGAAGTAGAACCTCAAATTTTAAAAAAACCAGAACTTATCAAAAGAATGGCTAATTGTTTAAAAAATACCACGACTTTTATAAAAACTCCATGTTTTATCAATGGTGCTGTGAAGATGACTTTATTAAAAGGTACCCTGAACAGACTCCGATTAACAGGACCGTTATCGAATAATGTTTTAAGTCGTTTGCTATATCCTGCTTCTTTAGTCAATTCAAATAGTTGTAAAGGAGATAATTGGTGGTCGTTTCATTTGAATAATTTTAAAAATTCTATTCATATTCAAAATGAACTTTGGGAGTCTTTCAGTGGTTCTAACAGACCAGAATCTTATTCACCTAATTGTGTTATTGGATTTCATACAATAGATCCAAGATTAGTATTTCCAAAAAAAAGAACAAAGGCTTCACCTGATTCTAAAGGTTTAAAAATATTTACCGATTTTATTTTATTTAAATGCTGCTGCAATTTGTTACAATTATTTTGTTTGTTCTTAGATTTTATACTATCTGAGGACTATTCTATTAATCTACCGACAGAAGCAAGTTTATCTAATATTTGGGATTCAAGTATCCGAAAGTGGTCAACACGCAATAAAATGCCAAATTGTAAAATAAATATGTTACGTAGTAATTGTATAATTTCTAGAAACGATAAAGTTGCATTAGCCGAACACTCAATATCTTGTATTCCGATACTCCTGATCCAACGACCTGGACAATGCTTTCCAATTACCCGTCCAGGTTATTTTTTTTAAAACAAAAAAATTGAACATTTATTTACTATAATATATTTTATTTTAGGCTATGGTAGTGGCTGGGATATTGTGTTGCCGGCAGAATGGGCTATGCCATTTTGGTTAGGGCTAATTATGAACGGATGTCAACCAGGTGGGCTAAGAGAAACTATGACTATGGTTCTAGAACGATGTTTACCACGGTCAGACGAACCTGATACCGATACTGGAAAATTAAGGTCCACGTTAGAAAAAGAAGAAGCCATGCAGAAATATTTTAAGCGTCCTCCACAAATGCGACTAAACTACATTAAATTAGGTTTTCAGACTCCATTTCATTGCCCTTGGGATATTCTTTGTAATGAATGGATGTCAAACACTAACAGAATATTTGTATTGAGAAATATTAAGTTTTTAACTTATCTACAAAATTTAACGTTAAAATTGAAAGACATAATGAGTGTAAACAATTTAAAAACTGAATTTCCAGAGTTACAAAATTGCTTAGTTCCTGTTAGATTTGAAATTTCACAGACAGGTGTTTTGAAACCTAATTCACACATATGTTTACCAACTCCAGATGATTTAAGTAAAGTTAAAACTTACTTGGGTCCTCTAGAAAAACCTCACAAAGATTTGAATGCCACAAAGCGGAAGATTTATCGTTTGGAACACAAAAAACTATTGAGATCTCTGAGACGTAAACGTGTGATGGAAAAAACAATGAGAAACATTCTTTGCAAACGGTTAAAGCGTAAAGTTTCCCCTACATCACAAATAGTTAAAGAATATTTAAATGAAATTAACAAATTATGGATTCCCGAAGAACAATTACCACTAAAACACAGTTGCAGCCGTGTTATTTTAGGTTTTTCAGATAAAAGTCATTACAGTTTTACAAAATCCAAAAATGTAGGTATGGGTTATATGCCTTTTCCAGCACTATTAGAATTATTTAACTTCTGGTCAGTGTCTAAATCAAATTTACCCTACATACTTATACGAAATTCTAATACTTATCAGTATAGATATGCTCTTTTAAGTATAACTAGTTAATATTCTTAATAATAAATTTGTTTATATGCTTAAAAATGTTATATTATGTTGCCATGCAGTAAATAATATGCATTATGTTTAAATTATTATCTAAACAATTAAAATTAAATTGAATCTTTATAATTTAAATTAATATCTTTATATATACATATACAACTAAAAAAAATAGAGTGAGCACGCTTAGTGAATCACCCTATATATATATACTTTTTAAATAATTGATAGAATACTAAGACTAAACTTTATTTCTCCTGATTAAAAGGTTAAACTGACAGCAGTGGAAGATCTGTGTTGTTATTCTACCACATTATTTATAAAAAGGAAAAATATGTACTATACAATATACACGATCCAAGCTGAACAATAAATTGGGGTGTTGAAATAGAGATGTGCACGTCAGTTTCCTGCTCATCCCCTATAAATTATAAAATTACTTAAACCAAGTCTGTAATGTGGTCTTTTGGGTTCGATTCACAATACAAACCCATTCTGATCATTTTTTGTGGTCAGTTTGGCCCGCTAGTTTAGGTGTACCTGATTCAATTGATTTTTTACTATAATTAAAAAAAATGGAAATGAGCTTTTCAGCTGATTTGGTAAACTAAAACCCTTAAAGGAAAACTAAGTGTGTGAACAAACTGTATGTCAATAAATATAAACTTCCAAAATTTGTAATTTTTGGTTTATAACAAGAAATTATATAAATAATAATTTATTTAAACCAAATTGTAACTTTATATAAGTGTCATATAATAAAACATTCAAATGTTTGTTAATTTTTTTAAGCATCCATTTGTGAAAATAAAATACAATTAGTTAATGTACACAATTGGTATATAGTTAATAATTATTATTAACTAGTATTTTACTGAAAGACTTTAAGGCATAATTATATATAAACATGAACTGACAATAAATAATAATGTCTCCATTGGTTAAATATATTCTTATTATAACTTGTAACATTGAATAAAATATTGTTGATAAAAAAAAGAACATGTTTTCTTAAAATGTATTTGTATAAATATAATATAATAATACAAATTATGAATAAATATATTTTAAGCATAATAATTGTAATTAAGATTGTTCTATTATTCTTAAAAAAAAAATCAATGAACATAAACCAATAATTAAATCTAAACAAATTGCGGTCATGGACAAATATTTTAGATTAAAATTATAAGCATTAACTATTTGTTTAAAAAATTATTTTTATATTGAAATATTAAAAAAATAAATAAATAAATATTTAATCTAATACTTAGGGTGGTTTTTTACTAGAATAATATAGTAACTTTGTTAGAGGAAAAATAAATAATAAAACAAAACTTGTTAGAGTAGGAGCAACGCATCAAATAAATAATTATAGTAATTTTGTACATTTTTCTTTTTAATAATAATTTTGGGAAGTTTAAAAATCTCACTCTTCAATTTCCTCTTCATTTTCCGATAGCAATTCTTTTTTAGTTTCTGGGATATCCAATAATACATTTGCGTCTTCAGGATGCGGGACGGAATTCGGACTTTCTGTAGAGCCATTCAGTTTGTTCTAAAATTCATACAATATTATACCAACATTTTATGTAAAAATTAAAATAAAAAATTATTTTTAATTTTCAAAAAAGATAAAGAGTTCAATATAGTTTATAAAATATTAATTGTGCAATAGCTATAATACTTAAAATCAAAAATTATTTTGCTATTTTACTCAGAGTAATATAATTACAAAATAATCATAAGTTTAAATAACAAAATTCAAAATATATTTAATTCGATTACATTTAAAGCTTTATAAACACAAATTAATCGTATACAAAATATCTATACTCTTATATTAATGGTCTATTATTATTAATGTAATCAAAATAATGCAAATAAATCTAACATTCAAATTGAATATTTATAATTTTGATTAAAAAAAAAAAAAAACAGTGTTTCATAGGCGTCATTAGGGGGTAGCAACAGCCTTGTACATTTATTTTGTAGTTGTAAATTAATAGCAACGCTATGAGTAATTTATAAAAAAAAAAAAGTATAATTTTCTTGCTTTTTATTGATTTTTATATGATCACATTAATATAGTTATACTATCCACTAAATTAAATTTAAACATACAAAAATCACAACTGATTACTTTGTTACTTCTATATTTATTTGATATAAGTCTACCTAATTTTGTAAAAAACAATTGATTAGGACTTTTCGACTTTCGACAGACTGCTCCCTTACTTTATTAGACCATAATTCAATTTAAAATATTTAATATGTTTGCTAACCCTCAATTTTATTTCAAATGACGTCTATTTATTGGTCCACAACTAATTTAAAAGAATTTTTATTGACGACATTAAGGAAATATTCAGTTTATTCTCGACAAAATTTAAAAAACTACTTTATGTATTTTAAATATTAATATAGCCGCAGATTAATAAGAATAAAACAAAACAATCATGTTAAAAAGTGCAAACATTATCACAATATTAGCATTCAGTCAATTATTGATCATACTGATATACTTAATAGTAAAAAAACTGTTAGACAACCAAACCACACACAATTTTATTAAAATAATAATTTTGTTAACATTTTTATAACTGATTATTTCAAAATAATTGCTTGTCACCTGTGTGTCAAGCGATTCGTTATCACTATCTTCATCAGAAGTCAAAATCTCTTGCTGATCTTGAATAACATTTTCTTTAATAACTCTATGAATTGTTCCAATTGAAATTCAGTTTTATTTAATTTAACAATACAATTTGATAAGCACAATATCACATTTTCAATTGTCATATAAATTGATAAAAATTTGTACTGTTTACAAATTTAAATTGGTATATTTTAATATTATATAATATTATATATAATAATATTATATTATATAATATTATATATAATAATATTATATTATATTACTTAAGTTTAAACAAAGAATTTTGAAAAAGTTCAAACTTCAAGTTTAAACAGTAGCTATAAATATTTACCATGTATGCATAATAAATACTTAATAATAATATTTAAATTAGTCAATGTAAAAAGACAATTATAATTTTAAATATTTACCCATCATTTGAATCATTATCACCATTGATATTTTCAACTTTAATGTCTTCCTAAAAGAACAAATAAAATATATAAATTTAATTTTATAATATATGTAATATTTATTTCATATCTTACCACAGTAATTGAGCCATTCAGTTCTTTCGGTGGATTTTTGGTAGAAATATCAAAAAATTTGTCTAACTCATCTAATTCGTTTGCTGTATCAAAATCATCATAATCCTGAAATGATTTTATTGTTTCATAGGTACATCAAATTATTAAAATGGACTTAAATTTAAAACCTTTTTAACAGTTAATAATTTAATATTTAGTCTGTAAAATTAAAAAGAAATATTGGATAATTAATAGCAATTGTAATGTTTTTTAGACTTCTTACCAGTTTTTATAACCTAAAAACATAATTCTACAAAATATATCCCTATTTTAAAAACATTTTTAACATTTGATCATAATATGTTTGTGTTAAGTATACTTATTAGAGTAATCAAGTATGATCAGAAATCAATTAGGTATGTAGACAAAATAGATATTATGTTTAACAGAAGTTTTAAACAGCATTTGTATGACAATTGGTTTGAGATTTAAATTAGTTTTTTCTTAATCAATTTCTAACACATTAGTGACTAAGTTCTTGACACAAGACTTACTCAAAAGTAATCAAAATCAGTAATTTGTCCTGTGTGGTCCATAGAAGCACAATACTACATCAACATTTTGCAGAAACTGCTATATATTTTGATGTATGGCAGTTTTTACATTTTGAACTCCAGTTATGAAATAACCACCAATTATTAGCATTTTACTTTTATAGAAATATAAAGAATATATGGTAAATTTAGATTCATACATCAATAGGGGCAATTTCACCATTATTCATTGCTATTAGAAAACTCAATATTTCAGATAAAAAATTGTTGTGCTTTTATTACATGTCCAAAAAGAGATACCTATAATTGATATATCTGATCTTCCCTGTTACACAAAATTAATGAAATTGTGAAAACAACAAAAGTGTTTATGGCAGTGAGAAACTGAGTTGATGACACTATTGGAAAGTGACTCAACAATTGAGTCACTTGGAATGTATTACTAACTGATTAGTAAGCAATAGCCTATGTGGAGCAGTTCTATAATAATACTTAGACAATGATTCAACATGAACTGGTTTAGTTTATTAGAACTTTAGTTCTCCAATTTAAAATAAGATAGGTAATTAATAAACATATTTCAGATTCTGGGTGAATGAAGGAGTGTATTGGTTTTACTATAATGTGTATCTAAACAACTTTCCTACCAGAAATCTTGCTCCAATCAAAACTATATAGGAACTTTTTTGTAGCATTTTTGATGTAGTTGGTGCATTGAAAGATAATTTTTATTTTCCCTTGTCTTAATAAATCAGAAAAACTGGAAATTTTTGTTGATTTCTAAGTTACTCGCACCTTGGAAACAAAAGACAGAATACAACTAATAATGCTCAACTTAAAATTTTTTTTCATTAGCAATGATATATCATCACATCCGGATGTAAATTAAATTACTTTATATATCCTCCCTTACAATTTCCCTCCTAAAACTGTGTAGACACACCCATTATCAGACTTTAAAAAAACTAGGTAGATTACAGTTAAAAAAAACCAAAATACAATTATATGCAATATATTTGTAAGAAGTGAATATTATGAACTTAAGTTAAACATGGTACTATTAAACTATTTTTAATAATGTTAGAAAATAATCAAATAATACTCAAATAATAGTAAGAAAAGTGAACTGTCTAAAGTTGATTGAAAATAATATTATAGTTATTTTTTATTACAAATTAACAGCATTTCAATCATTTACTGTATTTAAAACATGTGAAATATTATCATTGATAGCCATTTGTATAATATACTACTATTTTCCTATTTAAATAACTTTATGTTAACAAAAATATAGATTAAAATCAAAAAGATATATTTAGGTACATAGGTACACTTGTACAAATAGCAAGATAAAATAGTTAAATTGAAATAGATTTTAGAAAACTTGTTATTACCTAATATGGCAAAAATAACTTTCTTGTCATAGATTTATCTTAACTTGACCAAAATTAGGTTAGATTTTAACTGACGTACATAACTAGAAACTCTATAAAAACTAAACACCAATAGCAATTGGTACAAACTATCATACTGATAAAATATATTATATTATACGAATATAATTCCTAATAATTTTAATGAATTTGAACAATAAGTTGTATTTTGTTTTTGGCACTAATGCCTACATCCTATAAATTATAATAGCTACTTACCCCACAATAAATTTCGTTATTGAATATCTGGGGGGGCAGGGCATTTTTTGATCCATCTTTGGTCTTGCTGTTAGTTTGCATGTACATTTTTTCATCCTCTTTGCCCGGTTCAGTGATGTCCACTAGGTCGTACGAAATACTCTTGCTGTCCAATATCATGGTGACTCTCTGTTGGCGTTTTTTTACCTACAAAATGATAGCAAAAGTTATTTGTTATTCGTAAGTAAGAACCGTGACATCCACGTCGTCCGCTTACTTCCTTGTTACCCGATATGCCAGATATGTACACTTTCACGACCATTTTCGAGCGAATAATTTTTACGATAGTCTAAGAGAATATCAATTACTATATATCACACTCAACACGACCAACGACAAAATAGATATTATTCAATACCGGCGATGTTCTAGAAGACGAATTTAGTTAACGAGATTATCGAGGAAGACTGGCAGTATTGCGGAATGACATTCTTCTAATCAAAAATTCAGTGTATGTTATCACATCGGACGTGAAGTAGGGGTAAAATGTAAAAAACCTCATGAGCGCGTGCGTGGTACGAATAACTATTGGCTACAGATGGCCGTCGGTTCTTGAGGTCGGTTTGTAATTTTATTTTTCTGTATATGATTCCTAAATCCTAAGCACCATACATAATAAAGAAAAAGTACAAATAATAAATCACAGAATAGATAAAAATATGATTATATTATAAATAATGCCAAAACGCTGTGCGCTTTGTAAAAAAAAAAAACAGAAGGAATACCAACTTTTAGTGTTACACATAAAAGAAAACTGGACTGGGAATATGTTGTACCAAATAAGTTATTAGTTGGGGATCGCATCTGTCAAGTACATTTCCCAAAAGCATTTTTAGTAAAAGAAAATACTTTCTGTCCCGGAGAAACAAAACGGCATATACCACAGGTAAGTAATCTAATTTAAAAATTTTAATATTTTAAATTGTTAAAAAGTAATGATATATCCAAACCAAAATTATGTCAAATTGGTATTTATCTTTTATTAAATTGTTTTTAATCTAGGTAATACTTAAACCTGATGCTTATCCTTTAATTGAATCTAATGTTGAAACACAATCAAATGAACCCTACAACGCCTTCCCAATTCCACAATCAAACAAATCACTTAGTATTGCCAGTGAAATTAACATCAACTCAAACAAATATTCATCCGATGAATATGAGGATCTTACTTTGCCGCTTTCACCAAATTTGCTTCAGATTAAATTTAATCCTAATGAAATTGTAGATAATCTAAAACAATTATTAATATTTTCAATACCTATTCTTAATCAAGAAATTTTAATTTTGGTTTTTCCTTAGAAACAATATGGAAGAAAAAAAACTCGAACTTCAATAAATTCAGCACGAAATATTTTTGAACAAATCTATTTAAACACGGATGCTGTAAATTTTCCTACAGATTGGTGTCGAGTAATTCCTGGCAACAATATAAATGTTATATTTAGTAAAATTTGATGATTTGAGTCCCCGTTTTGAACGATCTGTTACAATTAATAAACAAGGAACAATCAAATGTTTATACATGAATTATGTTCTTTAATTATGTTAAATCTTGGTTTGAATTCATGCGTCATATCAAATGTTCATGAACTAAAAGATGTTGTTTGTAAGTTGAACAATGCTATCATGTGTACAGGAGAACATATACCAAAAGAATTGTTGACTTATAAAACAAATAAAATTAAAGTTGATTGTAACTGCCAATTTCAACACTCAAACTGTTCAATAGTTGTTGACAACAAAAGTCTTGTTATAAATCAAGTTCTAATCTAAAATGTACATTATGTAATATATTGTTAAGTAGTTGCCAGAGGAAAAAGCTACGTAAACAAAATTATTCCATTTAAAATTGAATTAATTTATCACGTACACCAGTACATTAAGTCTAATGGAAAATCTCAAAATCCTTTATCGGCATTGTAAAAAAGTTCAATAATTAAATTAGAGGACTATGATATTAATATGAGAATGTATCTATGGACAAAGCAAACTAACTAAGAACGAATAGAAAATGAAAAGAAATATATAGGTATAATCCTGTAAATAATTATATTAAACAAATATTGTATTATATCAATTTTATATTTTAATTTGAAATAACTAAAAAGTAACTCCCTACTCTCATTTAGTTCTTAATATACTCTTAATTTGATTTGTATCATAAACATAATTGCTATATCTATAATATTATACATTATTATACGCAATAATTTATACCTAATTAATATTATGTACCTACTGTATGTCAGTGCAAAGTATATTGTAGGCACTACTATATTATGTTTATATAGACAATTTTGTATTACCTACTGAATTTATAATATCAACAAATATACCTAGGGCATAACTACACACTTTCTTTGAGTCATTTCCATACACTTCTTTTCTATTATTTAAAGTAGGCATCCTAAAGGGTCTACTGTTCAGAACCACATATTTTTTATTGACAGTTTAAAATTTGGCGGTCGTGCAAAAAATAGCGCATACATTTCAAATAACTTGGTATCACCATTGACCAACACTTAAAATGGGATGTTCAAAATACAGAAACTCAATTATTTTTATATAAATTCTAAACCAAATACTCAACATACAAACATTAAGAATAGTATACTTTGCCATGACACAGTCAATGCTACAATATGGGATAGTAGCATGTAATAAACTAATAACGTCCCAAAAAAGTATAATAAATATAATCCAAAACCTTCCCTTCTATAAACCTATTTTAAGATTTCAGAGTTTTCAATATCCAACAACTATTCCAACAAAACTCACTATATTATTTCTATAAATTAAATCTAAATACATGTAAGGAAAATAACATGAGTTCAAAAATATAAAACTTTAAAAGCAAGCAGACACTTTGTCAAAACAGGACTTGATTTACTAAACAATATATCACTACATCAAATTGTGAAAATTACAATACATATAAACAACTTATTAATATATGGTTGGTAAACCAAATTTACAATAAATGATTACCAATACTTTATCTGTTCTTATTTTTTAATTTTATTTCCTTATTGTATAAATTATAATGCGACAAAACTATAATCACTTAAGGTCTTTGTAAATTTTAAAAGTTTAATTTAGTATAGTTTAATCTTAGTTTAGCGTTATACGCAACATACACATTTGTTTAATAACTTTAATTGTATTAATTACTATACATATTTTTATACTTTTTCTTTTTTTGAACAACTAATTTAACTCTAAAAATTCCAATTTCACCAACAAGAGGGTCAACCTCAGTGATAAATTGGGCCAAACAAATTTTATATTCAACATATTTATATTCTTTTTTGGTAAATAAATTATCTTAATTTATCCAAAATCAGATAATCGTTTACAACCACATTCCAGTTAATCAAAATCACACATTCATAAAAATTTAACTTTTAGAATGATTCATGTTCAATAGCTAATCAAAATATTGTCACAATAAAATAATCACCATTACCACTCCAAAAAATGTTTAAATGAAAATTTGAAATTTAATTTGTTTGATTCGAAGCATAGTGAGGAATCTATTGGAAGTAGCAGTTTCAAGTAGCAGTATCGTTCTCATTATATGAGAACGATTCTTGTTGATAATGAAGTTTCATAGCTCAGGGGTGAACCAGGAATGAAATACGGGAGGGCAGTGAGTGACCAGAGGGACAAAAGAAAGAATAAAGCAAGAAATTCGGAATATATAACCAGTAAACATTTTCCCTTAAAATTATAACCAATAATGACAGAAATTTTGTACGGTAACCGTTGGCCGTAAACATTCACGATTTTCGTAACCATATCGCTAGTATGGGAGACCGTTGACTCCCCCATTACAACAACTTGTAATAACGTTAATTACTAAAACCCTACATTAATTACATTATTAAAGAGTGAAAAGTATTGAGAAACAAAGCCCCATGGCCTCATTTGCACCATAATAAGAAGTATATGCGAGTTCCCAATTGAAAGAGGTAAGGGAGTCAGTGATTTGAAGTCGGATGTGATCGATTTAAAGTGAGAAAGAGATGGATGGTATGCATCAGGAGTAATAACACATGCGTAAGCAGAAATAAGAGATAAAGAGTTAGTATTAGTCAGAACTAGGTCAAGAAAAAAATCATGGGTGTTGATTATTGAGAATAGTAGGTATTCAATTGATAGAAACCATGAAGTGAAAAACACTTAGCAACACTTTGGTTGACAAAAGCGGAAGTGGAAGAGCAACATAAACTGTGGCCGTCAAAATTAAGCGGGACATTGCCCCCTTTGACATGTCCACAGTTACCCAGCAAGAAAGTGACTGATGTAGATGAAAAGTTAGGAAGGTTCAGGGGAAATTTACTATATAACTGTACGCAATGATTAACCATTGTTAACGAAAAACAATTCTGAGCGGAGTTCGATTAATAATATTGCTTTTTCAACAATATATATGTTATATTATGGGTAAATAAATATAGGTACATTGAATACCTACAACGAATTACATAGTAAATATATATTGTGTTTTAGTTGTATTTTTTACCCCCTGTTACCTTTTACCTTTTACCCTGTTAACCCAACGTTATTTTGCAAAACAAATTTTTTAGAACTCGGGTTTAAGCTCGTGACCTTTGAGTTAATAATAGGTATATAGTTAGGTACATATCTACTACCACTATAACTACGATAGGTATGCTATAAAATTGTCATTATTAAGTTATTTAACATAACACATATATAATATTTGCAGAACTTCGAAGAGCTATAATTTGGAAACTAATACAGTCCGCTCAATTCTGACTTTACCATAGTTCTTAAATCGGCAATATACTTGCATAATATATGTTCAAAACAAAAAAAACCTAGGATAATGGAGACGGGTGCAGCCACTGTTATAAGTAATTTAATGTACATCAACGATAAACCATTGCTAACGAAAAACCGATTTTAAGCGTAGTTCAATTGATAGTGATGTTTATTTGTCAACAATATACAAATTATATTAAGATAAAATAATTAAATAGGCATTATATATTTTCTTTTAAATATTTGTTCAATACTTTAATATTGTACCGATTATCCTGTTTTTCCTGGTTTTCCCATGTTTTTTCCCAGGTTTCACAATTGCTGGAAAAACTCTTGAGAAAATTGAAAAATTACCTTTTTAAAGTACCTTCCCAGTCAGATTTACTTTCAGAAAAAGTGCTATCATTATAAATCGGAGCAAAACTATACTGGTAGAAAAATTGTACACAGAAAAAAAAAGCCCATATTTTTTTACTAATACCAAGAATTCGTAGATTTTCTGTTTTTCCGACATTTTATCCCGGTTTTTCCCAGACATTATGAAAACCACTTGAAAAATCAAAACATCAACTCCTTAAATTACCATGAAGATAAAATTTGCTTTCAGAAAATAAATTACACTTGATACATTGCAGCAAGATTTCTGGTAGAAAAGTGTAAACAACAAATCGAGGGGTATTTTTCGATTAAAATAGTTCGAGGGAGCGATAGCTGGGTCTCTAGGTATACCCAAAATGCATTTGTTTGTCCTTGTTTAGATAAAAGGGAAAGGAAATGAAAAAAGTTGTTTTCGACACACCGTCTTGAATTCGGAAACCCCAAGATGACAATAGGCATAAATAATTAATAGATCATGACAAATATACTTTATGAAGAACAATATAGAGTTATTTAACATAACATATAATATCAAAACTTCATATAGCTATAATTTCGAAACTCAGTCCACTAAATTCTGACTTCATCATCGTTCTTAAATCGGCAACATACATATGTCCTAAAAACAAAAACATTTTTTCTTAAAGATTTGACATTAAAATTCTCTTATAAAAAAAAATACTACATTATACTCATTTTTTTTTACCACAAAGTAGGACTCTTAATGAATTTCTTGTTAAATTTTCAAACATTTCTGTCCAAGTCTAACAATTTTATAAAGTACCTACCGAATAAAAATTATGTACTAACTTGCAAAATTAAAATGTCTATAAATATCTCAAAAATGGCTTAATTTTTTTGATAATTTTACCACGTCTAGAAATATCGAATATAAACTTTTTCCTACATTTTAAGTCTCTACGAATATATTTAACTGAATTACCACAAATAACAAAATTAAAATAAAAATCATTATTTTCATACATTTTCCTGTTTTTGTCCAGTTCTTCCTATTTGTTCAGAAAACTCCTTGAAAAATCAAAACAGCACTTCCTAAAGTATCACCCCAGAAAAATTCCTTTTCAGAAAATGTGCTAAACTTGATACTTCGGAGCAAGATTTCTGGTAAAGTGTTTGTACACAATATAAAAAAGACAGGCATACTTCGCACGATCAGTGGGCCACTGTTGTAGGTGAGAAATTGGGAAGGTAGTAGAGAGTAAATTTAATGTATATTTGTATGCAACGATTAACTATTACTAACAGAAAAACGGGAAAAAAAGCGGAGTTCGGTTGATAATGTTGCTTTGTCAACAATATATAGGTCGTATTATGGTCAAATAATTACAAAGGTATGTATTAAACATTTTATTTTAATATTTGTTTAATATTTTACTTGTACCTATTTTCCCGGTTTCGAAATCAAAATTGCTGGTAAAAAAAGTTTTTCACAGACAAAAAAAAAATAAACATCAATGTAAAACCAATTCACTCCACTCAATTGAAAAAAATATTTGAGATTTTGAGTAATTATTTCATTTTATATGGATGGATTCTTATTTCCAAGGTTTTTCCACCTGCTTGATTTTTATCGGAAACGTGTAATCTTTCGATAATAAAATTAAATCCGGCAACACTGTAGTCATCTGTTATTTATTTGCAACGCCATTATCAATGCGTTGTAATCAATTAACCCAGAGTCCCAGAGTCCAGACTGGCCATACTAGATCAAAGATCTATAGTGGCTGGTATTGCCACTAGTACTTATTCAAATAATATTTCAATTCTACTCGTTTATATTAATTTTTTAATATATTAATTATACAAATTATACTTTATAATGCTAATTACACCAATGTTTTCATATGATTATATTTGTAGATAAAAGTTTCTTTCATAAATTATATTACGTATTTGGACATTTTATTAATTAAATTATATTCAAATTAAATGGCTCAAGAAGTAGTATATGGAACTCAAGACGACAGTCATGTCGTTATGTCTGAAAAAGTACAATCATTAGCTGGTAGTATATACCAGGAATTCGAAAAAATGATATCGAAGTATGACGAAGAAGTTGTTAAAAACTTAATGCCGTTGGTTGTTAATGTGCTTGAGTGTTTGGATCTTTCCCATACGGAAAATCAAGAACACGAAGTAGAAGTTGAACTTTTACGAGAAGATAATGAACAACTAGTCACTCAATATGAAAGAGAAAAACAATTACGAAAATCCGCAGAACAAGTAACTCTTTGCTCTTAATAAATTCAATATCATTTAACCCTTAACTATGGATGTACTGTTTGTCAGACTGCATTAAATAATTACAAAAAATAAATAAAATTACCTAGTTTTATTATTCTTTTTTTATTTTTCGAAAATTTACATTAATGTTAAAGAATAAATTAAAAAAATATAATTTGATTTAATTTGATTATAACTTATATTTTTTTATTTGCACTATGTACAAGTATGCACGATCTGGTTGACTGCACGCCAGCAATTATGTTATAAATATACATGTCGGTAGTTAAGTATTAAATATGTCTGATTAATAGATAAGTACATATTTATAAGTATTACAATGATCCAAAGCTTTTATTAATTCAAACAGTACAATATATTATGATTTCACTGTATTTTAAATTAAAAATGTAGTTTTTAGATGTACAAATTTACCAAGTTAATGTTTAAGATTTAACTATATGGATACTAAATTGAAATCCTTCAAATGCAATTTTCACAGTTTTGTCTGGCTTTCGGTCTGAAACGTTATATTTGTCCATAAAAATGATTAATTTTTCTTAAATAAGCATCAATGGATTATCAGAAAAGGTGATCATAAAAATATAAATACAAATTTTAAAATTGCATAAAATTTGAAAAACTATCATCAATCTTCTTAATATAAACTAAGTAATTAAAAAATGTTTTGATGCATAAGCAAAAATCCATTGATTTAGTATGTTGTAAGTAATAGTTGATTGGTATCAAATATTAAATAGAATAAATCATTATCAATCACAGTTAGAATTTATTGTCAAATAATTCAAAAAGTACACTAGTTATTTATATAACCTACTGATATTTGTTATTTATATATTAAATATTATACACATTTACTATTAGGTAATCTGTACAGATTGTATTAGTCCCTTACACTTGTATAACTTATTGATATTATTTGGATTATAGAATTTGTAATATTTTTTATAAACAATTAAGTATGTTATTTTTTTTTTTACTTAAAACTAACAAACATTGTATAGTTATATAATATGCAGTATAGACACAGACTACTAATAAACTGTTTTTAGTGATTTGCAATTTGTTTTGAGTAAACTAATTATTATTGTACAATATATTCTTAGAAACTGCTGGAAATGGAAGACTATATTGAAGATGAAAAAAAAGATTATCAAAGTAAAATAGACAGTTTAGAATCAATTGTTAGAATGTTAGAACTAAAATCAAAAAATGCTTCGGATCATGGTAAGTAAAATCAAATATTTTTATCGAAAAAATGATTTGTTAAAATAAGCAATAAATTAAATATTCCATATGCCTAATTGGCTTTATCAGTTAACACAACATATAATTAAGGTTAAACTACTAATAAATTTTATCATTTTAGTTCAATATAATATTAAATATTTGTATTACATTTTTATTATAATTTTCATTATAACATGATTTCTGGCTAGGTATTATTGATATTGAACAACAGTAAATTATTTATATTTATTACATTTTTGTTGTTTTATGGATAGTTTATGTCTTAATACAATTTTATTTCTTATTTACTAATTATTAAGTAATTAAGTTGAATAATAAATTATTATAATTTATAATATGTATAGAAAATGTTTCCTAAAAAGAATTATTATTTTAATCATAATTTGGTATTCCTATACAAAACTATAATTTTGTTTTAGTTTTATTTACTACTACCTCTATATGTGGTTGAATGTAATTAATATTTTAAACATTTTTTTTAATAAAAGCAGTTAAGTTGCAAAAAACGTAGGAAAACGTACAATTTCACAATTTTATGATTTTATAAAAACATGGACGACGTTTTCTACTTCTTAAAAATCACAAGTTATCTTTTTTGTTGTCTTTTTGATTTACTTTCTTATGGTATCATTGCCAAAACTTTTGAGCTTTTAAGGAATTTGAATTTTTGGTAGTTTTTTTGCTGTAATTTGGTTATAAATACACTTAGAGACTTGAAACTTAGTGATAATACTTATATTGGATTTACCTAAACGTGATCAAATTTCTAAAATGATCAGATGACTTTTATTTTTTAATAATAATTGAAATCAAATTTAAACGAAAATTGTGAAAAAAAAATTATGGAAATTCAAATTATGTATTATCGAACTGTGCCTAAAATTGTCTTTCGTCAAGCAATGGTTTATCATTGCTTACAGAAATAAATGAAATAACCTTATGTATTCTACCTTCCAAACTTTTTATCTATAATAGTGGCAGCTCCCATCCCCAGTATCAGTACTTTTTTTAAAATTATTTGATTTGATACTCATAAAAAGAAAAAATTACAATTTTTAATAAAATAACGTACCATATATGAGCTTTTCGCATACTACAGGTTTGAAACCACTGCTTTAGATGTGATCTCAACTTCCTTTTATTCTGTTTCCATAAATTCCAGTTCTACTGTTTGATAAATTTATATTTTATTATATTATATTTTACAATGTTTCCATTGCTATTGCTATTGTTTAATAACACATTAAAATGTTTTTTGAAATCATTCACGTATTTTTTTTTTTCTGATTTTTTTATCAGAAAATATACATAATTATTTTTTTTGATGAAATATGTCGTTAAACATTATTACTTAAAACTTAAAATTAAATTATTAAAATTTATTGACAAATTCTCTTAGGTTATTATAATTTTCAATAGATTTAAATTTTAACTTTATAAGTTTTTATTAGAAAGTCCTTTTTAAACAGTTTTTATTCATTTTCTTTATTCTTAAATTCTTAATAAAATCATAATTAATGTATAAATAATATTTATATTGTCTTCTGATACTTATTTGTATTTTTAAGATTAGTACTATTTTAAATATTACTTTATTACACTGTTTATGACAATAGTTTATAGATTAGAAGAAAAAGAACAAGATATGAAACAAGAGTACACCAAACTTCATGAGAGATACACAGAATTATTTAAAACACATATGGATCATATTGAACGTACAAAAATATTAATGGGTTCAGGTGACCGTATGGACAACCCTAGAAGTATCCGTATGCCATTTATGAGCATGGCCCACATTAATCGGTACAATAATATATTTTTAAAATTAGAATAATTCTAAGAAAGTAATATTTTATTATTTTGTTACTTAGATCCTCTGGACCTGTTTCATTTGGGTTTAGTTCCCTTGAAAGTCCATCTACACTTAAGTCTATTGATGGCCCTAATGAATACCCATTAGTAATATCAAATTCTCCTTCGGGAAGTATACATTCCAATTCTAGTCTAAAAAATGAGTTACAAACTCCACAGGTAAACACAAATACAAACAAATGTTTATTTTTTTAGTTCATTTTACTAAAATATTAACTTAAAGTTAACAAATAAATATTTTTAAATAATTTTTATAGTGAAGATAAATATTAAAATTTGATTTATTATGATAACTCAAAAGTGGATTTTATTGTTTTTGAATTTTCTTATTATTTTTTTTTAAACTAATTTTATTATATTTTTAAGATTTTTATATAGAGATCTTTTAATTTGTATTTTTATATTGCGGTATAATTTGTGGGTGTCTTAATTATAAAACAAATTTGAATATAATATTTTACTCATTGTTTATGTAGTTTATTTAAAAATTCACAAATTAATGCATTTTTACAATGTACTAAAGTGTGTGGCCCTATTGATAAGTTTATTATAGAATATTATCTATTGTAAAATGTGAAGTATTATTGAACAATTAGTGTAATATTGAATCAATTAAAAATACTATAATGGATTTTTTATTTGATTAAAATATCCTTAGTTATTTTATTTTATATCTTTGTAGGATATTAATACTTCTGAAGCAGAATCTCGTTTACGTATTGATCAAGTATCTGAACGAGGTTGGTCTGAAACTTTAAATTCAATCAGCAAAGCTGATAGTAGTCCTGATGAAGTCCCAGAAATAGTAGAAGAAATAGAAGCAACACCTAAAAATGCTGTCATTTCACTTAGTGGACGAAGTCATACACAAAGGTAAAATTAAATTAATACAATGGATCAAAAATTAACATGCTGATAAAATATGTATTTATTTTAGAGAACAAAGACCCGCTACTAATGTTCTATATCAAGAATTTAGCTTCCAAGATACTGAAGTTCAAAATGAAATAGAAGAAGTTCCAGAAATTACTGGTAAGAATACTAATAAATATATTAATTATATTATTTTAGTTTTAATTATTATATATTATAAAGTTTATCTGCAAGATTTGAAAATTGCCAATGGCATTGCATAGGGAATTGTCAAATCCGGCAGATGTATACCATTTATAGTAATAGCATTTTTTTCCTAAAGACGATTTATTGAATTTTTTGAATGTATATATGTTACTGGAAAACGAGGAAATAGGGGCAAATCTCAAAAATGATTCATTCTTAAAATGCCATACGTCATACTGCTACACAAATTATGCTTCACTACTTTCCCCCTACTCAAACTTAAAAATGGAATATCACGTCAACAAATTGACAAAAATTGCAAATTTAAACTCTAAAATTTATTTTCACTACTACTTCTTCCATTTATAGGACTTTTAGTTTAGGTTAACATTTGAAAATCAAAAATAGATAGTCGTTTCACTCCCAAAAATTAGAATGACAAAATATAATGTAAATATTAAATTTTAGAACAGCCTTGGTTTTTAAATGTCCTTTAAAACAAATTTCCAAAAAAAGTTAATACTTTCCAAGATAATGAGTGTCTTACGATAGATTGATTTCCCAAAATATGTCAAAAACCCAATATTTTGGTGCAAGAACCAATTTATTACTCAAGAGAGCAAGTAATATAATATTATTAATAGAGTATTGTAACATGGTACCTACCTACTATGAAAAATTGAAATTAACATTATAGATTTGCCAGAATAAGGTAAACGCTGAAATAAGGTGTATTGCCCAGGCATTTCTGAGATTTGTCCGATTTTGGCTTTTGCCTGTAACATGTATGTATATATTAAATTTAAATGTACAACTGTTTTGAAACTAATTAGTATATTTTTATAATCAAATAACATTTTTTTTTTAGAGCTTATTTGACTTTCATTAATATCCTAATAAAACTAGAACACCAAATTGAAGTGTTAATAACTTATTTTAACTAAACATTTTTTTATCATTTGAAATAGAAAACTTAATTGTTGTTGATTATTATAAAAAAAAAACTCTAAAATACTTTGTTATGCAAATTGATTATAGTATATACCAACTGAATTTAAACCATCCATGTAAAACAACAATATTAAACAAAACTTAATTTTTCTTTTCATGTCCAGGTTCAATTATAATTTTATAAAGCTGAAGTTTTCAAAATTCTTTATTTTGAAAAATTGAGAACTTTTAGTTACAAGCAAATGTAATCTAAGAGTTTTTATCATAAATATTTAAAATTTTAAAATAATTTTAGTTAACAGTTTTGGATAATTTAGAGTGTGCTAAATTTTATTTTTTTTATTTCAGGAAATTGGGTACATCCTGGAGATTATTCTTCATCTGGTACGATATATTATTATCATTATTATTTTATGCTTTTCCAAAATAAAAAATACTAGTTTCCTGCTTTTATAGCTCAGCTTTTTTATTTATTTGTTTATATTCTATATTATTTCAAACGCACAGCATTCATTGTTTTAAAATTATTTTTTGCATGTATTTTTTCTTCTTACATAATATTTTCAACAACAGTCAGCAGTGAGACTGAACCAGAAACTCCACTCTCGATAGGTATGAGTTTTCTTCTAGTTTCTTTTTACATAACATCTGCATAATTTATATAAAATATATTTTATGGGTATTTTTAGTACCAAATAACATCATTACATCAATAAGCTCATATAAATAAAATCAAATTAATTTAATTTAAATTTATGAGTTTAGAACAATAAAATGTTTCTTTAAATTAAAATATACTCACTTTCATTTTATTTTTTGAATTGTAAAATAAAATACTATTTAATTAAGTTTGATTAATTATTTAATATTTATATTGTGTGATTATGGTCCAGAGCAGAGGTTGTTAATTTAGAATATTATATGCAATATTTTTAGTGTAATCTATCAGCAAATTTTATGAATACAATTTATGATACTCATTGTTTTAATGATCATCTGATTATCTTGTAGTTTATCCTATTCATAAACAGGTTATGCCACATAAATATAGTATAGTAAAAAATAATTTTAATAAAAGATGTAGTTTGATTGAATGAGAAAATAATTGAGGTTTTTATTTTTAAAAACTTTAAATCTATATTTGGAGCAATGTTTCACTCATCATATTAAGTCTTGAGTGAATTTGTGTAGTGTATTCTGGTATGTTAGATGTGTGACAAACCAAATATTATAATAATGTGTCTCCTTTAAGTAAGTAGTTAATACATTTCTCTCTTGTAATCTTCAAATTATATCTTCAATGGAAAAAATTTAAATAAATAAAAATATATTTAAAAAAAAAAAATAAAGATATCTAGTATTACACTGAGTTGTCAAATACTGCTTATAATTATTGCAAGTTTTAAATACTTTAGTTTTTTTCTAAGAAAACTACTAATATGTTACATGTCATGTACAAAGGTTTTCAAATCTTATTCCTACAATGAGGTTACATGGAATACTTTTTGTAATTATTCAATTTGTTAAATTAAAACAAAGATGTAAATTGGTCAACCCTAAATAGTTAGAGTGAAGCAAAAGAAGAAGAAGAAAACAAATATTTAAATGCATTTTAATATGGTCTTTAAAACCTATACTTATATAAATTTGAATGTCCATAGTAAAAACCTCTGGTCTAAAATATTATTATACAAATAGTATTTTTATTTTTAACTTGTATATAATTAAATCAAACTATTTTTATTAGTTTCAATCATTATTTAATTACTTTCTTAAATTTATAAAGAAATATCATAAAATTAATTTGATTTAAATTAGCATGCCTCAGTTTTTTTTGCATGAATATATAGTTAAATAGTATACACATTATAATGTGTGTAGAAGACAATTTTGTGGTCTTAGTAAATTTTTACAAACCATGTTTACATTTTATGCAAGTAGTAAATATTTTCATTGATTTTACTATAATATAAATTTGCATAAAGCTTATAACATATTTTATTAAACTAGACAAACCACTAAATTCAATACAATTTGTTTTGTTTTTGTAAAACTGTCTTATATTTCCAAACTATTTCAAGGTATAAATTATTTTAAATTTTTCTCTTTTTCTTGCAATCTTAATTTAGCCTAAGTTACTTAGTTTCGTAAACAATAAGAGTATTCACTTTTTAAATTTGTAATAATCTAAATTGTTGATCCTTAAAAAATTCAGTAGTATTCAAATACTAAAAAAAACTCAAACAATCATATTTAAGATGTTTAAATGGGTAAAAATACAATTCCCTGCAATTGATGAAAACAAATTTAGTTCACATAAATCCTTCAAAAAAATGGCTACTTATCACAATAACTGATAATATTAATCTTACATTACATATATTTATAAGTACGCTTTAAAATAAGTATTGGATTAAAAAAATATATATTTCAAATTTACGCCCAAATTTGTTTTAACTAATACTCCATCTATTTAAAACATTTTCAATATAGGTTGCAATTTAAGAATCAATAGTAGGTAGTTTTAAAAAACAAAAACAAATATTTCAAAAAATAGTCAATATTTTTCAAAATAGTGAGTGTTTATTGATAAAAGAATTACTTGGTTTATAATAATGAAATTAATAAATTTATTTAAAACTTAATTTAGTAAATTGTTGACTTAAAGAAGTTCTGTTAATTCGTAAAACATTAAGTCAATTTGCTTTGTATCTAACTAAAAATAATGGATGGATTGATCTTAAATTTCTAAACTTAAACTTATTATTTTTCTTGAACTTTTAAAAAAATAATATTTAAATATCTCAGTTAACCTCCCATATATCCCATTTTAATTTAAATATAAAATAACATTATATTTGACTAAAAATAACTTATTTCGTATGTTTTTGCTGCTGTAACTCAAACCATGCTCTTGTGTCCGTCTGAAATCATAAAACAGTTAACGATAACTTTTTCGGTAAGACTAACATCTAACAAAAAATTGTATATATTTTAAAATGTATACTAACTCTTTTTATTATCACTGGAAAAAAGGTATGGGAAAAGAAGTTGAAAATCTCATCAAAGAAAACACGGAACTATTGGCTACAAAAAATGCTCTCAACATTGTTAAAGACGATTTAATTATTAAAGTTGATGAACTTACAAGGTATTACTATTTTAATTATTTACTTACCTATCAGTATTATTAGCTCTTATTGGTTTTATATACTTTCAGTCATTTTATGTTTAATAAAATAATAAAATACAAAATACAATTATTAAATGGTTAATACTGGTAAAAATTATATAAATAAATAAATATATGAATGTGTCATTTCGCTTGAAATATTGTTATATGTGTATTGTACAACCGGTTTTGAATTAAAAATTCGACCTCACGTAAAATCACAAAATCAAAAAGTAAAACGCGACTAAATGTAAAAAAATAAATGAAGGAATACACAGAGAAAAAATTTTACAAATTAGTCATTTTACATAAAAATGTATTATTTTAATAGGAGAGATTATTTAAAATTAGTTATTATTAGATATGTTAAAAAATATAAATTATTTGGTTTTTATTAATTATCTAAAATGTATTGATATAAGATATTATTTTAAAAATAAGTTTGTATATTTAAAATATTATTTAAATTATTATTTTTTTTTTTATTGTGTATGTGTAATTCTTCTAAAATGATTATTTTCTAAATCATGTTTAGCGAATCAAATAGAACATAAATAAAAACATTCAATTTACACTTTAATACAAATAAATAATAAATTAAATTTTTTAGATCTTACAGTTTCCATAGTAAAAAATGAATTTGATTTTAGTATTTACAGGAAACTTACACAAACTGACGTTATAACACTATATGATTCTAATCACCCTTGTTCTTAAAAAATATAATTTTTTAATTCAATATTCTATAGGCTTAAACATAGTCCATAGAAATAATATAAATTTAAATGCTATTAAAACAATTTATAAACGTATTAAATTAAAAATAAAACACAACTCGCCAAATAATGTTGTTAACTATTATAGTATGAATTATCAAAATTATATGCCAAATAAATTTGCTTTTAAGACTTATAATAATTTAATGAAATATATAAACAACAGAACTGAATCTGTTCTGTTCAATTTGTTCAAATCAAAACTAAAACCTTCACAAAGAAATCCCTCTTTTGAAAATGTTGGTGTACATAAACTTAAATATAACTGTTATAAATTGTATATAGGTAAGATAAATAGAAATTTTAAAATGAGATGTAAAGAACATATTTCTTAAGTAAAAAAAAAAAAGATTGCCTCTAATTCAAATTTCACTAAACATGTTTTAGAAAATAACCATAATATAAGTTTAGATATTATGCAGACTTAGAAATATTAAATAACTAAAATAATATTTGCATTAATTCAGTTTTAGAAGAATTACATATACAAAATGAAAAAAAAATAAAAATTATTTTAATAATATTTTAAATGAACAAACAAATTTTTAAAATAATATCTTATATCAATATATTTTAGATAATTAATAATAACCAAATAATTTATTTTTTCTTAACATATCTAATAACAACTCATTTTAAATAATCTCTCCTATTAAAATAAACTATTTCTCTGTAAAAAAACCAATTTATATAATTTTGTCTCTATTTATTTCTTTATTTATTTTTTCTTATTCAGTCATGTTTTACTTTTTGACTTTGTAATATTACCTGAAGATGAATTTTTAATTCGAAACCGGTCATACAATACACAATTCATAATACTCCACAGAATTGGAAATGTGTCACCAGAAAGGTGACACATTCATTCATTCTTTTATTTATTGATGTATTTCATGTTTGATGTTTCCTCTTCTAGAAAACAAAATACAATTTATAATTATACAGAGTTATCACATTCTAATTTAAAAAAAAAAAAAAATTCTGTAAAACCTATAGGAAAGAGCACCCACTAATATTAGGATTAAAAATTTAAACAAATATATTTATGCTAAAATATAGTAAAAATTAAATATCATTATTATTATTAATAGTACCATTAATGATACTGGTGATGATGAAATTTGATAAATTTATATTAAAATACTCGATTCAAATATACTTTTGAATTTTTGTCAAATGTGATATTATCAAATATACTTTTGATTAGGAAACAATTACAATTTTCAGCTAATGATATTTATGGCAATGTTGATCAATGATATATGTTATGTTACAATTTTGAAACAATTACTATTATATTTATTTTATTGTTTAAAACATTTGAATTTGTGCTAAAACTTGTTCAAAATATATCCAGCACTATATATATATAGTTCATTGATAAATTAATGAATAACATTACATTTATAATACATTTTAATGAAGTTTTTAACAATTTGCACAATTACTTTGTGCGAAAAATATGTTAGTTATTTTGGTTAACCATCATATTACTCTTAACATATAAATTATTGTTGTGACATAATTATTAATATAATGGTATTTAATTTAATTTAAATTAGTGAACAACACATTTTGCGTGAAGAATTAAAAGCTTTGCAGTCATTAAATGTTCGTTTAACTCAAAAAGCTTCTGAAGTTGAAGATGAATTGAAAAAAACTAAGCAAGAATTAGAGCAGCTCAAAGTTAACAAATCTGATTCTGATGTAATTAAATCTATAAATAAATATTATATATTATATATATTTAATATTTATAAAAACAAAAAATTATTTACTTTCTAAACTTATTAAAGTTATTAATAATTATTAATAATTTTATATTAATATAATATAAAAAAAAATATTTGTGACTTAAATTTCAGGAAGAAAAATCATATGCGGAACGTAAACGATTCACTCGTGTTGAAATGGCTAGAGTTATTTTAGAAAGAAATAAATTTAAAGAACAACTAATGGATTTAGAAGAATCTCTCCGTTGGCAAGAAACTGTACGTGCTATTCGATTAGAGCCAAATGAGAAAAAAAAACAGGGTGTGTGGAGACTGTAAGTGATTAATTATTAGGTTTCTGAGTGGTGTATAAACAATCAAATAAAATATGAATATGCATTTATTTTTTTTATGTTTGGTATTTTCTAGTCTAAAAACTTAATGAATATTATTTGAATTTTGTTATGAGTATATTAAAACAACTAATTGTCTTTAAAGTTTTAGCAACTTATTTGGAAGCAGTGCCAAACCCAGCGATGCTGGACTTGGAAGTGGAACTAGCGGAGGAGGCTTAGTTGTACGACCAAGATCGATACATTATGATCCATCATCTCATCAAGTTGGCCCCCCTAGTATAATGAAAAGACGTAGCATGATAGAAGGAGGTAGATATAGTCGATATGAGGATGACATGTAAGTATTGTATTTTTAGTATAATTTCTCTAGGACTAACTTTTGCATGGCTAATGGGATTGCTAACTAAACAAAAATTATATTTCAACTGAAGTTACCATTCATGTTGATGCTGGGGATTAAAAAACTATTTTTTATGTCCATGTATTATTATATTTCTTTACTGTTTTCGGTATAATTATCCTGATTTAATTCAATAATAATATTGTTATTTTATAATATATCGGTTACAGATTGGAATATTATTTTTATAATTCTCTTCAAACAATATTTCAACATAAACAATTGAACTTTATTGTATAAATATATGTAAAAAAAATATATATATATATGCACACATCCAAAAGAAAGCCAATTAGGTTGGTCCTAGAGAAATATTGTGAATAATTTTTTATTATTGTTGACTAATTCAATTGTATTTAGCTATAGTGATAAATCAAAACGTTCTGATCGACGAGTGCATTTTGGTCGAATACGTACACATATACCTAGAGAAGATAGTTGGTTACAAGCCTATGGTTGGAGTATGCCAGCTGATCCTTCCAATGGAAGACCACTTTTAAGTATGCCCTTGCAGATTAATAACCCAAGTACTAATTATCCAGTTCCAGTTTTGGTAAATTGTTGTTCACCACTTGCTGATACAGAACCTGGAATGAAGGTAAACATTTATAAATTTCTTTGTAATTTTTGTTTGTCAAAGGAAATGTCTTAAGTAAAACTAAGTTTAATTCTAGTTTCTTGTGTGAAAGTTGTATTTTCAGATGTTTTAATCCTTTCCTAAAATTCACCCATTATCATAAATAAATATTTAAAAGATCTAATAAATAATGATATTATAGTGAGTTCTGCTTAATATGATCATATTGGTTCAGGTCATTTTGATTCTATTAATCAGTTGATTCCATAAAACATTTTTTTTTTTTTTTTTTTTAATGATTCTATATTTATACATAAACTTAAAATAAAATAAAGAAGCTATCTATTTTCGATTGTACTTGAGAATTTACTAATTTCAGTTTCTTATTAGCCTGAAATTAAAATCCATAATTAATTAATATACATATAATTTTAATTAAATACATAATAATATACATTGTACATGCAACTTTAGCAATATTCAATAAAAACATACAATAGGTATCATAAAAACAATAAGAATGTTCTCAAAAGTGATTCAATTATCCAGTACTTAATGGATCTAATAAAAAGTTAATTTAACATTAATAACATAAGATTTAGTTTGAAATTTTCATTTTTGATTCTATAAACTAGTGTTTACATTAAATGAAATTCACGGTATTATTAATTTACAAAAATTAAAAATGTCAACATTAATATTTATTTAAACTTAAACTCCATCTATTTATGAAATTTTTAATATAAGTTGTCATTTAAAAATCAAAAGTAAGTAGTTTCACTCTCAAAAATAAGAGTAATAAAAGATAATGTTAATATAACATTTTAAAGCTCCTTGTTCCTTAAATTGTCAAAAGAATAAATAATTTTATATATAAAAATGTTACTTTTCGAAATATTGGATATTATGTATGCTACCATTATACATATCATAAGATATTTGATGATATCATAAGAGGCTGAGGTTATTAAACAATAAAATCAACAGAATTCAAAAAATACTTAATATTACTTTAAATACTTATATATTAATACCTATGTTTGTTATTTTATTTGTTTATAGATGTGGTGTGCTACTGGAGTTAATCTTAGTGGAGGTGTTACTAAAGACGGTGGAGCAATTTTTGGTGCCAGTGTTTTTTACAATAATGACACCGAAGAAAAAATTAGTACAAATTCAGAGTTTACAATTACAATTGATGAAAGCATTGAAATGAAAAAATTAGATGAAGAATTAAAAGTAGTATTTTTTTCTATTACTCCTTTATTATTAATAGTGCTAATTCATTAAGTTATTTTAGGATAATAGTAGATCAAATATAGAATCAGAATTAATATTGTCATCACTCATCTGGATATGCACTACAACTTATAATAATACAAAAGTAGTCATAATTGATGCTAATAAACCTGACATTGTGTTAGAGACCTTTAATATTTCATGTCAAGCACATATTGGTTGTATTGCTTCAGTACCAGGTAACATATTTACTTTATTTACCATATTTCATTAGCCAAAAATAGGAGAAACTATTTCTCCCAATTTACTTTATCAAAACTTTAAATCATTAAATTATTAGTTATTATATTCAAGGTAAATTGATTAAATGTTTGTTTAATATTGGTTATACATTAAGATTTTGAATAAAATATTTTAATTCAAATTTAAAAATATAAAGGGTGATTCTTTTATTGTTGAACACTCATTATTTCACAAAATATAGACTTTTCAAAAAAAATTTAAAATGTTTAACAATTTAAGAAACAAGCAGATCTAAAATTGTATATTACCTTTATTTTTTTGTAGTCATTATTTTGGGGTTAAAACAACTGCCAACTTTTGATTTTCTAATAGTAACATATATTAAAAGTTCCATCAATGGCATATTAGTTTAAATACAATATTGTTAAATTAAGAAATAAAATTAACAAAAATAAATTTTTGATTTCTGTCAACCCATTCAAAAGATATTCCACTTTTAAGTTTGGGTGGGGGAGGATAGTGGAACACTATTCAAACAATACATAGGTGGGCTGTTTAGCTTTTAGCTGACAACTTAGAAAAAACCTATTGTTTAATTACCATCACAAAATATGCCTCGGACCAAAGAAACAGTTTTACCTTTTGGACACGGAAATTGGAAAGTAGATTTTAAGATCATGGCTTGGAATTTATAAAGCCTTTTTGGGACTGGCATAAGTCAGAATCTAGTGGAGGTCTTAAGTGCATATGGAGTTAAAGAAGCAGCATTGCAGAAGATAAAATGGAAAGTAACAGCACAAATAAGAATAAAAGTTTACAAAATATATTTCTCAGGAATGGTAGACAGGCACAGGTATGGGAGTGATTTTGCTGTACACAAGTTGTTGGTGCTACATATTGATCACTAGACCAATTTTGGAAAGGATTGTAGTGCTAAAAATAAATAGCCAACCAGTAAATATTTACTAGTATGTTAACATGTCCCTATGGATTCAAGTAAGGACAACATGAAAGATTCTTTCTATGAAGATCTAGATAGAACATGATAGACTTCAGGAATATTATAAAAGTTTTATAAGAGAATCTGAACGCAAAATGTAGAAAATAAACGCACTATTCCATCTACTATTTAATTTAATGTAAGAAAAAGTAGTAAAAATGAGTGAAACAAGTGGGATAACGGTCAGCCATGCCAAAACTCAGTAGCTTTTGAAAAAGTTAAAGAATTTCAATATTTAGAAGTATCAGTACAAAGTTTGATTAGAAAAAAGAATGGTCTCGCAAGATTAGTTTGAAGATAGCAAAAGCTGAAAGCTTTTTTTCACTACCCAAATTCTTCAAATCCAAAGTTTCATCTAAGAAAATAAAATTAAAAATATACACATCAATAATTAGACCTACTCTCACTTGAGGATGAGAAGTATGGACAACTGTGACAGTAAGACGACTTAGAACTTTCAAAGATGATATGTATACCAGTTTATGACACAAGCAAAAATTAATGAAGAAGGAAGTTCAGAAAGAACTAGGCTTAGCACCAGTAACTAGTTACATAAAAGGGCAAGGACTGTACACTATACAGTGGCAGCTGGGCCATATTATGAGAATAAGAAACCATCAAAGCAATCATAGAATGGAAATCGGAAGGGAAAAGACCTCGAAGCATACCGAAACAGTTGTGGCTAGATATAGTAAAAGAGGATCTTAAAGCTCTAGGAATAAAAGAATGGAAAGCAATTGTTCAGAATCAAGAGAAATGGAAGAAAGTAGTGATGGTGGTAATGACTAATTTAATTGAGTTGTAAATGTCACTGAAGAAAAAGAAGAAATAAATAAAGCAATAAGAATGAACATAGGGAATGTGGATATAAAATTCTAATTTTAAGGACCACCCTAATTAACAAATATTATTTATTAAAAGATGTAAGGTATCACTTAAAACATAAAAGTTGAAAAAACACTAACATATAATTTATATGCTGTATTAATTTTTAACACTTATGAATACATTATTTCATTTATTCCATTTGTTACTATTATTAAATAGGCAAATACTATAATATTATTGTACTCATGCCCAAAAATCATTATCGCTATTTGTAATTTACTTACAATAAAGTTATTATTATTATTATAAGTAACTGTATTTTGAAATGGTTTTGCTTTCAAAACTGAATACTAGAATAAAATGGTTTACAATTCTATAAATTAAAAAATTAATTATAATTTAAAATATGATGTAATACTATGATAAAAATTACAAGAATATTGATTTTAATGATTGATGTTAAATGGATTATTTTCTATGAATAATAAATACAATTTTTTCAGGAGCCCTAGAAAGTGATTATATAGATCATGATATTATAAATTGTGAGCCTGAGCAAACTGAAGAAGTTACTGAAGAAGACAAACAAGTGCCAAAAGATAATAAATCTTCTGATGTTGAAATAGGTAAAATTGTGTTTGTCAGTTGTGCAGCTGGAAGTGAAGAAACTGATTTAGATGATACTGATAAAACAGATGAAGTTTTAAATGAAACAACTTCTGATGAAGTTGATGATAGTAAGAATAATTCTTCTTTATAGCTTTTTTTTTAAATGGTCTGAATTTGCTGCTTGTTGTGTTTTGTGCTATTGTTTGTATTTTACTCTTAGAAGGTAGCATATCAGATTCTATTCAACCAAAAAATAATAGCTGTGAAATATCAAGAAGACCTAGTTTATTGAAAGAAGGTATCATAAAGGATGGATTATCTGACCCTCCAAATGGTAATTTATTTCTAAAGAAATGTTAAATATTTATTTTTTTATTTAACTATTAAGAAAATTTACATTATTTTTATTAACCTAATCATATAATTAAAAAAACTAATTTAAAAAAAAATATTACTTATACCTAATAATGCATACTCCTTTATGAAACATTCATAAATAAAAGCTGATACCGGGGACAGGTGCAGCCACTGTTGTAATTGGGAATATGGGATACATAAAGATAAAGTTATTTAATTTATACCTATAACCAACAATAAACCATTGCTAATATATAGTAGTTATTTATTGTAACCAAAAATAACAAGAAAAAATTAATGAAAACGATCCAGAGCAAAGTTCAGTAATGCGTGTTTTGAAAGGCAGTAGGTGGTAATATTTATGATTTTTATCAAAGTTTGATTTTAAAACTTAAAAAAAAAAATTGCACTCAATTTTTTTTTTTACTACTTTGTACGACTTAATGAACCTCCAGTTATATTTTAAATTTTCAACCATTCCTGTTTATTCTAACAATTTTATCCACACATACAAAATAAAAATTACGTAAAATCTCGCAAAAATTAAAATGTTACCGCTTCCAGAGAAACCAAATAGTTTTCTATCTAAATTTTAAGTTTTACAAATATTTTTATCTACACATTTTTCGGTTTTGCTTAATTTTTAAAAAAACTACAAAGAAATCAAAAAACAATTTTCTTGGTCACCAACTAGATTAAAAAAATCAACAAAACATATCGCTTGTTGTTTTTTATTAAAGCAATATTTCTAGTAGAGTGTGGAAAGCCTACAAATATAAAATAATGATATTGTAACACTATAAATGTGTAAATTTTCATTTTACGATTATTTGGTTTTTTCTAATTATTAATATAACTACTAATAAAATAGTTGTGCCATAATTTGAAAAATAAATATTTTTTCATCTTTTTGGTTTTTCCAAATTATTTTGAAAACCCCTTGGAAAATTAAAAAAATGACCTCAGTAAGCCAACTAGAAAAAATGACCTTTCAAAAAATTTATTCTCTATATCTGAATGAGATTTCTTTTCACAAACAGAAAAAATACAAAATAAACAGAAAAAAAACATAATAAAACCAATAGAATTCCCACTACGCTCTCTAAATTTGTTTAAAATTGCTGATAATATATTAATTTTTCACTGGTAGCAGGGTGATACACATCCCCACATCTCTTTTCTTCCAGCTGTGATAAGAATGAGATATTAGTTTATCATATAACATTATTTTTAAAATGATTATAATCATGGCTTTAAATACTAAAATAGACCTTAAAGTAGTGGTTATAACTTTTAGTACACTTTAAAAGAAAAATAACTTTTAGTAAAGCATAGTGTTTTGTAATTGTTATAAACATATGTGCTTGTAAAATAAATTGTAACTTGTAAGTAATAATATTTTTAGTCAAAATATCATTAAACTTTGGTCTTATAATGCATTTTATGTGAATTTAAATATTTTAGCTTTAGTAATATATTAGATTAAAATGATATATTCACATAAGTATACTTATTATTAAATAATAATATTTCTATTTTTTAAATTCCATAGTGATATGCTATTTTTCATTTTATTAATGCTTTTATATAAATTATATTTTAGCACAAAAATATTTATTTTGTACTTTTATTTTGATTAGGCATCATATAAAAAAAAATATTTTAGATGTGTGTTATTAAATAATGTTTTTCATTTTTTAAGAGCACTTTTATTATCAAAATTTACAAGTAAAATAAATAAATAAAATTGAATTAAAAGTATATGTTTAATTTAACTGCACAACACTGAACAATAGATAACCTATAACAAAACAACAATAAGTTTTAAATCAACTTAAAACCTGCTTTAGAGATTTATAATTATTAAAACAATTATCTATCCCATAGAAGTTGATAAATAAAATATTTGATAACCTAAAAAATATAGATATGAAAAATTCTAGGTACAAATTTATTAGGTGTTAATTATTTACATTTGGTAAAAAACATCCAGAATCAAACATCTGAATTCCATTGTGAATAATACACTTTTATGCCACAAAACAATTAAACAGTACAATACTTTAAAATTTTATTTATATGATTTTTCAGTACTTTTTGGAGTAAAATTTGTATACAATATTATTAGAACTATAATATTTTTATCTGCAATGTTAACATTATTATTGGTTTTTATTTTACCTAACAATAAATCTAAGTATTAATTCAAATAAATTTGATATTACCTTTATAATACACAATAGGGTTCAAATGTTTGCAAGTTGTATATTAATTTATATTTGTGAAAATTAACATCACACAGTTAACACTTTTGTTATTGTTTTGATTTGGATGTCTTTATTAATTGTTTTATTAACTTTAAATTTAATTATATTTATACCAGTAAATGTATGTTTATACAAGGTAATTCACTAAGTGTGTTCACCACATTATTTTGGTTAGATTTTACATATTTCAAATTCTGATTTTTGAAATTTTTAAGTGTTACGACAATATTTTCATATATTTAAATTTTTCTTAACATTTAAGGAGTATCCTATGATGATTCCAACATCAGTTTTTCAAATGAGAATCTATATTTAAAATTACATAAATAAATAGATGGAGTATTAGTTTAAATAAATATTGGTGCTAAAATTTTTGATTTCCGTTAAACCGTTGACCAGATATTTGACTTTTAAGTTTAGGTAGGGGCATTGGAGCACATATGGGAGTGCCAAAAAAGGCTTAGCACCCCTAAATCTAGAATAAGCATCCCCAGGTTATGAACTTGATAAAATAATTATAATACTCAAATAGTATTCAATTATGAATATGAAGTAATTATTATTATACTATTGTGTGTTGATTTATATTATATTATTATGTAAGTTTATGTTAATTGTTTTCATATATTTAAAGAGATACCTATGTTGGTTATTTATTGGGCAATGAAACTTTCATTATTTCAATTTTGTTTATTTAATGTGTAGGTAATATTATATAATTTTATTTTGAAATATCAAATAGGTCAGCAGGTGTGGGGGCGAAGCCCCTTACGTAATAACTTATCGTAAATAATTTTAATTCTCCCAAGTTTAAGACCGAATGTGCGCTAATGGGTAGAGAGAAAATAGTGTAGTATTATTTTTGGGTGCACCGGCCACTAAAATTTAATTAATACTCCATCAGTTTATGGAATTTTGTATATAGTCTCTCATTTGTAAAACCAAAATTGGTATAATGATAGAATACTCCTTAAATGTAGAGAAAAATTTAAATAGTTAAAAATACCATCTTCAGTTATACTTTAATTTCCAAAAATCAGAATTTTCAATGTATGCAAAATTTAAACAAAAAAATAGAGTGAGTACGCTTTGTGAATCATCTGTATAGTCATTAAAATTCTAACACTCATTATTATTTATACACTTAATGTAAAGTTTAAATTATGGTTATTTTGTGTTATTGATATTCTATTATTATGTTTTGAATTTATTTTAGATAATGGAATAGCTAAAGAAGATCTTGATAAAATGTCAAGTGTCTTACCTACTGTTTGGTTAGGATTTGAAAATGGTTGTATATTTGTTCACTCAGCCAAGTCACAATGGAAACGATGTTTACATTCAGTTAAATTAAAAGATGCTGTTTTAAGTATCATGTAAGATATTTTTTTTAATATGAATTATTATATATTATGTATTTAAATTATTTTACTTTAAGTTATGTCGATGGTCGTGTTTTGTGTGCTTTGGCTAATGGAACGGTAGTTGTATTTCGTCGTAACGATGATGGTCAATGGGATTTAAGCAAATATCATAGTGTAACTTTAGGCCCACCACAAAATGCAGCTCGTTGTTTAGTATCGGTTAATAGTAAACGAGTTTGGTGTGGTTATAAAAACAAAGTGCACATTATTCATCCACGTTCATTAGTTGTTATTGTATGTACTGTTATAACAAAATATCAAAATATTATAAATAAGATAATTTTATTATAAAATAATGATGTAATAATTTAGCATACATTAGAGGCACATCCTCATAAAGAGAGTAAAGTACGTACTATGGTTTGGGTGGGCGATGGCGTTTGGGTATCAATTCGTCTTGACTCAACAATAAGACTTTATCATGCATATAACTATAGTCATTTACAAGATGTTGATGTACAACCATTTATTATTAAAATGCTAGGTAAATTTGTTGTTATTAAATAACATTAAGATTAAAATAATTTAGTAAATTGTATTTTTTTTATTAACAGGCTCTGATAAACCACAATTATCATGTATTAGAATTACAGCAATGTTAGTTGCTTCTAATAGACTATGGATTGGCACTGGAATCGGTGTAGTAATATCAGTTCCTCTTTTAGACAGTAAGATATTTTTGATTATACTTAACATTCCTCAAATTTTATCTAGTGCTTAAAGAGAAAAAATAACTAGTTTTTTTTTTTGATATATTTATGAAACACTTATTTATTTGTATTTTACTTTTAACTTTTCTAAGATTAGTTCAATTTTAATAATGGTATTAATTGATTCTTACTGAGTTATTTTTTTTTTTTTCAGAAGGTTTATTAGGTTTCCCAATTAATAAAGAAGTTAAAGTATATTCTGAACCAAAAACTCAAGAAATCACACCAAGTAGTTTCACACCATATTGCTCAATGGCCCATGCTCAACTGTCTGTGCATGGATTTAGAGATTCAGTAAAATTTTTTGTGTCTGTACCAGGTAAAATATATAAAAAATCAAAATTTAAACTCAATAAATTTACTGACATACTTAAATGATTGAAAAAAAAATCTTAAGAAATGAAGAGTAATACTTAACAAAAATGGACAGGGAAGTGATAAGTAGAAATAAAAAAAAAGAGTATATTGTGTATCAGTATGGAGAAACAGGACCAGACTAATAATAATAATAAGTGGTGATGTAATAGGCAAGGTTAAGAGTTTTAAGTACCTAAAATAGTTCTTCAAAAGAACAATGTCTTTGATATAGATTTTAAAAAAAGGATTAAGTTTAGTCGGATAAAGTAAGAGAAGTGTCAAGTATTTATGTAACAAGAGAATTCCTATGACACTAGGTAAGTTCAATTAAATTGTTGCGAGACTCACTATGTTGTATAGATTGAAGTGTTAGGTCATATACAGAAAAATAAAACAGTGAATAAGCGTAGTAGAATTGAGAATACTTGGGTGGATTAATGTAGTGATGAGAGTAGATAGTAGATAGAATAAGGTATAATAAGTATAATAATGAAATGTACATAAGAGGTAGCTTAGGTGTGGCTTCCATAGTAGACAAAATTAAAGTAATGGACCGAGATGGTTTGGGCTTGTTAAGATGAGAGAGAAATCCGACGTAGTAAAAATTGTAATGAAAATAAATATAAGAAGAAAGAGGACCATTAAATTTTGAAGGTTGAATGTGAGATAAAGAAATACATTTTAAATGGGAAAATTCAACTCCTGATGAGAACCATCATCAAAATAAAAATCTGAATAAATTATGGGATTTTTAAAAACAAATTTGAAATGGTTGTTTTGATTAGGAAATTGATCCAAAAATAATAAATGTCCTAGAAGGCCCAGCTATAAATAATGCAATCTCAGAAATTAAACTTGCTAAAAATCTCCTATTGTGTCTTCTACATCTTACTGATAGTTTTATTGACGACTATTTTGATAAAATTTAATTTAATAAAATTATATACTATACAAAGAGCATACCAAAAAAGATTGACATACAGAATATACTGGGTAATTCATTGAAGTGGGGTACACTAATTATCTTGGAAAGTATTAACTTTTTTCGGAATTTGTTTTCTAGAATATTTAAGAAACAACCAGCTATACAATTTTATATTTATGTTATTTTTTGTAACCCTTATTTTTGGGAGTAAAACTACTACCTACTTTTGATTTTCAAATGGCAACCTATATTAAAAATTCCATAAATAAATAGAGTATTAGTTAAAATAAATTTGAGTGTTGAAATTTTTTATTTCTGTTAAGTCGTTGAAGAGATATTCCACATTTAATTTTAAGTTGGAGAAGAATAAGAGTGCATTATTAATATGCCACGTGCCGTACTACTACACTAATGATACTCCAATACTCTCCTTCAACCCAAACTTATAAATGAAATATCTTGTCAATGGATCAACGGAAATAAAAATTGTCAACACTAAAATTTATTTTAACTAATTTTAACTCAATCTATTTATGGACTTTTAAATATAGGTTGTTATTTGAAAATCAAAAGAAAGTGGTGGTTTTACCCCCAATAATAAGGATGACAAAACATAACACAAATATAAAATTGTGGAGCAGTTTGTTTCTTAAAAATTCTAGAATACAAATTCCGAAAAAAGTTAATACTTTTCGAGATAATGAGTGTACCCACATAAATGAATCACCTAGATGGGAATTTAATATATATTTGTAGGCAATGATGATTAAACATTGCTAATGAAAAACGAGTCTTATTAAAGTGTGGTTAGTTTAGGTTATACATGTTTTGAAAATATGATTTTAAAACTCTATTAAAAAATAAAAATACTACATTAAACTAAATTATTTGTACTTAGGATCTGGTGGTTTTTCAGCAGCATCTGCTATTCAACAAGATGAGCCGATAGTTGAAAGTGTACCAGATGCTGAACATTTGACTTCTACATTGATTATAGCTGGTGGTGAAGGTTATATAGACTTCAGATCTGGTAAACATTTTATAATCATGGTTTTTTAAATTAAAATTAAAAACATTTTAGAAATAGAAATATTTAAAATGTTTTGTCTGTAGTCGATGGCGAAGAAATGAATGACACGACATGCCATTTGCTCGCTTGGTCCATGTTGTCTAGAATTATTCAACAGGACAGTTACTAAAAAAGTTTTAAAAAAAAATATATCCCTCAAATATTAAAATGGTATTTATAATTATCGGTCCATAAGTTTCGCTTTGATTTTTTCTTTTGTTACTGATATGGTTCAATTTCTTGACTTCTATCCTAAAATATTGAAATTTTTTTTTAGCACTAATCTTTTTAAATAGCAAATATTTTTAAATCATAGTATTTTATAATTTAAAATTATTTATTGAAGGTTATTACTGTCTGACTCTGAAGTATACAATTTTGTTTATATTTATTTGAATAAGTCAAATAACTAAATTTCATATAAATATTTAATGCACTTTAATCCTTACTAAACTGAAATTCTTTTTTTGAAATTACTTCTTTAAAGTTTTGTTTATGTTTAATTCCAAATCCATATAAGGGTCTAATCTGTGTTTAAATTTGTACAGTACATATATTGCTTCAAACCAAATATTTTTTGTATTAATATTTAACATTCTCTAATTAAAAATCTAAAACATCCAAATGTGTTAAAATTAATTTACATTACAGGATTAAAGATTCAATTTTATATTTGTAAACTAGGTACTACAAACCATCTTTTTATAAACTCATTCATTTTTATTCTCCAAAAAAATTATACACAACACTGATCACTCACTTTACTAACAAAAAAATTGGTAATAATAATAGCTATTACAGATTTCAATTTTTAATCAATTTTAAATAGTTGTACTCCAAAGAAATTAATAAATTGATTTAAATAAATTATATTGTATTTTATTATGTACATTTGTTTACAATTAATGAACAAACTTATAATTTATAAGTTTTCATTAATAATAGGATCACATGGATGTGGATAAAAATATTCTTCTACTTGTACATATAACTACTTGTTACTTTTATGTTATATACAAATTTGATTGACATTGATTATTTTATCATCTATTATAAAGTATATTGTTTCTATAGATAGTGTGAGGTATAATGGTGTAGGTTAATTTAATTTGTCTTTATTTGTGTAAAAAAATATGTTGAACTTTTTATAATATACTATTCATTAATTTAAAATTAAATAAAACCAAACACACCACTAAAAAAAAAAAGTTATTTCTATTTTTACATCAGTTTCTGAAGATAAAACAACTGGTTTTCTTTGTTAACAACTTTAATACTTTAAAGTGATAATCTATTATAGTGTTGACTATTTTTATTTGATAAATATGTTACCTATAAATTTATTAATAATTTATTCAAATACATACTATCTATTATTTTAAACCATAAGTTGTCAATAGCCAATAGATTTTGGTTTTCAAAATTGGTTCTCTTTTAAGAAATATTGGAACTTTTAATTTTACTTAGTATGTTTTGTTAATTTGACCTGTACTAACAATAGATATTTGGTATACAATTTTTAAAACCTATAAGAGTAATATTTTTAATAATTTTAGATGAACAAGAAGATGGTGACTACTTTGATCGGACAGAAAAAAACCAGTTATTTCTCTGGGAAGTTTTAACAGAAGTTAAAAAAAAATTAAAAAAGAATGTTGAATCACTAAATAACACAATTTAATTAAATGCAACCAAAGTTTTCGTACAAAGTGCCATTTTTCTTTGTTACATTTTTTAATTAAACTGAATTCAAATTAATGGTATAAACTACTCTTCCTTATTTTATTATTTATTACTAAATATTGCTTTTGTTACCTTATTATTATCTCTGTCTGTTATATTATTATTATTATTATTATTATTATTATTATTTACCTTTTGTTGTATTCTACTGTGATTTATAATTTATTTGAGTACATGTTTGAGATTTTTTTATGACTAACTCTTTGTTGATTTGTGTTGGACAATATTTTATTACATTTTTAGATAATAATTTGTTAATACCTTTTTTACATTTATGAATAATGCAAATTTTAGTCAACCATAGTATTTATTATAATTATTTAATTAATATTTTTCAATATATTTTATTGTAACCTAATTATTTTAGGTAAATATTATTCATTATAAATATTCAATATAGTTCTTAAACAAAAAAACCTAAATTGTATTATTTTGTATATACGTTTTATTTTTTTTTAAATATTTGCTGACTGTATTATATAATTAAGTAATGCCAAATACATATTGTTTTTATTTAAATTACATTCAGTGTTAGATGTAATTATCTTTTATTTAAAAAAATATATAATGTGCAAATTACAATAAGTTTTTGTCATTTTAAATTTGTTCAAGATTATGTTTCACGTCCATTATAATTATTTTATTTTATAACAAAGTAAATTTTAAAAAATTAACTGTTTTAATAATTGAATCATCTGTTTACTAAGTGATTGCCTTTTACCTAATGTGTAAAAATAAAGCTATTACGATTGGTCAGTCGGCGATTTCAGATTATATTATTTTGTTTCCATTATTATTATAGTTGTTTATTTCCGTTTATTTAAATCTCATCATAAAATTACGAAAAAATAGTATATTATAATATTATCATAGTATAATTGAAATAAAGGATATGTCACAGTGTCACCCACAGTATCATTGTCCGTGTTGGCATTTATTACTTAGAGGATGTACAAAGCTCAATTTAACTATTATTCCATGTTTAATCATGCTAAAAATTACCAATTGCATCAAGACTTATCGAGAATAAGCTGTTAAGCATACCAAATGACATAAATTGAGCGGTTGTTTCATTCAAGGTTCTACAAAATATCGACAAGTGATTAGGTGCTAGTCACTTCTTTGAATTGTGTTTTGGTCAAATATATCAACTTGGACAGGACTTATACTTTGAAATACCAAAAATTGATTAGTGTTCTTGACTAACTAAATCTAACCAACATTAATGGAAACTCATCATAAGAACAAGACATCCAAAATGTTTTTCTCTTATACACATTTATTCATTAGATTATTAGAATATTAAACTAATAGGGTTTAAAAATAAACTACTCCTCCCCTCTCATATATTATACTACTCATATACCTGCTCAATAAAAATTAAGTAAAATAGAGTCTGATTAAGTATAGGTAATATATTAGTTAAATATTTTTTTTTTCCATAAAGCTAATTCGAACTGTTAAAATTACATTGTAAATGTCTGGGGGGAAATAACCAAATCATGCCCCCAGATTTTATAGACTCAAACTAAAGGAAACTGATAATTTTACCTTTATATGAGAAAGGGGACTCTATCAATAAGAAATAACTTTTACATAGGTGGCGCAATTATCAGAAAACTAGTGAACAAATTGCTTAATGATTTTATTGGTGGGTCGATATTATGAAATGACGTACATCAAAGAACTTCGAACATAGGCATCAAAACATTGCGGGTTAAAAAATCAATACGATAATTTCAATGACTGAATCGATATTAATGATGTGAACAGTATTAACTCTCTAAACTACAACAATCCACGTATGCGTAAATGACGAGGCCGATACGAACAGAAAAATATCCGATGGGTACTCCAAATCGCTATTTCGATCCTCAGAGATCGGTAGGACCAGTCATAATCCAATAACCAACAGATTATGGTTTATGACACAAAGCCTGTAGCAAGTAAAGGTTTGTCGGGAGTTAGAACGATCCGCTCTCTGAAGAGATTAATCAGACCTGGTCATAAATTATAAAAAGAACTTAATCTAAAAATAATAAAGTTTAATTTTTTTTTTTTTTTTTGTATTAAATGAAATTGTAATTATCGATAAATAGAAATTCTTAATTCACAACTACAAACTGTGTAAATAAGTTTCAAGAAACACAACCTAAGATTTATAATAGTATAGACTTTATTCTGAAAGAATAACGGAATTCGGGCTTTGTTGATATTTGGAATCAAGTACCTATACCTAGGTTTAAAATCTATTGAACTTGACTAAAAAAAAAAAATCGAGAATAAAAACAATTCCAAAACGTTTTACTGGACATAGTGAAACATAATCTTTTCCATCTAATAAAGATGAATAGGTATACTTAGGAAATTATTTTATACAATTTTAGATGTAACTTAATTTTGATTAAAAGACAAAAACATGTTATTGAACACCTTTTATGTTTAGAGTTATATTACCAGTTATATAATTTATTTTCATGGATCTAATTTTGAAAAAGTAAAATTGAAATTAGGTACCCGCACAGATATTTTTTTTTTTGATACATAACCTAGCAAACACAAGGAATAGATATATTTTAATTTACAACACTTACAAAGATACACATACAAATATCTTTGATCTTTTTTGGAATCTTACGTGACTTATTACCAGAGTTAATAATTAAACTATTGAAAATTATATTAATAAAATCAGTATTTACTTGTATGTAAGTTCAGCAGAGAAATCATTTTCTGCATTTTGGAAGCTTAAGACTTACTTATCTCAAATCTACAATGTCTCAAGAACATTTAAATGTTAGATAACTACTTTAATTAGGTATCTATGTCTATGTTTACAGAGATGAAGTTGATATATCAATAATTCCTAAGTAATAGTTTTATTAACAGTACTTACCCATACAAGTAAGTCAAAATACTTTTTCATAGGTCTGTAAAGTTAACCGTAAAAATTTCAATATTTTCGTAACAATTTTTGCGATGAGCTTTGTAATCTGGAAAGGTGTTGACTGTATTTTGTTTTCGTGTTAGGCAACCAAAATATTAACAAAACAAAATTAATAGTCATTTTTACTAGCAAAATCTTTTCTTTAATAATATTTGTTTAATGTACCGATTTTCTCGGTTGTTCAAATTTGATGGGAAAACACGGGAAAATCAAATAATGACCTTCCTTACCATCCCTGTTAGATTTCCTTTTAGAAAAAGTTCTATCATTGTAAATGGGATTAAAATTGCTAGTAGAAAAGTTGTTCACGAGAAAATAAAATCAATGTTATTAGGTGTTATTGACAATATAACGAATCACTATGATTTGTACTACATCTAATTATTAGAGCTGCTAATATTTTACCACGATGTTAGACTAACTGATGTATCCAATGAAACAATGAAGTAGATTGGGTATTTCTGCAGACTACATGCTCACCAATTTGAGGCATAGTCGGTAGCAAAAAGTGAGATTTCGTAAACCTACATTCTTTAAGTTATAATTATAAATAAATATTATTTTATCAATTTGTCCGACCCCCTCTGTGGAATTCTACCATATATTCTAGCAATTATAGAATATAAGAATAAATTTTCTCGTCACATGATTATGATATGAACGTTTATTTAATGATAAATGTTATTATTAGGAAGTTGGGAGGAGACACATTTTCATTTTTATTTTTTTGTATATATCCGTTCAATACTGTGCATGGATGAAGACGAAAAAGATCAGCTTGTATAATATTTCTTAAGTATTATAGATATTTTGATAGTAGTTAAGTATATTGTTTCCACAAAGTTCAAAACACCAGTGTAAAATCTGAAATAAAATTTGTAGGTAGTGCAAAAAATACAATAATAAATAAACCGAGTAAAATAAAGTATAACTTATATTTCACTAACATGGATATCCATATCACAGTAAAAGTATTTTGTACGATTTTCTCGTTAAAGATTTTATAACCAGTCATGTGCATATTAAAAAAAAAAAAATTATAATGATAATAATTTTACAACATAAATGTTAAATATTAACATAAATACACAAACAACATATTCAACTCAAATTTATAATACAAAACACGCACCATTATAATAACAAAGTCAGCTATATTATATATATACAAAAATATATATTTTTTTTTTAATATGTTATATCATGTAAAATATATAATAACCAGATACATTATTAACATAATAAATAAACTAAAATTTCGAAGAAGTGTATCAATTATTTCAAAACCGGTGGGAAAGATTATAAATAATTGATTTTCTTCGAAATTATAAAATAATAATCAAATAAATATATTTTGTTTGTAATATTTTATAGAATTTAACAAAAATATTTAAAAAAAAATAATAATGATTCCCTGTAATTCAAACACTAAACTAAACCACAAAAAAAAAAATTACATAGGTAAAAAGTATTTTTCTGTTGAACAAAAAACTATCCATACATTTAAAAGAATTTATAAATATATATTGGTTGGTATGCATACATTTTATTAAATATAAATGTTTAATTTTTAAAAATTGGTCAACATAAACATAGAAGTTTTATATAAAAACGGACGGACACATTATAAAAAGATATATGTTGACTATTAATCATAATTCATTATGTTTTTGTATAAATTAATAAGATAAAGTTGATAAAAATGTATTATAGTTTCGGATGTTAAAAAATATTATAATGCCATTAGAGGATTAGAGTTTTTAACTAAACTTTTTTACCTATCTACAGAGCTCACATCATGTGAATTTTCAATTGAAGATACATCAGTAGAATTAGATATGATTGATGCATTAGATAAATCCTTCACACTCAGTGTTGTAGAATTATCTGTTATTGGTCCATTATCAGATAGTTGTTCAGACAAAGATGAATTTGCTGTAAATAAAGTATTATTTATTTTATCAGTCACCTCTTGATCTTTAAATATATATACATATATAATAATAATAATAATATATATATTTATATGCTTTACTCTTACATGTCAAATTGTTTGTCGGTGCAATTGTGTTATCAGACAACTCCAATTGTGGAGTAATATTTTGTGTATTTTGTTCAACCACATTAGAAAATTGATCATCAGCAATTTCATCTCCATTAGTCACCATTGGTTCTCCAAAACTTGAATCAAAATTTGCCCAACCTGTTTCTAATCTAGGTTCAAGATTTATAACATTATCTCCCCATGGACTCGAAGAAGATGGATTAGAGACTGTAAAAACCAATCAAGTTTAATGTAAATAAATAATCATAAATGCACATTCAAGATATACAGTTATTAATAGGTAACTAAATATTTAAAACATTTATAAATATCCATCGCCATGGTCGTGACGCAGAGTTAAGTAAAAAAAAAAGAGCTTGTATGTTGGCCACAGTATATTACATGCCTTAACCTGTGTAATTTTACAGCAAATAGTCTGACCTCTTTGTAGCCTAAACTAATGGACTGATTGTTTTGAAATTTACACAAGTTGATCAGTATGTTATATAGATAATACTTTTGTAAAGTTCAAGTTGATCAAATGATTACAGCCTGAGTAATAGTATAAAAGTATTAGCATACATAACATACAAATTATGTACCATAATTGGTAATAAAGTTGTCATTGGTCATAATTTATGCCAAAAAATGTATCACACACCTTCCTATGTACACAGTAAATACAATTGTCAATTTTGGTTTTTTAAACAAAATATTTTATAGACCACAGATAACATAAAAACTTAAAAATAAACACTAATAGCACTTTTAAAAACATATTTAAGGTGGAAATCAATTGGATTGACTGACTTTTAATATAAAAGTTTTTTGTGGCATAAACAATGTAAGTAGTTCTAAAATTTCACAGCCCTAAAATGTGATAACTATATAGAAAAAAAAAACCCCATAATAAAACATAATTCCCTTTAAATCTAAAATGAATAAATATTACACTTACTATTAATTGAATTGTCATTGATCATTTCACTTGATGATTTCGCATTTAATTGTAACCTAAAGGTTTCCCAATCTGTGTTTGCAGGAGACCAATACCTTAGGCATATTTTAATATCATTAGTATTTTTTTTTGAAATTTGTATACTAAACTTACTATATAGTATACTTACAAATTATTATCCTTTGATAAAAAATTATCAGATTTCTCAACATTAAAATCTCTCTTGGACGAACAAGGATCCTTCCACAATTGATTGTTGAACAACTCTACATTTTCTGCTAGATCATCATTTGCATCTTTACATTCCGGTTCTTCAATATTCATTTCTGATGATCTTAATGAACACATGTGATTAAACATATCTGCTTGTGATTCTGCCAAATCTCTAAAAACCAATCAATTATTATTGTATAGTAAAGAAAAATTTTAAAACAAATTTACTTGTCGTCATCATCATCATCATCTTCATCGAAGTTTACATCAACTCTAGATATACCAAGTTGAATATCATTGCTGTTAAATTCTAATTCAGGTTGCCCATAAATAGCTCCTTTTTCTAGTTTTTTTCTAATATTCATCATTACTATTTCATCTCGAGGGTGTAGTCCTCCCTTCAAATTTATTTTTAAGATACATTATATAATTACTAAATGTACTAACTTAATTATAGAGACTAATAAGCCTCGTGCTTCTTTATAGGGGAGTTAAAGAAAGAAGCCAGATGATTCTTGTATAAGGATTTATAGGAAACAGAAAATGAATGGTAGAAGAGAAGTGTAAATCAGCCTACTAGTTGAATCCTTAAAAAGTTCTAAATCCTATTTACCAAACAAGAAGACATTCTTTCATTATCAGCTTTTAATGTAGTTGATGTAAAAGTATTCCATCTATGAATAATATCATCACTTAATGTACGTTGAATAATTCCTCGAAAGTGATCTGAATAAAATACTTCAGTATTGTGTACATTATTAGCGATTAATGCTAAATGACCAATATATCCTTTTCTTTTTTTTCCTGGCTGAATACTATAATGAAATTTTTTTTTTATTTAAATTTTTATACTTATTTACACATAAAACACAATTTTTATTCTATACAATATTATTTGTTTCAATGTATAATATATTACCAACAATTTTCAAAATTTGTTATTTATTGGAAAACATAATTAACTGTCATTTTAATATGTAATGTTAATTTTTTTTTAAATTAAAATATAAATATTAATTATTATTATTACAATAACCTATACAGAATATGAATACATTATATTTCTTAAAATTTAATTAATTTGATTAATTTAATTAGTTTAAAAACGTACAAATATGTAGTTTGATAATTCTATGGTATATGGTGATATTGCCATAGTAATAGAAGGCATATTGAACGAACAACATATTTTTAAACAGCAATCCCTATTTATAATTTCAAATTTTGAAGTAGAATATTTACCTAAACATTTTGTTATACGAATAGTTAAAAAAATGTCAAGCATGTAAATTGAAAGAATAAAAAAATAATATTCTGAACAATTATATCATTACAGTTTTATAGTTTATTTTTTTAAAGAAAAAATTCAAAATTTACATATTAATTTTGAAAGCCCAAGTAGAAAAATAAAAACATTGCTTAATACTAGATTACTGTTGTTTGTTGTATTTAGAAAAAAATATGCACAACAAACAATAAAAAACTATCCTTTTATAAAAATTATCTGTAGTAAATCTATGAGCTCAAATTTTAAAATCACTGTTCTTTCCTAAAGTTTCTGTCAATTCTTTTTATTATTAAAAACCATGTATTTAACATGGACTACCATTTAAAAAGTATGTAGTTTTTCTGAGTGATCCTGTATAAATTAAAATTTATTTGTAAAGTGTAATATTTAATTTATACGTACCATTTTTCATTATCAAGAATACATTCAATTAATTTACAATCTCTTAAAACCTATGAAAGATAGACAAATGAGTATTACTAGACACAAATAAAAAGTATAATTATTCTTACGTGAACTAAAAATCCAGTATTGTCTGTTATTGAGTGATTACAACACATAATCTCATGAAAGCATTGTACCACTTGAGTATGAAGAAAATTATTTAATTCATAGTAAAAGAAGGAATCCTAGAATAAAAAAATATTATTTTCTTACAATATCTTAATTAACAAGAATGTCTGGTGCAACCTAAAACAATGGTATTTGTTTTTGAATAAACAAGAAAATAGAATTTTAAATATTTATATTTGCTGAGTGTTACTAGTGGGTAATTTTCTATGTTCTAAATATTCAATGTCACTTAGTAGTGACTACTATTCTTTCATCCCAATTGCTGAATGTACATACTTGTATAGATTGTAATTAACTTGTAGAAATAAATTTATTATTATTTCATAATATTGTGGATCAATTAAGTATAACATTATATGCACACTTATATTATCCATGTAACTTAATACATTTTAATATAACTAAAAGTACTTTTTAGTCAATTTTTACATTATAGATATGCTACACTTAATTTACCAAGAAAATTATTAATATTTTAAATCATTAATGTATGAAACAATAAAATAATTAGTATGATAAGCTACACATATTCAAAACATTTTTACTAATAACTAATTACAATTCATTTGTATAAAAATATTCAGTAATCAACAAGTTTATCATACAAAACAATTTTTATTTTCATTCAAAATTCAACTATTTTATGACATTATCATTGTATTGATTAATACTTACAAGGAGAACTTTTATAGTGTTAAGTTGAGCAAATCGTTCATTTATTTGTTGATTATGCATACTTAATAACAAACTTATCAATTTGACAATTTGCAAACGTACATTACCAAAAGGCTTTTCAATTATATTTCCAATTGATGCTAAACTTTCAATCTAAATTAAAATAATTAAAATTATAAGGGTATAAAACATAAATATAATTAAAAAATAATTATTTTCTGCAGTTTATAATATTCAATTGTTTTTTGTAAATATTTTAGTTTTTAAAAAACCGAAAACAATCTATAAAAATTGCAATAAAGCAAGTTAGATTCCAAATTTTCAAAAAATTATTTTTTCTTATCAATTTAATAGTGGTTGAAATTTTCATTAAGGTATAGTCTTATATTTTATAATTTTTTGAAGTTTATGAAAATATGAATATTATTATGATTTATAATTCATTAAAATATTTAATCAGTAGTCAAAGCACATCAAATGACAATTTTCTTTTACAAAAGCTAGTATAATAAAATAATATAAGATTTGTTTAAATAAGATTATAAAAACATACTAATAATTTTAACATATTGAATAGAACAGAAGTTTTTTCACGTATCAATCATGAGAGATCCTGTATATATACAGATGCAACACGACTATTTAACAAATATAATAACTTTTTTAAATTTTTGGTAATAATTACTAAAGCTCTGCACTATAAATTTACAATTTTTTACAAAGTTTTTAAAAAAATAGTTTGTGTAGTAATTTTACTAACAATTAATTATATTTCACTAACGACAAATTATAAGTGTTTATCAGAATAACAGCTTAAAGTATTATGATAAAAATATTATCAAATTATACAATATTACATTGAAAAATCAAAATAACTATCTAAAAAGTTTTAAGTACTCAAAAAATATGCTTTACAAAACTTTAAAAATAATAGAATCAACCTGAGTAAAATTTGACATTAAAATTTTTCTAAAAATTTAGATTTACAAAATAACTATCTCAATTTTATTTTCAAACTTGACATTTTTTATTTTAAATTCCTAAACAGTAAACATTGAAATTTAACAAAACATAATTAAGTTATGGCGCAAAGATGTAATAACAATTTAAAAAAAAAAGTTATTACATATGTTAAGTAGTTTAATTACACTCTGTATATATACATATACAAATGATTTAAAAATAATAGTCAATTTAATCATGATTTAGTTTGTATTATATAAAACATTTAAAATTATTTTTTTTAATATTTTATATTGTAAAAATACAATTTATTAATAGTTTAATAATTAAAATTACTATAAATAAAAATTGAATGTTATTTTTTGTTAAATGTTTATTTATTTTTATGAAAGTATATGAATGTATAAATTGTATAACCTTTGGAGGAGTTAATAAAACATTATGAATATGTTCTAAAAATGGTAAAAGTGTAATACATAGAACCTCAGCCATCGATTGTTTTTTGCTGTAAACCTCATTTGAATCTTCCGGTCTAAAGGAAAAAAAAATACAATCATTAATTTACAAGTTAGTTTGTGTTATAGTAACTTACTTGAATTTAGTAGCCATTAGTAAAGTTTGCAGTATTGATATTCCACCTAATAACGTACTCTCAGTCTTCTCATATTGGCCAAAAATTTTCACCAACACCATGTTTACAGTCTCTGGTCTGATTTAATTTAAACAATTATTTATAGTTAAGTCATTAAACTAAAAAAATATATATTTATATATTTATCATACGATTCAATTGAAATAACAAGAGGATTTTGTTCGAGAGGATGTAATTCTGATGCAACTTCAATAGCACAAATTGTTTCTGCTGCATTTAGTTGTCTTACAGGAATATTTTTTGTATCCAATATGTCCACTAACTTTAAAATGAGATGCTCCTTATCAAATAACTAGAAAGATGTAAATATATGTTATATATATGCATACACTTTTATTTGTATATGTATTATGCAAAGTTAATTATAAACTCGTACTATATACTAAACATACTGTGAAAATGTTACTTCGTAAAGGGGGTCCTTCTAAAAGTGTGGATATTTTGATAATGAGATCCATTATAGCAGATGTGTCAAGATGTTTCAGTAACAAATCTATAAAGTTTCCTTTTTCTGTAATTTTCTCAAGAGTTTTGAGACAATTAAACTGATATGTATACCAATCCTATATAGATGTATATAATATATTCATAATAATTAGATAAATATTATTGTATTTCATAATGCAAAAATATATCTTTATGTTTAATATAAAATAATGGCAATTTGAATATCGATTTTTAATGGCAAAAACATGAATATTATTAAATTTTTTTTTTTAAATTGAATAATAAAATATAATAAAATTCAAAATTATAAATATTAAATACATACTTGACTTCCTGTTTTTAATATAAGGCTACATAAAGTTCGACTAAAATATGAGGCCATTAATGAATTGAGAGGAGGTTCATTGTCTTCTAGAAAACCAAAAAAACACTTCCAAATATCTTCTTCGTGTGAAAGAACATGGTACATTGGTTGAATATCACTAGTTAATATTTCACAAGCTAAATTTGGCAAAACAAAACGCGTTTCTGGTTTTTCATTTTCTGGAGGTTCTTGTGTAACCAAACGGACTAATTCCAATGCAATATCAGGTTTTGTTAAACTAAAACAAACAATTAATCTCACAATTAATATTAATTTGGGTATTATTAACTCATCAACAACTACAGTCACTATATGATGTATCATCTGGGTACATTTATATAATTATTTAAAATAATATTTATATATTTCTGTAAATATAGAACGATAAACAGTCATAAGTTATAATTACACTATTTTTACACATAATTAAATGCATATAGTAAATGAATATATAAATAAATGAATGAATATGTCACCTGGAATATTATACGACAAAAATTACTACATAAGAAAAGTGAGAAATGGCATAGAATTAATGATAAAATTAACATTTTAGTAGCAGAAAATGTACAAAAATTTAAACTTAAAATCCAGTATTCTTTTCAACCATGAGTTACTAATTTAATTCTATAATTTTAAATAAAGCTGAAAACAATTTATTATATTAAGATAATAAATGCAATACCTATCAAACATTAAACTTTCAATCAATTAAAAAACAATTAATACATTGTGAATCCGTTATAAATTATATACAATTTCAAAATCAAAATCATACAAGATATATATATAACTTAATAAACAGCACCAAAAAAAAAAAACTACAAAAATAAGCTTGATAATATATTAAAACAAAATAATATAGTTAATGACAAAATACAATTATTAACAACGTAGTGAATACATTAAAAACAAATAATTCAGAAATCTTTCAGGTAGATAAATCTAATGCTATTGCTATCATTTACACTAATGAAATTCATAAAAAACTTTAGATTTTATAAATAATAATAATATTCAAAACTTAACACACGACCTAACTATAATTAACGAAAATCGTTGAGTAAAAAATTATATGGAACAAATCTAATTTTACAATTTTTTTATTTTTATACATAAATATATGTATATTACCAATTTAAGAACGATGGTAAAGTCAAATTTGAGCGGACTAACCAAGTTTTGAAATTATAGCTTTTTAAAGTTCTGATACTATGCAGATATTATATGTTATGTAAAATAACTAAATATTGTTATCTCTAAAATATGTTTGTCATAACTGAATGGTTACAGATACCTATTTTTATATTAGGGTTCAGGAATTTGAATCAATGTTCCAAAAAAAAAAATTTTGCATTTTTTTCCCCCTTTTACCTAAACAAGGAAAACACAAATGCATTTTGGGTGTAGCTAGGGATCAAGCTATAGCTTGCTATAGAACTTGAAAATTGAACTTGCTTGGACTATTTTAATAGCAAAATACCCTTCGATTAGCTGTGCAAACTTTTCTACCAAAAATCTTGCTCCGATAAGTGTTGCTTATTTTTTGAAGGGAAATTTTATCTCCATGGTAACTTGGGGAAGTCATTTTTTGATTTTCCTCAGAGTTTTCCCAATAAATGGGAAAAAACGTGAAAAACTATGAAAAATGGTAAAATGTACAATATACATTAGTGAAATATTATTATTTTTTCCACTGTAGAAATTTTTCTACAAGCAATTTTGTAGTTAATTACATTGACAGATATATATAGAAATTTCAAGATTATTTCAAGGATTTACATCGCAAAAAAAAATAAATTTTACAACTTTATTAAATATTTTGTTACTTACAACAGTAATTTGAGGTTATAATTGTTCAATTCATTTTACCATGCTCCTCAGCTCTCCCCCCAATGGCGTTAATTTTTTTAATTAATTTGGCTTCAGTGAGTAAAAAAAAAAATAATATTAAATTAATTATTATTTTTCAAAGGTAAAATGTGATGTTTATGTATCTATAAGAAAAAATATATTTTTCTTCTATTTCTTCCAAACCAAAAAATATTAAATATTAATAATTTCTAATTTCACCAAAAACTATTACACTGAATAAAAAAAAAGTCCAAAATAATCAATTTTGAGGTACTTTAATATGCAAATGATTGAAATAACATAATTAGGTTTTAAACGTGGTTCATTAACAATAACATAAAAAGTAAATACGATAGGTAAATTCTGATTTCACCAAAATGTTAAGCATATAATTACTATCATTTCTAAAAAAAAAATACCAAAAATATAAATTTTTGGTATTTTTAACTCAAAAACATGATTTTTAGAAAAATCAAATATTTCAAAGGTTTTTGACCAAATGAAGTTTGAGTGAATTTTTTTGAAAGTACCATCAAATTAAGAATACAAAAAAAAAATTTAGGAAAAAAGATTACAAAAAACCACTTGGGAGTTGAATTGTATTCATTCTCTAAAATTATGCCAATAAATTAAAGATAATTAGGTAGTTCCTTCATTTTAAAACAAATTTTGGAACTTACTGTATTTAAAAGACTAGTCTTTACATTATATTTGAATTGTTAATTCAGTTAATTAAATGCAAATTTCTTATTCAGTATAGGAACGTTTTAGTTTATTGAGAAAAATACTTACAAGTCTATTAGTTTTTTATTTTGACCCTTTAGTTCTTCTAAGAGATTTTGTTCTCTCATGAGATCATTAAGACATAAGTCCTATAACATAAAATAAACAATATGTTACTCAAAAATAAAATAGGTAACCATTAAAAAATGTAAATTATAATAATACAATTAATTATTTACCTCTTGGTCAAAAATTGAGTCCCAATTAGATGCCGGATTATTTTTCCAATACATGATTAATATCACAGACTCACTTCAATTTACAATAAAAATACGTAGTAGTAATTCATAAAACCACAACTTTTATAGAAACTTGTTAAAAAATTCAAAGTTCAAATTTAAATCAAAACATTACTATGTACTAAAATGTTAAATGTACTACTTCCAAAATTTGGTTATCACATCTGGAAAACCCCTGTTTATCCGATAAAAACGAAATCTAAATTATTAAAAACACTACAAACGATATAATATATGTATTAGTTAGATTCACGTTCGTACTGTAAATTTTGTATAACAGTAAATAATACAATTAAAGATTTCTTATAATCTATGAAGACAATAATTTATATATATTTTACTTAGTAAAAAAAATAGTATAATATGAGAAAAATAATAGAAACAATCAAACAAATACGTCGTATCAACTATCATGAAATGGCGGTCGCGGTCTGGAATTTTGTTACAGTGTGTTCACATTTAAAAGAATTAATAATGACGTTTGCAATATTAGACGAAACATGCTGTAGTTCACAATGCACACGATAAATGACGTCTTACGAAGCGGGCTTACATCAGTTCTCTCGATAAGATAAGAAATATAACCTCAAATGACTGAAGTATACCAACCTAGAAACATAAATATTCGCCTAGTGGAAATTGTTTATGCATTCAATTTGTATGTTTTTCCGTTGCTTTATTTATTTGTCTGTGTTGTCATTTTTCTTTTATCTATTGCTAATCTAATTTTGATAGATTTACATTGTTTAAGATTCAAAAAACGAGTGAAATCATTAAAATCTAAAATTTTAAAAAATTTCGGTCCTAAGGGAAAAACTGAGTTAGTTATTAACACAGTCACAATATTTAAAAATTTTATATTCGTATTTAAATATAAATTAATAATAGAAGTAATTAAGTGGGTAGGTAGTTAATAACGTGAGAAAAACAATTTACAAATATTATAGGCAGGTCGATATTCAGAGCAGGGCAAGAAGGTATGAGCCAGGGACGCAATCGTATACGAGGGACGCAAATTTCAATACTACTTGTGTAATATTTTCCACGTAATATTTGATGAGTGTAAATTTATTTTAATGACTTACTATAGTAGAGCCTCGCTCTATTTTTATTGTATACAAATTACTTATGTCGATTTTGGAGTGCAAAATTTGAAATGTTGACAATTCGTACCTAACATTATGCGTATAATTTAATATTGATATGTGAATAATAACATTCTTACGCATTAAATAATGCGTAAGAAATTTACAAGTTTTTCACTTGATTTGATAATAAAAAATATCGATATGAAAAAAAAATACTTTCATGTAATATATAAATGTATATATTTTTGATAACTGCATATTTTTTTAAAAATTTTAAGAGCATCATAATTGCTTATATCAAGTTTTTTTTTTTTGTATGCATAAATATATATTAAAATATTAATATTATTTTATGCAGTTTTTCGACATATAAATCCGGATCTTGGTTTAGGGCGACCATATGTCCTGTATTTATTTATTTATTACTTAATACATACTATGTATTTATACGTGTTTTATAAATCTCAAATAGTTTTTTAAACTAATGCAAATTTGGGGGGGCGCAAATGCAGTGATTCGCCAGGGGCGCCATCAAACCTCAATACAGCAGTGATTATAGTTACTTATATTTACATCTCATTTAGAGTTAAATAATACTATAGGTAACTACTATAAAACTATATTATAGTTGAATCTAAATATAATTTAATTGTTTAAAAAATGAAAACGACTATGTGTTTTATTGTACAAAGCGATTAATTATATAATTAGTATTTAATGCAATGTTCTTATGAATATTCATAAGCGTCAAACTAAGTAGTCAAACTTTGTTTTGTCAACCAAGTTCTTAATCTAATAAGCATAGAAAAGCAAGGAAATAATTATAAAACAAAAACAAGTTTTAAAAAAATATAAATATAGAGGGTCAAAATATTTATTTAACACACAAAACTCATTATTTAGAAAAGTATAAATTAATTTAGAAATTTCTTTTGGGAAATGAGTTCAAATATACAAGAAATGTATTAGACTAATTTTCTTTTAAATTCAATTTGAATTCACAAGAAAAACTATCCGTATAGATTTCTGGTATTTAATATAGAAGTTTTAATTTAAAAATTAAAAGTTTATACTCATTTAGAGTAGAACCAAAGATAAAAAAGACATCCTAGGATAATGGAGACGGATGCATCCACTGTTATAGGTAATTTAATGTATTTATGTTTATCTGTAAGCAACGTATTATATTAATAATATTAATATATTATATAAATTATTATAGGTAGTTATTAGAATTAAAATTGGATGCATTTGGTTAAATTATAATTAATTAAATTCAGGCTATAACAGTATAACATACCTTAGATATAGCAAAATAAAAAGCAACAAGATAATTGTCAAAAACCAATAAGAATTATTGTCAATCATCATAATATATTGGTTTGACAAAAATATTTTCGGCTAAATAGCAACAATACAATTATCAAAACAACCTTTTTTTTTTTAATATGATCAGGATTTTTCTTTCAGTGATACTGCTTATAGTTTTTCTGATGCTGTTAAAAGTCAGCCTTCTATCTCCGAAATTTTAAAACCTAATACTTCTTTTCATAAAGATAACTTCCCCACCTAATAGGAAAAAAGTCCATTTACCGGTTTAACCTCAATATTTATCCCCAACTATAGCTATTTAATAAAACATCTTACCCAAAATATTACCCCTGAAACTAACGCAGTTGATTTATCTTGGGTTCATATACTTAAGCTATCTAATTAATCTCTCATAAATTCTCCTTCTCTATCTTCACCCATTTCTCCTATTACTCTTCAATCCCTAATTGAATCATTCCCTTTCCCTTCTTAATATTCCAAACTCAAATTTCCTTGCTTGAAAAAGCTGTCGCTCTACCTAGTTAATATAACTATATAAATAACTTTAAGCTTTAACTTGAACCCATTCTGAATTTGGATCATTAATAACCATAAATAACCAAGGTGGATTAACTATCATTCACTAGTTCAGCGGTTCCCAAACTGTGCGGCGCGCCACCCAAAGAAGGCGCGAGCACTAAACAAGGGAGGCGCAGTGCGCGGTTAGAATTTTATACACGTATAGTTATGTTTAGATCAATTGTTATCTTATCTTATCCATCCGATTCTTCACTACGAATGCAATTTTCTTCATATTCACTTATGGAATTTCGGAACAGTATTAAAAACGAATATCCTGATGTTAGCAACAAAGCTTTTTGGTATAATAATACCGTTTGGCACATCGTATTTGTGTGAAACAGGTAAACTGCTTTCAACAGTAACCGTATTAAAATCAATATATCGGTCCAGACTCAACGTGGAAAAAGAAATGCGTGTTGCAGTAACTACGTTAATTACTAATTTTGAAAAATTAATAAACGAAAAACAAGCGCATTGTTCGNTTATTAAACATTCATTGCGGGAGGCGTGAACAATTTTTATTATTATTAGGGAGGCTTGAATTAAAAAAGTTTGGGAACCGCTGCACTAGTTAATACATAATTTATTGTACTAGGTTTAAGAGCATTAAGCGTTAAATAATTGCATAGGCACATTATTTTTCTTTTACGTTGGTAACACCCCTAATACAAAAATTATTGTATCTCTATCCTTATCAATTTTCTGACAACTATCCTGTACTGAAACACTACAGAACTTATTTTAATAATATAATAATAAACTAATATTTATAGTTCCTTATCTGCACCCCATAAACTTTAGATATACTGCCACGCCACGGACATCAGGTTGTTATATATATATATAACCTATCTATATATACCTACTTACCTACCTATAGTGGATTTCCATTATATTTTTGTTAGTTATAACTTGTCCACGAAATAATAAGAATAAAAAAGTAGACAAAATATAATAATATAATATATATATATATATATATATATATATATATATATGTACAATTTTTAAATTTTTAAAACTAATATTAATTATATATTATATAATTATAAATGAATATTCGATAGAATATTTTGTATTTTCGGACTTTTTGTCAAACTTTTTTCAAAACGGACTTTTCGTCCGGGATCATAAATTGTATATTTTGCCGTTATCAAATTGTATGGAAGTATAATTTGTATGCTAAAGCATATTATACAGAATTGTTTTTAGCATACAAGTTTTTGTTAACATCCTTAACTCATGTTCAATGTGAAACAACATTTTCGTAATTAAAATATATTTTGAACAGATGTCATATGAGAAATAAATATTATATTCTTTACAAAATGTAGATATCATTGAATATGTCGCGCAGAGTAGTACCTAATTTGATGAAAAAATTACTAATTAGATTAATTAATTAATAATTAAATATCTTAATACATAAAATATCCTATAGGTACTACGTTTGTGTGCAGTTAATAAGTACTTACAATATTAAGTAGACATTGAATATTTTATTTTAAATAAAGGGTAGACAATTGTACATCGTTTAACTAAATTTTTAATTAATAATGTAATTTCAATTTAGAAATGAAAATGTAGATTTTATGTCCACCAGACCCATCTTCCCTATTGTAATATGAAAATAAAATAATTTTACTTTGGTAAGGCCTGTGAAATTGTTCAGTCCGGACCGGTTGGAAGAATCAGTCCAACCCTAGGAAGATCATTCGTCCGTGGATTGTTCCAGAGACTACAAGCTCCCGGCCGAAATGCGCATTTGGCGTGGGGCCCGTACAGCTTCTTATAAAGGATGCCCCAAATACAAACACCATATAAAAAATTCACATCTTCATTCTATTTCAAGTCTGGTTCGTCCAATTCAGCTCAATAGTATTGACGCTTTCACTTAAAGACGTTCATATACAGTGGTAACATATGAACAACCGTCAATCAATAAACTGGAGGATTTTAATAAAATACCATGATTTGAAATCCATAATTACCTCACTACTAGCTTTACTGTTGAAAGTCTTGGAAAATGTATATTTAATTCCCACTATAGTGGTTCCTTAATTGCTTAACGTCCACTTATTATATTTCTTTACTTTATCTACTTTCTCCATTTAATGCCTTTTATTGTTATAACTATTAATTTTTGTTTCTTTTCACGCAGTATATATAAACCCGTATTTGGCTTTGTAACTATTTAGATTATCATTATAAATAGTTGTAAGTTAAATATTTTGCCACAACGGTTCTGTTATTTACTACTCTTCCTATCTCTTCAATTATCCTGCCCTTTCCAATAAGCATCATTTTTTTTTTTTTTATGTGCTTTTTATAATATTCCTATTTCGCTTCCTTTATATTTTCCAATGTTCCCCGTATCCATCCGATATTTAAGTTCTTTCCTTTAAAGGTTTTTTTTTTTATAATATCTGTATTACTATGTTGTTATTTTTATTGCTACTGTTTTCATTCTTTGTTTAATCTATTTGTGTAACCGCCGAGATTAGTTAAATTGTAATTGGTTTGTTTGGTATTAAGGACTGTAATTTGTTATTACAATTTTTCAGTCTTTTGTATGTAAATATACTATTTACTAAAATACATCTATAATCATCATTGTTTTAGATGTCTAATAAAAGTATTCTGATAGACCTTTATAATTCATAGACATTTGAGACTTCCTAAGTCATATAGACCTAAGTTTGACGTCTCATAGCCTTGGCATGTTTACTGGGATAGTGGATAATAAAAAAAAAAAATAACAACTATTTTATTATTTAAATTGTTATTAATTTATTTTTTTTTTTTTATTAAAACAATCATAACATAAAAAAAAAGTCGAGGAACACAGATTCTAAAGCTTAATCAGTCACAAAAAAATCTTCTATTCTTCCAAATAAACAACATGATCTAGAAAAATCACTTTATCATTACACTTTTAAATGGATACAAGTTGGATTGGCTAAAAGATTAATTTAAGATCATTAATTCAGAAAATTATAACATATACCAATTCAATATAATATTAAATATTGTAAATTCATAAAATAAATAACATATTTACAGTTGGCTTACTTTATTGATAATAAATATTAATAGATAGAATTTTAAATGTCAGTGTGCCAAAGAAGTATTTTCACAGCCTATGCATCGGTATTGGTTGGATCCATGCTGTTAAATGATTATCCGAATGTAGTATCTATTATTATAAAATTCAATTACCCTCCAGTTGTACACAATGATATTCATTATATTATGGTCGTGATATTGTAAAATAATATAGTAATTATTTCCAGATGAGTACCAGTTTATAGAACGAAGTCAATTTTTAATATATAAAAATATATAGTTTTTAATATATAAAAAATATACATATAAATTACTTATGTACAATGATCTTTTTCTTCTAAATACGCGTGAATTACACACCAAAAGTTTACCTGTATGTAGTATTTTATAATTTATAGCACATCAGTGTCAGAAAAATGCTTTAGCGTTGTAGCACCACTCCGAATGTTTTATCGAACAAATAACTATAATAATACATACATAATATATGAGTCCCTATAATTCAGGATAATTCATTAAACTGGAAACACTCATTATCTTGGAAAGTTATAACTTTTTTTGAAATGTAAGGCAATTACATAAGTTATTCAATAATTTTTAATTCAACAAAATATTTTACCAGACATATTACCCAAATATTTTAAGCATTGCAATATACCAGTAGGCAATAGTCATAAAAAAATTAATTATTTATAATCTTGGAATAAATAGATGTTAAAGTAAAACAGTAAATTAGCTTTTAAAAGCAAAATAATAGTAAAAAAAGCATATAATAAATAATACAACTGGTCATAATTAACTTTATATTAAAAACATACAATTTTAATTTTAAATAAAATTATATTTCACCAAATAACTTGCATAAATCTTCTGGAAGTGACAATGACAAACATTTATCTGGAAAATCTCTCTTATACATGCGCAAAAGTTTAATGATCTCTTCTTTCACTTCTAAAAATAATACATATAAATTATATAAATATAATAGAAATTTTAGGTTTATAAAATAAATCAATTATCTAAATTTCAAAACATAAAGCTCATTGAAAATATTTGTAAATTTAATTCACAATACTATAACCCATAAGTAAACAAAAAGAAAATAATTTTTTTGGAAAACTAAATATAATTTATGCACTATAAACACACAATTATAAATTTAAAATCAAAGACTAAGAGCTGTTTTTACAAGATCCTATAGTGTTTGTTAATACCAAAATATACTTTATGGGATGTTGTATGAACCGTTTAATGGATAATTGAACTAAATCCAATTTTGGTGACTTATAAATATCAAACACACAACTACAGTTTTATATATTATTACCATTTTCACAATATTTCTTTTTATCATTTAATGTCATTAACGATGCTTTAATCACAGGTTCTGAGAGTGTAATCATATACTGATTTCCAATTTCATATAAATACACCAAGCACCGGAATATAGTTAAATTTTCTACAAAGTCTTCATGTAATGGAAGGTAGTTGATCATAACAGGTATCACCTAAAAACCAAAACAAATTTCTTTTAATAATCCTTTATTAACATTTGCACAATTAAACACTTAAATGGGATTTAAGTGGTTTAATCCTTTCAGGAAAGGTGTCGTGTTTAGCAATACAGTAATCTCAAATTAGTAATCATATACAATCAAAGTATATAATATACTATATATAATGATTAATTTTGTGGCTAGGCTAGAAAATTGGCCACTTTTGAAAACCGAATGGACAACAATTTTGTTGATGTTACTGTTCATATGATATATTATGATTTCTATGAACACTGATTACTTGAGAGTGATCTGTTTGTCTGTATCTATTTCTGGACTGCTAGTGATTATTTTTTAAATTATAAAAAAAGGCGACAACAAAAAAATTGCTAACCAAAAGCAGATATATATATATATATATATTTTTTTTTTAAAGGAAACGGTGATGATTTTCCTAATTTACATTAATTTTGTAAAATTTGTATTATATTTTAATGATAGGTTTATTGGTAAGACTTCCACTAACTGTCCATTACCCATTATTGGGGACAGGTAAAATCCAAAAGAGATTTTTTAAATCTAAAAGTATCCTAGCAATCAGAAAAAACTTTTGAAAATATATTTAAATTACTACCGAAGTTTACTTTAAATCAACTTTCTTACATTTTTTTTTTTGATCATAGTTCATGTGAGTTTAACTTAACTTATTATATTATATGCATATGTATTTTGGGTTAAAAAATATTTCAGAATAAGTGCTCTAATTATGAACACATACAACTAAATATTTACATGATCGAGAGGTACTCCTTCGATATTAGTTATTATCATACGCGCTAAGGCTCCATAGATATTATCGAGGACTTTTGAACGTTGTTCTTTTGTAACCACTTGAGAAAATGTACTTAATATTGTAGGATAATATCTAAAATAATAAATAATAATAAAATATGAATTATATTTATATTTGCATAATTAATATATTTAAAATACCATTAAATTTAAATACTAACTTGTACATAGATTCTTTTCCATAAAAAGCAATTTCTCCTAATGCAAACACAGCATTGTTTCTCACACAGTCATCTTCATCTTCAACAAGAGGTATTATAAGTGAAAACATAAATTCAGATAACCCACTAGCATTTGTTCCTAGGCCCTTGGCAGATTCTCCAATGATTGCTAGCCCTGTAGATCGCAAAATATCCGAAGAACTGTTTGACTGTAATAAAAAATAATAATATTTTTATTCTTAATCATATTATAAAATATAACTTATTTACCATTAATTTTTTCAATAATGGCATCAATGAAACGAAATATTCAGTAAAAGCTTGTGGTGGAACAACATAACTTAGATTTGAAACAACATTTCCTGCATATTCTATAGGCAATTCATTGTTTTCACTATCTAACTCATCTAACTCACCAGGGTTATTTTCATCACCTAACTAAAATATTAAAGCACAAATGATCAACTTTAATACGACTATTAATCATAATTATAAATTATTTAGTTTTAAGTTACAAAAGTAACAGTATAAAATATTTTATTTTTTCTTTACTTTTAATGCTAAAATACTTTTAGCAAGAATCATAATTGGCTCAGCATATTTAATCATTTTACTTTTGATTTCTTTCAACAAATCAGCCAACACTTCTAGGAATATTGGATCAAGATTGTTCAAGCCATCATTAGTAACTTTTTTTTCTCCATAATTGAAAAATTTGTCCAAAGCTTTTTCTAAGGCTAGTAATCAAAAAAGAGAAATTTAGGTTAACACTAACACTATGCATGTACAAAATATCAACCAGTTTTCATTTCGGGTGTCTGTATAAAGCTAAAAAACAACTCTTCTGTGTTAGCATGGTTTATAATATTATAATTTATTAGTGTTGGATTAGTATTCTAAAATAATCGAGTACTGGAAATTTCAAGAATCAAAAATATTTTCTGGGAAATTTTAGGGTTCTATTATTTGAGTTATATCTATTATTATAAATTCAAACAATGAACCTTCTAGTTATTCCTTAGGTTTTTTTTTATCAGTTATAGGAAATATTTAGGTTTTCGAGATATTTATAGTTTTTACAATTATTTTTAATATTTTTTTAAACAGTTTAGTAAAGACGGGTAATCGATTCAAGACGAGTATTCGATTTAAGATGAGTACTTATGTTTACGAGTTCAAAAAAAACTCGAGTCGAAAAATTAAACTCCACTCTTAATTTTTTTAACAGTCTAGTACTGCCCAACCCAATAATTAATATTCAAATAATCAAAATAAAATGTTTAAGACTATAAAATCATTTTTTATGGGCATTACTCCCAGCTTTTTTTTATAAAATGTTATATTTTGTAATGTCTTAAAATTGTTTGTACGTTTGTTTTTTGTTGATTTTCCCCAAAAATAGAAATTGTTCTGTAATTTGTCTATTATATAATTTGTATATACTTATTAATTTATATTTTATAAGTAAGGCTAGGAATGTAATGTTTCGTAAGAATGCTTTTATGCTCTAAAAATTTTATTTTTGACAATTTTCATATAAATTATAAATTCACTTGATGTCAACAAAATTTTTACTGAACAATATAGACAATTTTATTGCCTTAACAGATTATTAAATAGGAAATCTAATGAATCCAAAATATCATGTTGAATTAGCCTTAAATTTGTTTAACCCTAGTTATTAGATGTTTACATTACTATTGTATCCTATTATATATTACGAGTACCCACCTAATAGTTTGTTATATTTATTATATAAGTGAGTACAAATCTTAACACGTTCACTGCGTTAAACACCAATTGGCGTATGGTCTATAGCATCCTGTCTATGAATAATCAACACCAATTGGTGTCATTCAGCATATGATGTGAAAACTATTCAACAGTGTTTACAATGACAAATGGCATCATTGTAAATTTTGTTCCAAATATTGCGTACACACCACGGTAGGTATCATGTTAAGATAAATTTTAAAACCAAAAGATCCGAAAATGCCACTAAAAACAATCGAATGCTCTAAAAAATTTGTCAAAAAATGTGAAATAAACTTTCTTATCCTCAATTAAAAATATATGAAACAAATTTGTAATCATCACATAGCATTTTTTTTTAAAAAAACCCCAGTCTTATTTAAAAAAAATGTCTACTTACAATTTTTAAATTTCAAGATTTAATTTATAAGAAACATACAATATATAAATTAAACTTACTTTCTTGACTAGTATTATTGGTAAAGTTTGATAGATTTATACAAAGTTTTCCATATGCCTCGAGTACAGAATCAATTGTGTCATCATCATCCTCTTCTAATAGTTTTGATAATACATCAAAACAATTATTTAAGTAAGGTACAAATTGTTCCCTATTTAAATACAAAAAATATGGAATTATTAATATTAAAACAATTATAAAATAGTAGTAATCATTTGTGCGATAGTACTCCACTACTCCTTTTTCATATCAAAAAGATTAAAATTTTAAAGGGGTATATGTTGATATCTCATTAATAGAAAATGAAAATAAAAACACCAAAATGTATTTCAACTAAAACATTCTTAATTTATGAAATTTTGAATATAGGTTGAAAACCAAAAGTAGGTAGTTGTAGCATTACTTTTCAATTGCTTAATTTGTATCTTTCTAAAAAGAAACTTAATACTTCCCAAAATAACGAATACAACCCTGAATATTCTAATGATTTATTTTACTGCATAAAATCTTACCCAGTGATTTGGGCAATTTGAGCAATTGTTCGGCAAGCATTATCTTTTTCTTCCATAACATGAGCATCCATATACACGACTATTATAAATAATATAATTAATAGATTTAATAAAAGTAAAAATAATAGCAATACTTACAATTATCATCACTATTATCATCATTATCACTACCATCATCTTCAGTCATTAAAGATTCATCATTATCTTCACCGTTATCATCATCACTACTATAAGCATTGAAAGTTTTTTTCTAAAATTTGAAACAATTTAGTATGAAAATGATTTTTTAAAAGTTACCTCGTATTAAAATAAAATTATTTATTTATAAGTACCTCTAAATTAAAACTATTATCAGCAACTAAGCTATTATCCAAACTCTTCAAAACATGTTTCATTACAATGTCCATATATGGTGCCAAATGACTAATAGATACTTTAGCCACAGTACTAAAAAGACCATAACATACTGCACGAACTTCAGGTTGATCTTCTTTTGATTCTTGGAGTAAGGTTAAACCACATTTTAAACTAGCATCCAAATAAGGTTCAAATACCTTTGGATCAAGAGCATCCACAAATTCTGATAGCAATTCTAAATTTTGAAGTGATTTTGATTGGTGGTTTTTAAATTTTAAAAAATGTATACACATTCATGTTCAAAATTAGCTGTTATAACAATTCTCTTTAAAAATATACATTATACATATGTAGAGAAAATGTTTCATATAAATATAATAATTAGATTGATATGATCATTAAAATAATTTTGGAACCTATCACTGTAAAATATATTTCTAGGGTGTGTAGTATGGTGGATGTTGAAATATGGATTAAAGAACTTTAAACTTAAAAATTATTATATTAGGTATTAGCTACTATACAATATAGTTTTTTTTTTATATATATACAATAGATATATTTTCAAAGAAAATTGATATAATATTTAACTTTAAACACTATATTTTTTAGATTATTAAAGAAATGTAGAATAAAGGATTACTTACGAATTACCATAACTTGTAAAGGTTCAAGAGTTTCATCTATTCCTGGTACCAAATAAACATTAAGTATTTCCATGACAGGAATGAAGTAAGGTGCTACAGCATCACCACCCGATTTAACTATACATAGAAATATTATAGTATTATTTAGTATTATAGTAGTATTTCTTAATTATAAAAATGAAACCATATTTTTAAATCAAAAATAAGTCTTTAAATATATATACCAATGCTACACATAATCATAATTGCTTTGTCTTTAAGTTCAATACAACATTGCTCATTTCTTATAATATCCAATACAGTAGCAACCATTTCTGCTAAAAATTCTTCAATTCCTCCTTCCATACTATCAATGAATTTATCAAGTGCATAAAAAATCATACGCACTTCGGAACTACATTCTGGCTTGGTATATTCTAATAATAATTTGTCTTTAAACATTTTCAACAATTCAGGTAGTATTTCTGATGCATATATACTAACTGTAGGCTAAATAAATTAAATTAAAATTAATCAAATTTACGATAATTAGTAATTGCATTAAAACCATTTATTTTGAATTTACTTACTTGAACATATTGAGAAACTTCACCTAAAGCATACATAGCTGCAGATTTTACTGTTTCATTTGAACTATTTAATCCCATTTTAATGGCTGTTACAAATTGCTTAAGATAACTTTTTTTAAGGTACTCCGAACAACCGTCAGATACAAAAGCCATAGTCATATAGGACGCCTTAAGTGCATTAGGATCCTGAGAGGTGTATGCAGAATCTATTAGTTTTATCTAAACAATATTAACAAATATTTGATTATTAAATCGTATATAAAAACTGCATTTAAATAAAATTTAATATCATTAATAAAATATTTCAAAAATTAAATAAATCATAAATAATTAAATTAATTGTACCTACAATTATTAATTTGCATTTTTAATTTCCTTAAATATGTAATAAAATTAGTTTAATTCATCTATAAAACTTTAATTTGAAGTCATCAGTCTTGAAATGACAGTATTTTCAAGAAAGTGAACATTTCAAATATCTCTGGACATTGTTAATTAGTTTTGTAAATGAATTGAAATAATTTTATAAAGCTTCTATGAAGGGTGTGAAACAAATTTAAAATTAAATATAATTTGTTGTTATTATCATTGAACTAATTTAATTAATATGTTGATATCAATAAATAAATAATACAATCCAAATCAATTTGTATATTATTTGCTAATACACACCATTATTGGCATGAAAGTAGAAGCTGATATTTCATCAGCAATAGCAGCCATACAATCCCCTGCAGCGTTCATTGGATTTAATGCATATTCGTCTAGAAACCAAGTATCATTATCAGTTTCTTCACTCAAAATATTAAACATTAATTCAATTATAGGTTGTAATAGATTCAATTTTACTAAAACCTGTAAAAAGTCAAAAGTACAATAAATTAAAACATAATTTCTAAAAGTATTAAAAGTATCAAGTATTATATATATATATATATATATATATAATTATAATTTTTAAAATATTTGGACTTTATTTTATTTGTGTTGTTAACATTTAATAATAAATCAAATAGAAAATAGAAATTTAACTTTGGCAGTTAAATAATTTTACTCAATTTTTTTTTTTAAAGATATTCATTTTTTCTTTTCTCTATTTCTCTAACCAGTAGGTTGATTGACAGTTCCAGATATATTAACTTTATTCTATTTTATTTGATCTTATTTATAGCTTACACATCTTTTTGAACTGTGCTATGAAGGGGTCCTATTGTTATTTTTCCTTCAAATACCTTTAAGAATAATGTTATGCAATCATCCAGGTGTCTTATTGTATTTAAATCATTTTTGTCAAAATGTATTTTTATCTATCAATATCTAGCACTGCCTCTTTTGTTTTTTATTACATTCAGCTTATTCTTTTGATTTGTCTCTTGATAAATCTGTGCTTTTAATCTGACACCACATTTCCACAGCTCCTAATTTTTTTCTTTTTACTTTAATTTATAACTCATTTCTCATATCTACAAAGCACAATGCTTTAGACAAAGTTTTTAAAAGCCTTTTTTTTCAGGATTTCATTATTTTCTATTCATGTTTTCACTATGTAATAATAATATTACTGAAAACTGTCTTTACTTGAGCTATAATGTCTGATTTCTTTCATTATTTTACTGTATTAAAACTATTTTATACATTCATACATTTGTTCTAATTTTCAGTAATAAAAATATATTTCTCTTCTCATTTTGGGGTCTTGTTTACATAGTAGTGGTTTTGTTTTTTTTTAATTCATAAATATTTGTATGTAAAAATACAATATAAAAATATATTTAACTATTTATTAAAGCACAAATTAGTTATAGTCTTAAACAAAACTTACCTTCTTTTTACTACGGATAATAGTTGAAATTAAATTAATACCATTGCATCTTAGAGATTCATCTATATCTTTATTACCAGCAAGTTGCGCAGAAACTTGAACAATTGGTTTTAAATATGGTATTAAAGCTTGAATAGAAACCTCACACATATTTCCAAGTAACTGATAACAATCACAAGCCTGATCAGGATTAGTTGTTGACAAAGCAAGAATAACTTCCAATACTCTAGGTATAGATTGTGAACATGCTTGCATAGCCTAAATAAAATTAAAATATAGAACAGTTTTCTCCATTAAATTATTAATTTATTAGTAACCTCTTTTTTTAAATTTTTTTTTTGTATTTTTTAAAAAAATACAAAAAAAAACTATTTAAAGAAAATTTTAAAAACGACAATCTACAAAATTTAGATTATTTATGAAATTTTAATTTCACCTTCATTCTCAGCATTACCAAAATACATTAAAAAAAAAAAAAAAAAAAAAGAGATGTTAAAAAGTAGTTCTATTCTTTACATAATATAATTAATTTCCATACTTGGGGAAATTGAACTGATATTTCTATAATATTATTCATTGAAGAAATAGTATCGCATACAACAGGAGAAGTGCAATCTTCAGCACTAGCTAATGTTGTGGTAAAAAAATTGACAAATGATATTAAATGAGGTTCAAACATTTCAGGAACATAATCAGATAAGTTTTTAATTACAAACATACCGAACTGTAAATTAAAACAACATTTAATACAAATTAAATTTTTTGTAATTCATTTGTTAAATAAACTATTATTTTTTTTTTTAAGCTTACCTGTCGTTCATTTACATTATTACTTTTTATATAAGTTTCAATAAAGGCAAACAATTCATCCCAATTACTTCTCATAAATTCATGTTTAGCTAATACAGCAATAAGTTGAAGAATAAGTTTTTTAACTTGAATACTAGGCTCTTCTATTATTGCTTTAAGCAAAAATTGTTTTATTCTAAAACATTAAAAATTAATATAAAAATAGTCATTGAACTAAGAACAATTTCAAAATGCAACATACGATTGGCGAACTTCTAGAGTTAAATTCATCCATGAATTACGTTTAACAAATTTTTTTCTTAACACAATAGCTGCATATTCTTTTACTTTATCATTTTTACAAGTGCCAATTAATGTACAAAGTTTGACAAATGTTTCAGGATTTTTGAAAGCTGCAGTTAATTCATCCGTGGCCTTAATTGAAAATTACAAAAAAGCTTAGTCAATAGTACCAATGTTAATTTTATTATTTTATTTTCAAAATGTGTGTTAAGACTGCCTCTAAAAGTGATCAAATTGTATTACTGTCTTATAGTTTGGAAGTTATATAAGAAAAGATGAACATAGTTTACACAATGGGTGGACCCACTGTTGTAGATGAAAAGTTTGGATATAGAGGGAAATGTAATGTATATATGTAAGTAAAGTTAAATCATTGCTAACGTAAAATGCTAATGATTCTGAGCAGAGCTTGATTAATAGTATTGTTTTTCAACAATAGGTAGATATAGGTATATGTAATATTTTAGTAAAATAAATATATACTGAGATAATTTGACCAGTAACTAGATTTGTTTCATATAATTTTTTACTAAAACAATTTTCATCAAATTTTATATAAAAACAGATAAATAAAAAAAAAAAAACAAAATTCTACAATAAGTTCAAATAATTTGTTTTGACAACTAAGTACGACTTTCAATGAACCCCCTGTTAAATTAAATAAAAATTAGATAGGTATGTACTAAACACGCAAAATTAAAATGTCTATAAATAGCTCAAAAATGGATATTTAAGTTTTACCATGTCTAGAAAAGGCAAATAAAAGTTTTCTGTCCAAATTTCTAGTCTCTACGAATATTTATAACTGAATTACAACAAATAACAAAATTAAAAATAATAAAAGCATTATTTTTGTAAATTTCCCGTTTTTCCTATTATTCAATCTGTTGACTGTCTTAAATTATAGATGCGTAGGTGTTTAATTATCTTCTAACTACCTATAGTCTAATTCAGAAAAATCCAATATTTTATTAGATTTATTACATGTACAGGGTTATTGATGCGATTTCCAAAATAAAAAGAGCAAAATACCTCTAGAATAAGAATTTTAACAGATATTTTGAAAAAAAAATTTTAAAATTGATTACGAGTACTAAAGTGCATTTGTGCAAAAATATATTTCACAAATATGTACTTACCTGTTTTATAACTTCATTATTTGGCTCTAATAAGCGTATCAAAATATCCTCAATTTCTTTAGTTTCGATCATTTTTGATTGAATTATCTTCAAATTTAACTATAAAAATAAACTGTAAGAAACAAAAAATCAAAATTAAATAAAAAAATTAAATGACCAAAACCACATGGATTCCACGATTGAATTTATGAATAAACACGCATGTCAGCTATGATAACACGGCACAGATTCACCGGTTTACAAACCTACTAAGAAAAAAATATATGCATGGAAGAAACAAGTTTTCAATTATATCAATACATTCTTTGATTGAAGTCAAGTTTTTGGGTTAAAAAAAAAAAAGTCAAAATATCAAAAAACCAGTACCATATTTTATCTTCTCCTTTACTCGATTCACGTTATGTAACTCAGAATATCCATTTTCCCGCAAGATTTCCTTTCACAGAAAATTGTACACACGTCGCAATATGATTTAATTATCAATACAGCGATGTCAAAATTTCAAAATATCAAAAGTTATTTTTCATGGAGGTATTACTTTATTTAAAACAATTTTATAGATTGAAAATAAACTGTTATCATCATATATCATAATTATGAAATATAATTAATAATTTACCCATTTTAAGAAACATCATTGTCATTTGTACTTTGTAGTTATTTATTATATTTTATTACCTATACAAAATTTTAAATAAAATATATAAACACGTATTCAAAATTACAAGGAAGTATCTTTAGCTATAATACACATATATAATAGTAAAATCAATAAAAACTTGGTACGCTCCGAATCTTATACTTACGAAATACTAATTCATTAATGCATATTACATAGAAAATCAAAATAGGTGCTAAAGTACTTACAGAATTACTTTTTTTTTAACCTTGCACGTTTATTTTTAATAATTTCTTTAGTTTCCATAACATTTAGTTTTATTAATTTTTCATGGTCGTAACTCATGTTGTAGCTCTAATGTATTTATGTATGTCTGTATGTAAACTATAATAATATATACCATAGAGTAAGAATATACTAGTGAATAAGTACCATGATGTTGATGCAATTTTATCTACATCATGATTAGTACATAGACAATAGACATAAAAATACTTTTAAATCTATGGATTTTAGTATTATTTGATTGTAATATTATAGTACCTACTACCTATGATAATTGTACAACTTAAACTTGTGCGGGTTATATTTGACTAATCACCTCAGAGTTTTAGTTATGGATAAATATGTCAGCTCAATATCTAAAAATAAGTCATACAAAATAATTAATTTGAATGTAAATTTGTATACCAATATTAATTGGATTACATTTGCCAAAAAAAGTAGTACACAAAACAAGTTATATTGGATTATAGACTATATTTAGAATAGAATATTTTTATAAAAATGAAAGTTAAATTATCAACTGAAAATTCATCATAAAGAAGATTAAATTAATGAATACTGAGTTTAATTAAAATTATTCTTAATATGTATTCATGGTTATATTCAGTGAGGAAAGGTGGAATTTAAAATCTGAGTCTCAAATACATATTTCATGATATTCATATATTCTTGCCATTTAAGATCATTTAATATTTAAATATTTAATCTTAAAAACATTTTCAAGATTATGACAATTATCAGAGAACATATAACTACCAAAAAGTGTTACTTTATTATAAATAATATTTAAAAGAGTTAAGATAGTTTTGGATATATGTTTAAGTAGTTTTTTTATATTTCTTTCTTAATTGACCAGAAATTAATGACTATTAGATAGTTTTTGACTTTCAAATGTACACCAATTAAAATGAATTTTTAGTTTTTAAAATATTGTTTTGTTTAGTTTGTGGATCTGAGTTTGTAAGCAACCCAGTGCATACAAAATATGATAATAAAATCACGCAATCTAACTGTCTCTAGATCATTATAAACAGAATTTATCTATAATCATGCTCTAGAATCATCAGTGATTTAATTGTGTTAAGCAACCAGGAGTTCAAATGAATTTCCAACATCCATCAAACTATTAAAAGGTGATTGTTAAAGAGTTAACACCACCTCTAGAGTATAATCTGACCCTTTCATTTTCAAACGACTTGTTAGACTACATTTGAATTTTATTCAGTAATTTTTAAATCACTGTAAATACCTACATTCTACAAAAAGTATGTCAGCAAATCTGTGTTCAGTAGGGACAACTTTGTACTGTTAATTTTAAAATATTAGATTGAATGGACTTATTAATTGGCTATTATAATATATAATGATAAGAACACTGTCTGTTATTATTTAATATTTAAATTTTCAAGCAAGATATAATATAAGCCACGGACAAAATATAATATAAGTATTATTATTTATTACATACTGTGATATCTCCACACATACGTATTAAATTATGTGTAAAATATTTTTAAAAAAAAATAATATCTATCAAACAGTTAATTTTTAAAATAAATTTAGTAAATGGCGTATTATATTACTCCAAATGATTAAAATTGTTCATATTAAATAAGGCTGAAAAGGGTAACAAATTGCATATACTAAATAAAAAATAAACATTTTGTGAATAAAATGATAATAAATTCAAAACATTTTTTATTTTAATAGCTTTAATTAAAATAATATTACAGCGTGTTATTTATATAGATTTATTTTATATTATTGGTAAATTGTTTATTAATAAAATAATACAAATTAACATTCAATATACTATTATTAATTATTTTAGTACAATAGCATTATTTATTTGAAGTATGATTGATGAGTTAAATCAGAGGAGTCCAACCCTTGATCTAATCCTGCTATGGATTTTAATATGGTTCTCACCTGAATTTCAAATCAATTAATTGTATATAATATTATGAGAAAAAAATTATTTTACAAATATAAATCTACAAAATATTATAAATTTAAAAAAATTTAAATATTAGACACTTAATAGTATACACTATTAAATGCAAGTTTTATCTTTATTGGGATCTGATAGTGATAAAGAAACTAATGTAACTAAAATTATAATACAATTATTTTAAAATTGTTTTCTTTTAATCATAAATAAATATATCTTTTCATTGTTATTATGAATAAAATATAATAGTTCATTAAAATTTTTTTTACTTATTATTCACTATAGTAAATTTATAAACAAAATGTATTATTAAAATGTATGTGGACCACAACAACTTCTACTTACATGATGTGGCCTAGTCTTTACAAAAGGTTGGACACCGATGAGTTAAACTGTTTATTAAATTTATCTTGCTAATATTATATATATATATATATAATGAATCTATACAATAATAATAATCATAATAAAAATAAAAAAGTAATATATATATACATGTATTTGTAATATATTTAATTACAGTGCTGGATAAATTACTAATTTTAAAGAAAAATAACTCAACTATTTTAACATTAAAGTATTAATATGTGATTATTTTCAATGTTGGATACAATGCTATTTTATTGGACATAAATATATTACTGAAATTATTATTGTAATGTAGAAATAAAAAATTGTATTTTTATTAACAATAATAAAGTTAATCTTTTCTTTTTAGTTAATTTATTAAGCTATTTACTCAATTACAATTTAATTATATTTACATTATATAAATAACAATTAAATTATTATGGTGTTATTAATAAATTTAAAAAAAATAATAGAAAAATTAACTGAATTACAGCAAATAGTAATTTGTTACTACCAAACACTAAATAGATAATATGATTATGTTAGACAAAGTACTTTTTTTTTTTTATTATTAAAACTCATTTTTGAAAGAATGGTTGTAAGTAGATAAGTGTAATAATAATTAACATTATAAACTGTAATATTGTATTGAATAAAATAGTATCTAATATAAATTTCTAAAAAATAATATTTAATAAAACTTAACACACACACAAACATAATATTATTTTATTATCAAAAATTAACAAAATGGAATAACTTCAATAAAATATTATAAGAATAAATTATATATTTAACTACCAGAGCCCCATACAATTGTCATTACAATAATGATTAATATTACAGCACAAATAACTAATAAATAGCAGCGCTTTTTTCTGAGCTTGTTCTAAAATCAAAAAAAAAGTTTTTTATACACTTATAAACATATAAATATAGGGATAATCTACTTACTGTATAATCTGTTGCTCTTCGTAGTTGACTAGTAGCTTCTTGAACTGATACATTAGTAATTTGAACATTAGCTTCAATATTGTCAATTGTTTCTCCTTGGTTATGAACTATTGTACCAAGTTCTTTAAATATTTGATTTACAAGACCTATATCACTCTAAATTATAAATATTATTAATTTTATAGAACTATAATTGAGATAGGAATTAGAATAATATAATAATATATTTATACTAACTTCAAGTTGTCTTATAGCTTGTTCTTGTTCAACAACTTGTAAATTTACTTCATCCAAAATTTGTAACTGAGCTTGATCATTTTGACTGTCAATTGAGTAACCTAAAGGAATATAATAAATTTATAATTGTTTAATATAAATATTTTTTTATATAATAATAATAGTACTTTTTTAATTAACAGATGAGCTATTAAGTCAAAGATAATAATTATTGCAAAATATAAATGCTAAATAACTGTTATTAATAAAAAAAGAGTTGGAGCAAAATTACTGGTAGAAAAATTTTCAAAAAAAAAAAAAATATTGTAATATTTTATAATATTAATATTTATTATATTTTTCGTAAATTTTCCAGTTTTTTTTTCGGTTTTTCACATTTGTTGAGAAAACTTAAGAAAATCGAAAAATGGTCTCTCTAAAGTACTTCCTCACATCAATTTTCTTTTAGAAAATGTGCTAAACGTAGATATCCGAGAAGTCTTCTGGTAAAAAAAAAAATAAATCTTTGTAAAACCATAAGCTTCATTGCTCCACTTAGAATCTAAAATGGAAACCCCACAAAATTCTAAAATGCTGTAGCATATAATATCAATACTACAAATTTGTATTTTCTATTAATGTTTTCAATATTTTAGTTAATTTTGTAATGGAATATAAATATTTTGTAAATTAATGAAAAACTAAAAACCAAACCTTTCTGATGATTGGAATTGGGTGGTGGAGGTAGTACTCCACTTGTTGCAGATGCTCGTGTACGTTTTCTTAATTCTGCATTTTCTTTATCATATGCTGTACGTTGAATTGATTGAAATGCATTTAAAGCAGATGTAAATGATTCAGCTAAACGTTCTTTTTGGATTTTTAATTGTCTCTGAGTAAAATGTATAATAAATTAAAGACATTTAAAAAAAAAAAAACCAGTTTGATAAATACTTGATCTGTTAGAGAAGAATATGATCGTATATCATTAAGCTCCTTCAAATTGTGACTAGTATCTTTAGAAAGCTGTTGTGTGTAATGTGATATTTGATGTCTAAAATTATTTAAGTATAGATTAATTAATTTTGTTACACATTGTAAAACAACACATTTACCTAAATAAAACAATAACTGTATTAACAATGAAACATGTGATTTGAATTTTGTAATTAGAATTAACAAATTATATTTATAATTAAATTATCACTAAATTGTATAACCTATTAATTGAACTTACAATAATTTTCTAACTTCTGTAGCATCTTGTACCGTATTTAATTGGTTTACCATTCTGGTCATAGATGATACTAAACAAATAAAATACCACAATTTGAATTAAAAGTAATATGTTCTTATTAAAAAATAATTATATTTTTAATAACCATAAAAATCACAATTTCAAATTAAAATTTGTATTTTAAGTTTGGTAAACATAATACAAGTTTTAAGTTGCTAATCAACTAAATTATATTTAACTTTACAATTATAAATGCAATGGAATAAGTAGTAATTATTTTTGATCATTAAAACTTTAACTGGTAATACAAATTAATTCTATACAATAAAATTCAGGTGACTGTGTTATCTCATTTTCCTATGCTGCTATATGGAAAAAACCAAAAACAGTCTCTATATCCTAAAATAGTTAGTAATATAATAACCACGAAGACTATAATATATTCAATTCTATTCTAGTCATCATGATAATAATCTTAGTCTCTATAATCTATATAATACTATAAATGCAAATGTGAGTCAGTTTAGCTACCAAACAAATTTTGATAAAAATTGACAGATGTAGCTCATCAATCAGGAATAGACATAAATATAGTTTTAGTTCATTATTTTTCCTTGACACGGGATCTCATATTTGAATTTTTTTTTTTAAATGGTTATTTATTAAAATTTGTTACTTCTGGTTTTTCTTGGTTATACAGTAAAAAACCAATTTGTATTTATTTATAGTTAAATTGCAGGATACTATTGTTATTAAATAACACAATTGCTCGCAGAACTGTATGTTTATTGTTTGTAGATAGCAACATAAAAATTATATCACACAAATAATAGGTACCTTTTTGTATTTAAGTATAAAATTAATTGATCATTAGAGATACAGGGAAATTTTATATAACTATAGATACAGACAAACAATATAATTATTTCCGTAATTTTATTTAGGTAGTACATAAAATGGTAATTGATTAATACAAAATAAATTGTATTATTAATTATTAATAATAATAGTATTATATGAATATTTATAAATAATTACTACATAATTAGGAATTCTTTTTAAATTCATATGTATTATTATTTTAGGTAAGTACCTATATTATTACAGAGATGGGTATTAAATTTAAATACAATGAGTTCATAGCTGAAAACGATTAGGAAACAAACCCACTATATGTATTTATTGATAAATTGTTACAAATAAATATAATTAAGTTATTAACAGAACAATAGAATATCAATAGAATAAAGAAATTAACAATAAACCTATTAATCAAATTTAAAATTCCAATAAAAATAAATACATATATTCTTACCATTTTGTGATATTTTCTGAATATTAGTGCCAATTAATTGGGCCAATTTTTGAAAGTCTTTTTCGCCTTCATTGCTCTGATATGAATTTCCATAAAGGCTGTCCATTATTATTAATACCTGATTATTAAATAATTACACTTAAAATTGAAACACACAATATATTGTGTATTTATAATGTTAATTTTCGGAATTTAAAGTACAAAACAAACTACGAGACACCCATAAAGTATAGATTCTTTATGACATGTTATTACTTAATACACATTACGTTATCTCAAAACTCGAACAAAAAGATTAAAAATTTATATTTTCATACAGTGCTGGTGTAAACTAAGAATATAAATTCCCACGAAATAATGCGCATTACAAGTTACACAGATCCTGAAGTTTTTTTAATATTTAAAAAAGAAATCTAATTATTGCCGGATAATTGATAAACTAGCATAAAGCCATAGAATAATTATTAGAACTTAGATAATATTATTATACTATGGAAGTAGCCCGACAGTCACCAACTACAGTATATTATCATATTGTTGCCGATATTAGCGACGTCTTCGAATTATGTGTTTGATGTGCGCATGCGGGATTCTATTCTTCACATAATTATCGATGAATAGATTATGACCACATAACAACTAGTGATGGGCGGAACCGACTAGTTTTGACTATCGATTATCAATCTACAGTTTAAAAAACAACATAGTGTTTTTAACTCGATAGTTTAAAAATAACCGAGTACTTTTTCAACTGAATAGGTAGTTTGAAACTATCGAGTAGTTCGATAGTTTTCACTCGGTAATACCCATCACAACCTATACATTTTTCTTATCTATGCCTATAAATTGATAATTGATACATAAATAATTTTTATTAAATTAAAAAATGCTAGTTTTAGAAAAATTAAATGAAATTAACTAAGCACCTACCTATCTACCTACATACGCATGTTATGTGTGCTAAAAAAAAATGCATGGGATGCATTTGCATATCTATTTATATGACTTGATTCTGAACTCTTTCTATTGACTATGAGAAATGTATGAAATGTGTATAAGAAACTCCTATATTTTTCTCATTTTAGTATTTTTTAGTTCCATTATTAATCCTTTATGTCCCATACAAGAATTTTATACATCCTACTTAAATTCCTTTACAGGTCCCATTTGTTTCTCATAATACAGTTTCATAATTCCAATATGAATAATTTTAATTCCATAATTGGTCCTGTTTGGATGTCAAAATAATACAAACTAATACTTCTTATTTTAATTCAACTCTATACTTTTAACTCATGATTCTCTTAATGGAAAAATTACAAATGACACAGTTACAATTAGAGCACTAGAAACAAAGGATACAAGTAAATAATAATAAATAATATTTATTACATATATTCCTATATTTTTAGTAAAATCAATTATGTTATTATTATCGTTACTATTAAGCTTTTCCCTGCTAAGACTGTCTTTGACAATTGACATAAAGGCCAACTATACAAATTGGTTCTTCATAAACTCTTTAGTAATATTTGGAAACATTTTTTAAAACATCTAAAGCATATAATTCATACGTAATTTAAATTAAATTAAATTTTTGATTTTTAATAGTTTATTTGTATTTAATAAGTATAAATATACGAGGATAAGTTAGACAAGACACGTATGGAGGTCAGAAGGAAATAAGGAATGATTGAATATTTAGGACAATAACCAAATGGAGACCCAACACTAAGAAACCTAGAGGACGGCCTAGATAAAGATGGGTTGATAGAATACAAGAAGACCTGAAACTTTTGAATGTAAAGATTGCAGAAGAATGTGCAAAAGATAGAAAGGGAGACAATTTGTTGTGATGATGGGCCTTAAAGGTTTGTAAAAGCCCAAAAGAAAAAATATAAATATATATGTTACGATTCATGTTATAAAATCGGTTAATGTTGTAATATTTATACTGTTGTTATGTGCTGTTAGTTTTAATACTAAAGTGTATGAGCCCATTATCAAACTTAAAGGTAAGAACAATCAATTTTTTATTGGTGTTTTAATTTTCAAGTGAGTTATAAACATGTGAAATATTACAATTTAAAGAATCTGGATTAAAAATTAAAATATCGAGAAAAAGCTTACGTACTAACACAAACAACTTGCTTAAGTACCCTTAAGTTAGTTAAAGGTAGGCCGATACACTCCAATATAAAACAAAACACCACAAAATAGGTTAAAGTAAAATTATAACAACATTAACCGTAACATATATATACATACTTATTTTATTCAGTTTTTCTCCCTAATTTATTCAATCATCCTTAAAATGTATGTGATAAAAATCAAAATTATATTAAAATAAAAGAAGAATAAGAGTATACTGGAAATCCTTCCAAAAACAGATTACAGGATCTGTCACTGCATTTGTTATAAAAGTATAAATTGTTTATTTTCACCTATAAGAAGTCCAAACACTTGTTTTTTCTTCAGGTTGTCTTTCTGCAGATAATCCAGTCTATGTGATTTTAGTTCAAAGTTCATTAAATAAAAGTTTTGTTAAAATAATTAGTATTGTGTTTAATATGTCAGCTCCATCATAAGTTAGTAATTTTGACCTTTGTAAATATTGATTATAACCAGGGCTCGAAAGTTAAATCACTGATTAAGTACATTTTTAGCACTTTAATATGCACTCAAAAACATCACAATACGAGTTATAAATAGCACTCTCAATTGGAAAATATACTAAATAAAAATGTGATCAATACGTATTTTTAATTTCAGTTATTTTTTAAAAATTAATTTTTATAATTTTAAATTTGCACATGTAACACATCTAAATGACGGGAACACTTTAATAAAATCATTTTGTATATTCATTATTTGGGTAATGATTATAAATTATAATGCTGTCCTGCTGTCCTACAAAAATTCGACAAAACTAAGAACTCAAGTACTCAGATAAGTGAGTATCTACGTCTGACATGATTTTAAAAATAACCAAACTATTGAAAACGAAAAGAATTGTCCAATGTGATCAGCGATAACAACCGAATATGTAGTATTTGAAAATCATGTTTGTTTCTATTTACTTTTCGCATATTCGTATTCGTATCTGTGTGTTTGAACCAAAATCTATTTTTTTTAATATAATCTTGTTTGTTTCCTTTTACATATAACAAATAATATACTTGTAAATATAGCACTTAAAACTCAAATTTAGCAAAATAGCACTAAAAACCACAAATATGCAAATATTAGTAAAATAAAATTTTGTTTATGATATCAAGGAAGTGTGATACAAATTTGTATCTTGCTCTAAATGTTCTAAAACTAACCAATGAAAATATGCATTTGCTAGAATTTCTGAGCCCTGATAATAACTATAACTTAAAAGATAATTTAAAATGTATCTAGCATATTATGCATATTAAAATACCTAACCTAACAATACTTCAGTTATTATTTGCAGATGAACTGTTTATTAAATTATTATGTAGGTAAATATACAGGTGTCCCTTGAAGATATACCCATTGGAATATCTCCGGAGATAATAAAGATAATCAAATTGTTTTATTTTTATATACTCACAGGGATAAGGACTACCAATATTTATATTTCAATTATTTTTTTATGTTTTGGTAATTTAAATTTAGGTGATAAATATAATTAACTCATAGCGTTTGAAATCGATTAAGACTGTTTCATATTTGTACGTTATGAATCCAAATGTATTGATGATGGATATTCTTAAGGTTCTTTTAGTAAATTAAGGTAACTAACATTCTTAGTAATGTAAGTAGGTAGGTAAGTAATGTTGATGTTTATTGTTTACCTATGTAATGCGTGTTTTTTACTAATTTTTGTTTTGAATTAATAAATAATTTCAGTAAAAATTAATTTTTTTTTTTTGGTAAAACTTAAAATATTAATAACAATTTGACAATTTGGATTTTTGAAGATATATTTAAAGGTAAACTTACCTTTACTTATTTATTTTTATATATTTATTATTTAACATAATTTGTTGTTATAGTATTGTAATTAAAGGATTATTTAAACTCCTATTACATTTAATTTTAAATTGTTCATTTTTCAGCAATAAGATGGGTAATAAGATCCATTATATATTTAAATGATGCAATTTCTTTATTGTATTTTATTTGTTTTACTGATAGTCCAGTGTAATTTAGTTTTGGTAAGTGGATATTTTAGATGTTTACAAATTCTGTTTACTGAGGTGTCATCACAAGCCAATTCAATAGAATGATTGTGTAGCTTTTGTTGAGTTTACAAGCCTTATACAGAGAGTACTTGAGCAACTATAATAAAGTAATATTGTTCATGTACTATTTAGATGGCATGGTCATTAATGGGAAAAGTTGTATTGTGATGATGAGTAACCTGAAAGGAGAGGAGTAGGTACTACGACGACTGCCATAAGTTAAATTGACACCAAAAATTTCTAAGAGTATTTTCTTGCCCAACAGATTCATTTGTGATCTTCTTGTTGGAGATGGACAAATCTATCCAGGAATTGGGAAGATCAAGACCTCAAGTGAATAGTAATTGCGTAGGCTGCCCTTTTCTGACAGAATCCAAGCCTTTAAGAATATTTTGTATAGTATTATTTAGATTTAAAAAAAACATTTTCAAACATAATAGTTTTAATTAACTGAAAGTACTAAGTGATTAAAAACGTGAAGGGAATGTTTGTTAAAAAAAAAAAAATTACACACAATGAATTTAAAATGTAGGTATTTTGGTGGATTTTTATTATTTTATATGTAGTAAAAACAGTGCAATTATAATAGATGGAATACATAAAAACATTCAGGTAGGTATCAGAGTTATCTATTATATTGGATGGGTATATTTCTTAGATACAATCGATTGAGTCCCTTTTGATTTTTTTACTATTTTTGAGTTTCGATTACATTCAGTTTTGACAAGTATACATATAATTGCTGTCATCACCAATTGTGAAGTGTGACCAGGAATATGGTGCAATGTACGTGCAATGTAAAATTCATAAATTGTTCAATATCGAAAAAAAAAACAATTATTTAGAACACAATCTATTTATTTACCATTATATCCAATGCAATGCTACGGATCTTACAGTATTATGTTCCGTTACTTTTATTTTAACTAGAATAGGGTTCATTATGAAATAATAGTATATTAGTTTCGCTCACTCACATCTCATCTCTGATGTATTAACGTAATATACTTTAAAAATGCATAGTAATAAAGTTAGTAAAAACTAAAATGGTTTATGTTTAAATTTAAATCAAGTATAAAACACCACAAAAGTAGTGATGACAGATGGACTTAAAAACAAATAGATACTTACTAGATAGATACCCTACTAACCTTATAAAGTTATAATATTAGATACACTGAAAACAAAGTGTATGAAAAACAGTATATAACAGATTATTTTAGTAAAAAGTAAATATTTATTATATTTTGATTATTATAACAATAACTTAGGTATGTATTATTTTAAATTTTAAATAATAATTTAGTATATTAAAAATAAATACAATTAGATAAAAACAAATTTTAATTGACATTTAGATTATATAATTAGTTAGCAATATTAGTTTTTCATTAACTATAAAATCAATGATAATATTTCACTTTTGTATGGTACTAATACATACTATACCATAGGTGCAAATAGGGGTGGGGTTTATCCCCCAAAACTTAGCCAAGCAACCTAAATTAAGTCCTTTTCAAGTGAATTCTAAGTGTACATAATCAATATAAGTATAATATGTACCTATATGATGGAGGCTTAAGACCACCCCTCACAAAAAAAAAAATATTTGGGTTATTTGTACCTAAGCATAAAGGTTTCAACTATCATTAACAATATTATAATTCTTACTTTATTAGTATATTATTATAATTAGGTAGGTATATGATATATTTTATTAAATATGTATAATCAATTATTTTTATAGGTTCACAATTTACTATAATTGTTGTATTTTACGTTTTCTGACAACTTTTTTATATGCTCTTTCCCATTTTGAACTCTCTTTGTCATCATCTGTACCAGGGGGATGAAGACGCATCTGAAATTTATATTGTATAAATTAAATGTAAAATAATATTATTAAATTAAATTACGACTCAAGTAATAAGTAATAACTATGAGTAATAAGCTAAAGATGAAGATAAAGTACATTGGCCAAAAGAAAATTATAGAATTGATTATATAGCATTAAATTTTGTACCCCTTATTTTCCAATATTGAAATTTTTTCAGTTGATTTTTCTAAATTAGTTTGAGTATATCTACATAAAAATAATATACACATAATTTTAAATCAATTGGTTAAATTTAACCTATAACCCAAAGTCCTCAAAGTTCAAAAATAGGTTTTCTTCAAAATATAATTTTTTAGTTCAGAGGATGCAACATCTACATCTACTGCTTCAGTCCAACTACCGAGTAACATGCAAAAACAATACACAGATGTAGTGAAACTAGCTTAATTTTGATTTTAGAGTAAAAGTATCTATTATGAAATTTATAAAGTAGAATATTTATGAGTGAACCTCAACCTGGGTTTTTGTATTATTACTAAATATACAGAATAAAGAAAACTGTGTAACACAAAAATTTATCAATTTATAAACATAAATACATGTATATATATATATATATATATATATATATATATACATGTTTATATATTTTTTTTACTGTCTTTTTGGAGGGTAAACTTTTGTAATTCATATTTTAAACATTTCGTAATAGATGCAACATTAGTTTAAATAAATTTTGATTTCTGTCAATCCGTTGATGAGATATTTGACTTCTAAATTTGGCTGGATTAAAGTAGTGGTACATTATTCAATCATAGTGCATTATACCGTGTCACCACACAAATGCAGTTCCACTACTCTCCTTCTACCTGAACTAAAATGTCAACACCAAAATTTATTTAAACTAATGCTCAATTAAATTTTTAATATAAGTTTCCATTTAATTTTCAAAAGTTAAACCCTTCCCCCTCAAAAAAAGACAGTAAAGAAAAAATTAAACAAATTATTTTAGATGCTTATAAATCCGAAAATTTTTATATTGTACATTTTTCTTTATTTTGTACATTTATGAGAGAAAATTGCTAGAACATAAAATTCTGATTGCCCTGTAAGGAATAGGTAATTTATTGTACCAATTCTATTATAGCTAGTACTTTTATTGTTATTTAAATTTAGTATTAGGTGTTGTGTGACAACTTGTAGTGTATACTGTTTTTGATATTCATTTGTTGAGCCTGTTCGATTAAAATCTTCTATTAATTTGATAGCTTGTTCTGCAGTAAAATCTACCATTAATTTGACAGCTTGTTCTGTAGTGTCTTTTACAACTTTTATTTTATGAATTATTTATTATTACCCATGTCTGCTCTTAATAATACTAGTTGATTATGATTAGAATAATTTTAATAAACTAAACAAATCCTGATCACTATTTTGTACATAGTTGTTAGTGCAATATGTTTACCGTGGTCTTTATATAGTCACTGTGTGTCAAAATATATTAATTGTTAAGGATTATATTTGTTTAAAAAGTAGTTTTTAACATTTTTTTTGTTTGTATTAAATTAAGACTTATTTATATGATTTATAACCTCATGTATACCGTTTGCATTTAATACTTTTTTCCAGTATCTAATATTATTATATCAAACGTTTTTTATTCATAATTCGGTTAAGCAAGCATTTAAAATTTGTAAATATATTTTAATAAATCACTTTTATATCCTAGCTGTCTGACTTATTACCTATACGGTATAGGTAATGAGCTATACCTATTAACTAATAAGCAATAAGCACAATAATATTGTTATAAAATAAAATATGTTATTAGCAAAACTTAAATCTATATCAGTAGGATTTTACAACCGCTTACATTAACAGAGCATTATTTTGTTAGGATTCTTATTTTAATCGTTATTTCCGAACAAATTATCCATCTGTTTCTTCGATAGTCTTTTCTGAAAGTTACAAATACATATTAATACATCAGTAATGGTTAAATTGCAGTTTTTCAGTTTAGGTAGATATCTAGTTAATCATGTTTAAAACCAAATTCTAAATGGTAAATACATGTTGTTATTATTATTATTAATATTAATGTATAAGTACCTACCTATACAATATACTATATAAATGAAATATAATTAATATTTACCTATCTGAAAATAACTGTTATTAATTAATTACTAATTATAGATGCTGGTTTAGATAAAGTTTAAACAAAATACTGATAATATTTGTATAATTTACCATAATTCTGTATTTCTCTTTGCAAGCATATTCAGTTTCATCAACGTCTTGAAAACAATCAGATTTGTAGTCTTCTGGCAAAGGTTTTCCATCAAATTCGCACAATTTTTTCAGTGGTCTTGAATGTACAAACAGTTTATCAAAACCTAGAATTTAAAAGTATGTATTTATATATTGACAAACATTAATATAAACAGTGATGTTAAACCCGGGGTACAGGTCGGGTGGCCATCTAATTAATATTTTTAGTGATGAGAAATATACATAGTATGAGTAGTGTTTGTACAAAATATAACTATATAAAATAATAAAGTAAAAACAAAATTATTAAATAGTTAATAGTCATAAGTATATTATGTTATATAGTATAATGATTGGGCTGATTTGCCTGAGTATTTTTAAATTACTGCAGCATCACTGAATATAATATAAATTATTATTAATAATAATTAATAGTTTCTTACCAAATTAATTTTAATTTTATAATATTACCTGTAGGTTTATTTAGTGGACAATAAAATACATTTGGCGTTTTTTTGTCATAAACAATTGATTTTCTCATCATATCACCAGCCAGCACTACGTTCTAAATACAGTATGTTTCTAATTAGTATAATTTGTAAACATTGAATTAAATAAGTATATGATTAGTTAAAATAAGTGCATTATATTATTAAAAAAAAAATAATTAAATAATTATAAACAAACATAATAAATTTATTTTACCAATATCAAAAACAAGACGAGCAGTTGACATATTGTTGAAAAATCTGAAAAATAATAATTTCAACTAATAAAGTATTAAATATCAATTTAAATAAAACAGTAGCTAGGTAATATGTTTACTGTACATATAGTTAGACTAAGTCCACAAGGGTTGCACATGAGACAGTGACAAATTAAATCTAGACTAAATTCAATTTAACATTTGTACATTTTTATATTTTTACATTGTTTTAAATTAGTCATATTTTTTCTGATAGGAATCATTAAAATTAGCCCTAAGTAAAAAAAAAAATATTTCATCGTAATCTCTGACAAGTGTACATAAAAATTCATGTGTCACAATGAAATTACAATTTTAGACCTGATAAATAAATAACCAAAAATAGCGATGAATACCTAATGATTATCTTTAGAAAAATCGAGTGACCCCTTATTAGATTCTAAATGGAGCGAAGAAGCTTATGGTTTTACAAAGATGTTTTTTTTTTCTGTGAACAACTTTTCAACTAGCAATTTTGCTCCAACTTTTAATGATAGCAATGTTTCTGAAAGGAAATTTTACTGGGGAGGTACTTTATATAGATTATTTTCCATTTCCCCTGTAGTTTTCTTAACAAATTTGAAAAACTGGAAAAATGTAGGAAAACCGGGGAAATCGGTACAACATTAAACAAATATTAATATAGACAATATATAGAGCCTATTTAATTATTTTACTATACTATGGCATATATATTGTTGACAAAGTATCACACTATCAATTGAACTCTGTTCAGAATCGATTTTTCGTTAGCATTGGTTTAATATTGCTCAAAGATGTACATTAAATTCTTGTCTTTATCTTACCTTTACAACCTACACCAGTGGATGCATCCTTCCCCATTATCTTACCTTTTTTTTAAAAAACTATAATTTTTTAAGTAATTCATTAGTGAAGTTTATTTTGTAAAGATATTTTACAATTAATGATACCGATAAAACCAAATTGACATTATTATTATCATCATAATTTATTTATTTTTTTAAAATTAAATTAGCATATAAAAATACATGCACTTAGGTTTTTAACTATTAGTATTATTATTTTGTTATCTAACCTAACCTTACCTTTAGTAGTAATTGGCCAAGTATTACGTTATTTAAGGTAACGATTAATCATCCCACTCGATAAAAGTTTGTATTATTTAAGTATGAGTTATTTTTAAAGTAAGTACTTAGGTTAAATTACTAAATCTCAACATTTTTCAAACAATACACATTAATCGAGAGTTAAAAGTCGATAAAACGAGTGATTAATCTTTGGTTTTTAAAAATTAACTCAGTTATTATACATTTTTATTGTACAAATTATGATGAAATAATCAACAATTTAAATTGAACAGATGAACATGATATTGATAAAATTAGTAAATCGTCGAATTGAATATATAATACACAATAACTGATATCTACTGTTTTTGTTTTGGTGGGAAATTGTAAATGTAGATTTATATGGTTTTATAGCAATGGTTTTCAAACTTTTTTTGACCACGGCACACTGTAACCTATTTTTCGTCATTATTAAACTTTTGCACAAAATGGATGAGTCATATTCAAATGAGATATAATCAAAAGAGTTACGACTTCATACTTAACGAATAGATCACTGTAACCAGTGGTCCGTCACAATTTAAAAAAAAAATTTCAAAAGATTGCGACACACTTAGTGATTGCTCGCGGACACAACAGTGGGCCGTAGTACTTTGTTTAAAAACCACTGCTTTATAGAGTAATTTAGTTTGAATTCTGAGTGCAACGGTAAATTACTACAAACGGGATTGTAACTATTCTATGTGAAGTTCGATTAACACGTTACGATAAATTTAAATAGAAAATTGTTTTATTGAACTTTATTGAATTTAAAATTATTCATACTTTGGCTCACTTTATAGTAAATTGTATAGTTATAGATTTGAACAGTGGCGTGGCGAACTCATATATTTTCAGAGGCAAATATATTTTTCGATACCCACCCACCCACAGGCCTATGACCCACCCACCGTCTACTATTTTTGAACACTAAACACTGGGTGTCTATCTCTTTTGAAAATTGCCTAATAAAAAACATTTATGAGAGGGGGCAGATTGCCTTTTGCAAACAATTTTAAAACCATAGAGATAATTATAAGATTAATCAAAATGACACGAAATGTGACAAAATTGTTTAAAAGATTACTGTTTCTTTAATAGGATTAAGTTGTACAACAATTAAAATATTAATAAAAATAAATTCTGCATTGAATGATCTGAGTCCTATGTGAACATGTCAATTACTTCATTACGATCAATTTCATCATTTTTTTCAGAGTTAATATAAGTAGACTTTTTAACCGATTTTGTCCAATAATTCACCGAAGCCTAAATTAAACTATAGTTTTAGCTGAAATCATTAGAGTGACATTATTATTTTTAGTAAAATTATATTTAAAAAAAAATAAACCGGGTTAATAAAAATATAAAATAATATTACCGTAATCTAAATTTACCACATGAAAATGCTATTAGTTTTTCGTTAGTGGTTCATAATTATGAAACTAAATTATTACCCACTCGCCCAGTAGCACCCACCACCCATTGAAAAAACTGAAAGGCGGCTGCCTCTCGATCAACCCCTTCGACACGCCACTGGATTTAAATATAAAACGTACAAAAAAAATTACAACAGAATCGCATACAATTTATTTTTAAGACACTCAGTGACGCTTAACTAATCTTTTGATCAGCTAAGAACATTTTACAATAAATCTTGTACATATATGTATACAGGGTTCGATTTTAAGTTAAGAAATCGGAACGTATAGGTACTTATTATTATTAATTGACAGCAGAGCACTTCTCAATAATTTTTAATAAAACAGAAAAATCTGAACTTTTACAAAACAGATAATTGTGATAACTTTAACTATACTGTGTTATTAAAATAATAAGCACGCTAGAACACAAAAGTAAAGTTGTCCCGTGCAAAATATTTTTAAGTTTATTACCATCGATTACGGGGAATAAAATGGTTAATGGCAATTAAAAATATTGCCTATATTTTATTCAATACGTTTAAATTGCGTATTATAGGTTCAGTAAAGTTGAATTAATTATAGATACCTACTAGAAAATTCAACATGACCATTTACTATGGCCATAGCCGGTATTTAAACATATTAAATCGTGATTTTATTCAACTAAATTTTCATTATTTTATTGTAAATTGAAATTTATCGATTAATAACGATATAACAATCGAACAAACTAGAAACATAGAATCCAGTTCATATTTATTATTTTAATATTTATATTAACAACCGTATTAAATATGAAATTAAGAATTTGTTATTTATATGCTATGCCTAACCTACCTAAAAAATACAGTTAGATTATTACAGCCATGCAGTTACAAAAATGTATTTCGTTTATTTTATTATAATTTTAAAAGTATTCATTTTTGAATTTTCCACCTAAATAGCTGTAATTATTTTTATTTTCACGCATACGTGTTCCGTAATGCCATAATTTGAAATTAACTACTGAAGTTAGCTGAGCTAGCTGTTTTATATTATCATGGATATCAAATAGGTAGAAAGGTAGGTACTGATGAATTTAAATAACTCCTGAACAATTTACCAAACTTCAGGCTTACTAACCGAACAAAAATTGATTTTTATGGTGTTATTTTTTTTGTATTGGTTCTTGTCGTTATAGAAGTTAAATTAAACTAAATATACTTGCATATATTTACTAAACTGTATATATAGGTTTGTATTATAATGTTATACATAGAGTCACAGTGATTAATTTTCCACATCACATATTAGCTTGAAATGTATAAACTTTTTTCAGAACTTTCTTAATGGGCTGCTATTTAAGATGCACGCAATTCTCGTATTGTACCTATAAATTATTAAGACTTATTTTTTTCATCTTTATGATTGATTTTGAAACGGTTACAACCACTTTATGATTTTTTAATAGCAACCTGAGAAATTTAATAAATGGATTATGTTATATTTGAAATTAATTTTATTGTTAAAATGTTTAATTCCCATCAACACGTGGGCGTAATTTATCACTTTGTAAAGTTTTTTTATTTTGAAAATTGAAGGGATTGGAGGTACACTATCCAGACGCTGTCCCACAATTACCAAAATCAAAAGTGGCTCATCTCGCCAACAGGCTGTTAGAAATTTAAATTTTAACACCAAAATTCAATTTATTTAAAACTTCCTCTATTTATGGAATTTCCAACATAGGTCATTTGAAAATCAAAAGGTATCAATATAATACAAGTTATAATATAAGGTCGTAAAGTTTGCCACTGTAATTAAATGTAGGTTATATTTATTTTATCTCTAAAATATTGGAAGGTACAAATATTATTGGTAATTAAATAAAAAGGTGAACTAAAATATCAAAATAATTTACCCATGTTTCTTCGATTTCAAATATTCCAATCATACGATTAATCTTTTAGTGAATAAAACACTAGAGACCGAACAAAAATTAACACAGTTTCATAATACACACACGGCAATACACTGAAAAAAGAATGTAAAAGTGTAGAGTAACGAGTAACCTTCTATGACATCACATGTAGGTACCTACCTACATCGCTGGCTATAAGAGTAACGTAGTGGGCGTTAACCCACGTTACCTGGCACAAGTAACAGGAAACCAGTTCTTTGAACAATACGTCAACAATGGAAAGGGAACATTCTAACTGATTCTTGGGTTCACTGATTTCATTGGACTATTACAATAATATAGGTAGCTACCTAGAATTAAATATAGGTTCTTAAGTCTTAAATAAAAACAGTACGTATTCACTTCTATAACGTTTTAACAGTTATAAAGTTGACTATTGTACAAAACAAATAATTAATGTGAATAGAAATAAAGAGTTCAAAGTAATTAATATTAATATTTTATAAACGAGGAACTGACGAATTTCGAATAAATTATACAATATTTTATCATAAAAATAAAATTATCTGTATAATATGAGTAGATACTATACTATTCTATAGATATTCCTAATAGATGTGTTATTAATTTGTCTAAGAGAAAAACTAATTTGACGAAGTTATTTTTGGGTGAATTTTTTGCACCTAATTTAGCATGTCAATTTATATTGTTATTTTATTATTTATTTCATCAAAACATTTTGAATAAATATTACAATGTGTAAACGTACTTAAACTATACTAATACAATGTTACATAATATAATTTATATTATTTATTTATATTAGGTCAAAATCTTCTACAAAATAATTTTAAATATATTTCATTTTTAATTAGTCTCTTGTATAATTTGTAATATAATAAGTGTTATACCTAATTATGGCATAGATTAAATATACTAATCTGTATTTAATTTATGGTAATAAATTAATAACAACTTTATCTGAAAAATAATTAGACGAGGATCATTCGTGTGAGCTACGCCATATATTTGCTCTACTGAATTTTTAGCATTCCAATATTTCACAAATTATTTAAAATCATTTTTTTTTTTACAAATCTTACATTTTGGAAGTAGCAAAGAAATATCTAAAGTTTTAATTATTCAATAATCTACTAATTATTTGAATATAAAAATATAAAATGTATTCATTTTAAGCTTATTCTTGAACTTATCCTTCGAAGACTCAGAAGTTCGAGTGAACAAATCAACCATTAGAGTTATTAACGGGTTCAAACTGTTTCCTGTGATTGTGGTTCCTCGCCATCTGTACCCGCTATAGGTTATCTTTTCAAAATTAAGGTCATGTCTAAATCTAAATGGCAATCAGAATAACATTTTCCAAAGATCAAATACAGGAAAAAAATCCCTCTAACTCAAAAAAATATCATCACCCATTTATTGGTTCTATTGGAATTCTATTCTATTGGTTTTACTAAATTGTGTTTTATTTGTTTCTGTCTGTAATCAACTTTTATACCAGAAAACTTACTCTGATATATCAAGTGTAGCACATTTTCTGAAAGGAAATTGTATCTATATAGTTATATAGTTGGTACATTAAATAGATAATTCTTTGATTTATCAAGGAGTTTTCCAAATAATTGAGAAAAACTGGTAACAAAATTACAGGTAAAACGGGAAATATTTACAGCATTCACGGCGTTATCGATTTTATTGTTTTTAATTTTTTGCAAACTATGTATTCTACCAAAAGTATTGCTCCAATATGAAAATAACAAAACACCTTTTTGGTTTAATTTTTAATCTAGTTGGTGAATAAATCATTTTTTTTTTCTCAATAATTAAACAAAATTAAAATTAAAAAAAACTTAGATGACGGGAAAATCCGCGAAAACAGTGATTTTACCTACTGTTTATCACAAGATGATGTTTCAATACATATCAGGTATTTCGTATACGAAATATACCTCCCCCGTCTGTGTGTCGCACCATCTATTATTATATTTTAACGAAATAATATTACTCGTACGCGATTTGTTACCCGTACGGAATATAATAGTCGTCTCAACCCTCGTCGCCTCCTCGTACCAGCATAATACGAAATTACAAATCGCGTACCTATACGAAATGTAATCGTTGGCGACAACGGACCCGCTACATTATGCGTATCGTTCCGAGAATCTAGAAAAAAAGGTGCATATTTATGTATATAGTCAGCAGCGTACACACAGTGTGTTTCTTGTATGCGATGACCCGTATGAGAAAATGTATTGTTCTCGATTTTCATGTTTACATGCACACATTCTTTCGCAAATCTACCCCGCCGATCACTACCCGAGGACGAAAAGAATGTACACAAATCCCTTCTGCGAACGTAAAGGTCGATTTTTGTAGGTATTGGATCGATAACAAACCGATCGTCAGTAGTGATTTTACTACAAACCAGTGCGCTCGTCTTTTCCAGTTCTCTCATCGTTTTCGTTTTGTGTTAAATCCAAACACGTTTTTTTTTTTCCCCCGTTTAATAATAAATACGTTCGGATGTACCTACGTCGGTTGCGGAAAAGATTTTAATGTCAAACGTAATATGACTCGCCACGCTCGATCGCACGAGGGTATTAAATTTCAATGCGCTCTGCGTTCGAAAATGTTTTCGCGTAAAGACAACCACGATATCCATGTTAAAATTGTTCATCACGGCGGAAGAGTCGGTCTACCGGTTACTGTCCCGCAAGCAGGTCCTTCGAATATTATCCCGCAAGCCGGCCTATCGAATGCCGGACCGTCTGACAAAGATATATGGGGGAGCGACTTTGAAAACAACGACGACGACAAGTTGCTTGCGGCACTTGACATGGATTTCGAAATGGAAAAAGGTAAGATTTCTTTTATTATGTCCCGCCACGTATCGAGAGGATTAGTTTTAATTTTTTTTTTCTAATTTTTGACAGGTAGGAAACTTAAGAAAGATGATACCGCTGCTAGAGTGAAAAAAGCTAGGCTAGCTCTAGTGAAAACACCGGGATTCATCGAAATCGATTCTTCTTTCAACCGCAAAATCGTATGGTACTACGCTAAAAATCTTACAAACATACAAAATTACAGACAATTTTTCTTATCGATCAAACCCGCTCTTATAGACCTACTAAAATCATTGGTACGAAATAATTCAATCAAATTTAATTTGAAACTCTAAGCCTCATATTACAAACCTCACGTCGATAATTCAGCCGAGAACAGAGCGTTCAAGACCTCAGCCAGGCAAATATTTTTCGATAGCGAAATAGAAGACATCGTAAAAGAAAAATTCACGAAATTAATATCCGAACAAGAAATTTATCATTATTACCACACTGTTATCATGGTTATATCTGCTGTTATCACAATTTATACTTATCGTTATACATTTATGGTTACTCTAATCAAGGTTATAGTATCACGATTATACCTACTGTTATTACAAGATATACCTAATACATATTTCGGTATACCTACTGTTATCACAAATTATACCTAATACATATATCGTTCAAATTTATCAGGGACGTGGTAGCGGTTTTTCGCTTCAGCATATAGACGGCCTTTTATTAGGTGTTTACGAATACCAGCCTACTTAGCGTTACCCAAAGACATACAAAATAAACGTGTAGTCATCAACCCACATAACATGGACAAAAGAGTGTTTTAAATGGGTAATATTAGCGAAGCATGTTACAGGAATAAACAGAGACCGCGTTGGTGGTTCAAATTATACCGAACACGAAAATAAATACAATTTCTCCGGGATAACGTTCCAACCCCGCTTTCAGACATAAACAAATTTGAAAAAAATAATTCGAACGTGTCCCTTTAAGCGGAAAAACGGTATACGAGTTACATACTGTATACATTTTGCTCTATTTTATACTACTGTTGTTTGCTAATGAAATTAATTTTGCTTAACAACCTGTATGCGAAATGTGTAATTTACAAATATATACCATGTATATGACCTTGGTATTAATTTTGATACAAAACTATTTTTGATATCCACTTAGAAATCATAAAAATAAAGCATTTAAAAAACTGCGCTTATTAAAGTGTACATGCAGTGGCTTTCAGGATGACACCTCTTTAAAATTATTATATTGCTCTTTGGTTCATTTACAATTGGAATAAGTTTTTCTTTTATGGCTTTTTAACTCTTCCGGTCAACTTCACAAGTTATCTAGAGTTTAAAACAACTTCCTTAGGTTTGTTTCATTTATAATTTTATTCATAATATTGTGTCAAAAGAATACCACATCTGCTATATGCGAGTGGATTTTTTAGCCATAAATTATTTGAAAAAATGTACTAAATTTCCTATTAAATAATTTAATTTATTGCCCTGAATTACTAGAATGTTTTTACATTAAAATAAACATGGTGGTATCACGAGATAAGTCTTTATTTTATTTAAAAAATACTGCAAGGAATTACCAAATAAATTCTCCATATAACGTATTAATAATAACTAAGTAATACTAAAAAAGATACAAATTTTTTCTTTTTCAACTCTAAATGGATTTCCATTGTTATTATAATTAGCAGTTTTTCGATTCATTTTCAAATTGTTTTATTTTTTGTTTTTCATATTCTATTAATACATTATATTATTATTGTAATATTTTAAGTACTTACAATTTATGTATAAATACTAAACTGTTTTGTTATATATTAAATTATTATAAATTGGAATACATTTCCATTAATAAAGATTATTATAATTATTAGTTATATTAAGTATGTTTTAATTTTGTATTTATTTTAAAATCTATCTTAAATCCTATGTTCTATTTTAATATGTTTTCGTAAGTAATCATATTTTTATTAAGAACTTTTTGTATCCCCCTACAGTATTAACTTAATGTTTTGCAAAAATAATAAATAATAATTAGGTACTATCATAAAAAATAATGATTGAGATCAGACAGGTATGAAAATTAATCAAAGTATTATTTGTAATGATACAATTGATGTATTGTCACCAAAAACATGGCTGACGTACGATAAGAGCTTGTCATATGGGCGTCACTACTCCCAACGTAAAACTCTAATAGTTTGGTATCTAGTATTCTAGAATGAATATCTATATTATACAGATGTGGTTTTCATTAAGTATGTTTTTTAACATTAAACTGTTTTATGCATTTAGATAACAATATAAACCAACAACTATTTAATATAACTATCAAAGCTTCTGATCTAGATGATTATAATTGTGATTTAAACATGAAATATCCTTTAATTGATGACACTTCAAACCAATCTTGAAATTATACAATAATTATGGTAAACTATTTGTAATAATAAAAATAAAAATTGGCTTTTTCAACAAGTACTGTCAAGTGAAATAAATTTAAACAATAATACATACACTAGAAATATTACAATCAATATTATCATACACAAATATTAATATTTAATTAATATTCTACAACAGTTTATTACAAATAAAAAATTAAAATATAAGTATCCGAAGAAACTAACATTTTAATTCATAAATATATATATTTTATATGAATTAGGCATTTGTGTAATGATAATTATAAAAGTACTCAATACTAATATAAAAATGTGATTAACTTCTATAAAAATCTTTAAGTTGTGAATCAATCGGTTTCAATATTACTTTATCTTTTAGATTCACAACCCACCCTGGTTCAAGGCCATAAAATATTTGTCTTTGATCTTTTCTAGTAACAAGCATTTCATAATCTGGATCATCTTCAATTTTAGGAAGAATATATCCATATTTTTGAGCTAAAACAAATCGTTCCCAAGATATTTTTTCAGGATCGGCCAAATAACCACGATTTGCTGCACTTGAATAATATAAAATGGAATCTTCAGGTGGGATCATTCGCCTTGGTATTGCTTCACCTAAAAGATATAATAAAATTAATTTTTAATAATGGAAAATATGATTTTTGTTACGCAGCGTCCTCACTAGCGCAATATTTATGTAAACCATTCAATAAACAACCAAAATGAAAATACAAACTCGCCATAATATGTTTATAACTTTGTTTTTCAATTTTGTTATTATCCTAGTGTTTTTATGATTATTATTATTTACACGTCAGTACACATTTCACATTGTACCATATACTAATGTTCATATAACATACACAAAAATATCTCTCAATATCAACTCATCAGAACAAAACTAGGTGACGAACAAAAAATGTTCGCGAATACTGTTTGCAAAATATTACCTGTAGCTTTAAAATATCTTCAACTTCACATAATAATCAAAAAGTATTTTCTGTAGTTTAGTATTTAATATTTATTATATTTAATTAAGATCATCAATAAAAAAAATATAAATTATCTTTTTGAATGGTAGAGTAAAACCCTTTAAATAAAGCTAGATATTTTAAATACTTGAAAAAAATTCAGAATAATTTACGAGGTGTAAATAAGTAAAATACAAACAAGTTTGCTTGGGTATAGAATAGATACCAAATTAGAAAAATACTAATTAAAAAAAAAATTGAAGTCTTTTATTTAAAAAATTGTCGATTCATTACAACTATCAAGATAGTTGATGAATATTAAAAATTTAATTTAATTGGTAAAACTAAGTTTTGTTTATTTTCTACACAGTGGCGGATGTAAAGTGCACTAAAATGTTGTTTATTAAATCTTATAGAAAATAAAAAAAAAATTTGAATTTGAAAGAGAAATTATTATATTTTACAAACCTCTTTTAAAGAACTTTTTGGGGTTTATTAGAATAAATAAACTGTTAATATCAAAAAATGATGTTGTTATAACACCTCCATTTTTTTCTATGGCTGCGATTGTAGGTTCATTGGCCCATTGCACTTCTATATTAATTTTTGCCTTGAATATATCTGCTCCCTAAAACGTTTTAAATATTTAATATTCATTCATCTTAATTAGTTACAAGTAATAATTTATTAATAAGAATACTAGATATTAATACTTTAATAGTAAAATAGAGCAGTACAAATTTATTTTAATTTCAGAAATTGAAAAAAAAAGAGCCAATACTGATGTGTGTGTGCCACTGTAGTAAGCGTAAAGTTAGGAAGATAGAATACATAAAGTTATTTAATTTATGTCTGGGAACAAATCTAGATCAGCATCCACACTATTTTTTTAGATTTTTTTTTCAAAATGTGTCGTTTTACGTGTACATTAAGAATATAAAAAAAAATCAAGGCAGACCAACTTCGTTTTGAAGTTATGAGGGAAAACTTCATAAAGTTCGGGTTTTCCAATTCGCGTATTTCTTAGTTAGAATTTAACATTTTAAATTTTTTTTTTTTTTAAATGTGTGTTTTTTTAATGCATTTGTATAAACCTTGAAAAATAAAATTGTTGGAATTTATCCAAAATGTGGTCAAAAATTAACATTTTTTATTATTATTATTTGTAATTATTGAGATTTTGATAATAGTTTTTTTTATTGAAGACTATTTGGCTTAGTTTTAGTGTTATAAACAGTTTTATAGACAGTTTTAATCGAAAATAACCTTTGATTTGTTGTGTGAAATTCCGTCAGGTAGCTGGAAGATTACAGGGAAAAGTGAAAAAGTATTTTGGGTGCACCTAGAAACCTGGCGGGATCATTCAGTCCCGCCAGGTCTTAATCATTATATAAACACACATTATCTATGATATATGGTATTAGTTTAATCCAATTTATCTAAATATAGCTTACTTCATCAATCAAATTTACTCCAAAGTGTTTGTCTTCTGGATTTATGTTGTATAAACCAGTGTTGCATAGTGCTGATAAATCAATAGGTTTTGTAATATCTAAGCGATTCAAATCAATCATTTTTTGTAAATTGTACAATGAAAGTGGTGGATATTGTCTTTTAACACTAAAAACATGTTTTAATTGTATGAGAATAGTTAACAACTATAAAACATAAACTAGAAAAAGAATATAACATACTTATGGTCCTTGTAATATTGTTCTCTAGGAAATTTCATATAAAATGGTGTATTTCCAGTTTCATAACCTGGTCTCATAAAATTTTGTCTAGCTTTTGATCCTTTATTACCATGACCATGTTTGTCACCTCCATGTTGGGCTCTTCCTCGTTTGTTCTATTAATTTTAACAATTTTTTTTTTATTTTAACCATTAAAATATTATAAATGTATGAATATTGTTAATATTATAGGTACAATAATATAAAATATAATTAAAATTTACATAAGAAGCTAAAATATTAGATTCAATTATAAATAATATTAAATGTTATCTTCTAATGTTATGTTTTTAATCTTAATTCAATTAACAAAAGAAATAAAACTTAGTTACTTTTTAAACAGTTAAAATAATTAAATTAAATAGACTTTCTATTTTGTATGTTAATTATAGGTACATATGTTTTTTAATGTTTTTATTCTACAATTATAAATGCATCAGAAAAATATTTTAAATTACTTTTTTTACAGCTCCATCATTATTCCGAAGATTAGATATTGTTAGTCTAGGTAAATTTTTTAATAAGTTTAAAACATTCTTATTTGTGAATGATGTCATTTTAACAAAATTTAAATAAATGTGTATTAATAATAAACTTTATTTTTTTTATATTTTTGTATTAGTTGTAATGTCAAAATCGTATTATTTAATATTTATGATTTTATGATTATGTATTATACTATTATACATAACCCAACATTTTAAAACTATCACGGTTGTAGATAGCAAATAGTATCAATGATAAGCACCGAAAGCCGAAAAACATCGATCTCCGGTAAAACTATTGAATTGCCAGAAGAAGTCAATTATTAAATACGATTTATTTTGTGTTATAGTAATGACTCATAATTATTATAAAATTCAACTACCCTCCAGTTGTACGCACTGATATTCATTTTAATACTCGTTGTTTTTAAATAATATAATATTGGTGTCAATAATTTTTTTTTTTTAGAAAACTGGATTCAATAAAACAAGTACAACACAATATGCAACCACGAATGGTCCACATTTCACAATTAATCCTTTTTTTTTTATAATTCGTGTTTCGTGTTTCGAACAAATGCTTATCATTGGTACTATCTATTGGTGCTATTTAAAACCGTGATAGTTTTAAAATTTTGGATTATGTTTAATATACATAATCATATCATCATCTATGTATATAATAGTATAATCTTAGATCATATATCCAGGGGCGTCTTCAGGTCAATTCCATGGGGGAGGCGAAGGATTTTTACTTTTGAATACCACCCCTTTGGTCAATAAAAACTTAAAACCGTTACGTCTGAGATTATTTCAACTTATATTATCTTAGAAGACTGCAGATATATAGTACAAATGCAGTAAAACAGTATTGATAAAAAGGTAAAAAAGTTGCTTACAGATTTAAAAAAATAATAATTAAAAGCATCACTGTAAAACCAATATATTCCTCGCTTCACCCAGAATCTAAAATGCACTTCGGCCGATGCATCAAACAAGTATTTAAAAAACCGATAAATGACTACGATAATGATCTATAGACTAAAAAACCGTACGGATGACAATGATTAAATGATAATTTATATATATAAATAAAATTTAAGTATGTCTGTAAACTTTTTTAAATATTATTATTATTGAGAGTATAGTTGTTTTGGGGATTTATTTCCAAGGATTTTTTTTCCGGAGATTTCTTTTTGGATTACCTTTCTAAACAATTAAGGTTATATGAAAAAATTACGCAGATAGGTATGCTTAATATGCACGTCTCTGAAATTAATGAGATAAAAAAAAAAAAATTAGAGTTTTTCCTTCCTTTCTGAACTTAGATTCTTCTACGATGTTCTTTCTGAACTTGCAATGTTATCTTGCATCCTTCAATTCAATCTAGGGAAACAATTCTAATACAAGCTCAATTGAAACGTGTAGGGCAATTAGGATTTTGGAAAGCTTGAAGGCTGATCTTGGGGAAAAAGAAAAAGAAGTCGCTAAGACCATTCAATGGTCAGTTCATAAAAGTTATGAAATATATACCAGATGAATTTTAAACTTAGAGAGTATGTGCAGTGGTGGATTTTCAACATTTTTGAGTGAGGTGTTCTGAAAAATAATAATATGTATTTCAAAGATATCTATTATTAGATGGGAGTACCTCTTTTTTAGATTACTTTTTTTAAAATTATATTGGTGTCTGTGGACGGGTCCAGAGTCCAGACCACCTGGACCCCCCCCCTCCCTTAAATTTGCCACTGATTATGTGTATGTCAAATTTCAGAAGATCTCTTGAGTTTCATCATGATCGGACGAATATAGTCAAGCTCAGAAATAGAAAAGGCTAGGAATGAAAATGTTAAATTAGTTTCATATTTGACTATTTGAATTATAATAAAATATGAATAAAATAAATACTACCTAAAGACCTTAGACCACAGAGTAATAGCGATGTAAATATGAAATAAATAATTATTATGATGACAAATAATTTTTAATCATGGTTTATCATGACACCGAAATGTGCCACATGTGTATGTGTGCGATAGCTGCTGATAATATGTGGATATTCCTTTATTACAATAAATACAAATATTTTCATCTCTTGCCCTTTGACCTTCAGCCTGCCCCACGGTTTTGTCTTTTGTTCGAAACGGACGACAATCGAGTGTTGTTGATGTTGATGTGTTTGTGTTATCGTCATCGCGATATCATTTTATTTTTCACTATCACATGACATAATAATAATAATAATATTGCAATGCGCTTAAACCAACATTAATGGCCTGTGCAAGACTCGTATTATTATCGAAGCAATAAAATTACTCGAATTACAATTTGTTCTGTCGTTTAACGTTCGTCGGCGGTTTTATTATCTTATCTGCAAAACTAAACACACAACATACAGTCCACTTCCACTGGAATTTGAAGGTAACTGGCAGTTTTGTGTTTTCAATAAATCGTTAATTACGTTTATAGACTATAATATAAGTATTTATATAATATTATATTCCCGCTCTTGTCTAATATAATGTCGATGGTTCGTGTTCTTGTTGTCGGTTTCCCGGTGCGAGACTCTATGTGTGCACAGAATATAAGTATCCCGGACGTTGATCATACAACAATAACGTGGATGACAACGAATTGGTGGACATGAGTACGTTTGGACAATTAAATATTCGCTCGTCCACTGATTATCGACAATATTAATATGTTTTAAAATTTAAATCCTATTAGGGTTTCATCTTTCATTTTAAGGGGTTTTAAATTTTTGCACTTTATCGTTCTTTTCAGATTTGGCAAGAACTATTATGTGTATTATATGTATATGTTATCTATATAATATGTATGCTCGTCTGTTTCAGCTTACGGACCCTTGTTTTACACCCAACGTCGCAGTAAAATGAGCGGCCAACATTTAGCTGACAGTACTTCTTCAGCGAGTACCGGCAATCATAGTCCCGTCGACACTAGATCACCTACGTCCGTTGCGAAGCAACATAGCTATGAACAGATTGACCATGCACACTTTTTGGCCAATGACATTGGCACTCTTTATCTAAATGACAGGTAAGACACGATAATGATTTATTTTTCTTGTGCAAAAATTAGGTAGGTAGGTATGTAACTATTTTTTATTCTGATTCAAGCCATTTTTTGTTTTCTTAGATATTTTTACAGTAGGTAAATGTTTCATTTTGAGACCTAGGACTTGATTCAAAGGTATGATTTACCTATGATAAATCAATCTATTTTCAGATTTTCTTATTTTATACTGTAAAATTTATTTCCATAATAACATTCTACAAATAAAATCATAATTCTAGTTTAACAACCTTTCGATTATTTTTTGAAATTGTGTGTTTTCATATTTATATTGTATGAATTCTGACTTCATTTGGTAAGTAGTGATGAGGGAAAGTTTTCAAAAAGTTAAGATTTTCTATAGCTACCTATCTAATGCAATTTTTTTCTACAATTATAATTATAATTTAACATTTTTATACTTATTTTTTCAATTATCAGTAATAAAATTATACATAAATTTGGTATTTTCCTTTCCCTACATCCTCCCTTTGAGAGATTAATTTTTGTACTTATTATTAAGGTACCTATATATACAAAAATAAAAAATGTAAATATTAAATTTTAATCATTTTTTTATGTATAAAAAAAATATGTACCTATTATACTAAAACCAAACTTTTTGAAGTTTTCTTTCATTTCTTCAAAATTATTCTTAATTATATTTAAATATTTTAGGCATTCTTACAATGTTACATTTTTACTATATTCTTACAATATAACCTACAAATCAATGGTGAATACATGTAATAAACCCAAAATAACAGGTACATTTTATATATTATAATATATGTGTATCTATTTACATATGGCTATTGTTTCAATGGTTTTTCTTTTGTTATTGATATTTCAATAAAATTCAGTCACCAAGATAATCAAATAAATCACACAACTAGAAAAATATAATGAAACATGACAAAATCAGCCGAACTGATTGTGTAAAATATCAATTATTCCTATTCCTATCGGTAGTGGATTTACTTGGGAGAGAATCAGAGATTTTAGACATCAAACACTGATATAATTTCAATAAAATAATGTCTTAAAAAGAGGCATACATTTATAGATAGCTTTTAAATACATATGATTTTTCAGGACCTCTTCCAGAAAAATGTTGAAAATTTGCTACTGATTCCTATACAATACAATTTATATTTTTGACATTCAAAATACTAAGCATATAGGTAAACCATAATGTATAAAGGCCAACATTAGGTATATTATTTTAATACAAACTAAATATTGTAGATCACATGCTAAAATGATAGTAACAGTATGTAGGTCACACACTGTAACAAAAATATTGCTATAGATCACATATTGTAAGAATGCCATATTAAACATTCAAAAATGTTGTTGAAAAAAAAAAATCAAAACGTTGCCAACATTGTTTTAAATCAAATTGTACCTAGGTAATTATTCAGTATTAAAATTTAAAATTAGAAAATGTTGTCTATTTGTATTTTAATAATATTTTATTAGTTGTAGGTTATTTTGAAATTAAAAATTTTATGTTATGATTAATAATTAATAATGAATTACTTTTAAAGTATAAAATTAATCTTTTTTAGATTTTTTTTTTTGTTGAATTCTGGGTCTAATTTGGTACAAGGGGAAACATGACTTATCTTATTTGTAAATTGAGGAGTTCCACCCAAAATTAGTTTCTGACTGCAATCATTTATCTCTGCTTTCAGTATCTATATAGCTTCCCGATAGTGGCTTACCTATAGTGGTAATATGTTGTCTTTTTAATTTATATTATGTTATTAGGATTTAAGCTCTTAAAATTTTAAGAATGTCATTAAAAAAAAAAGTACTTCACTGTACACAAATTAAGTAAACACAATTGAACTAAAAAAAAAAAAACAATATAGAGAGTAGTAGTGGAGCACTAATAAAATGTTGTGCGCTGAGCCACCACACAAATGATGCCCCACTACTCCTCTCCTTACTTAAATTTAAAAGTGAAATATCTAGTTAATGGTTTGTTAATGGAAATCATAAATGTTGACACTAAAATTTATCTAAAGTAATACGCATTCTATTTATGTAATTTTTAATATATGTAAATGTTGAGAAAAAATCTAAGTATTAGAAAATATCGGCTTTAGCTACACTTAAAAATTTAAAAAATCAGAATTAGAATATGAGTGAGTTATCCTGTATTTTAAAAATGTGATGGTGTAGTTATGATTATGAGAAATTACTGTTCATTTGTATATAATGAAGTTAACTTTATTGATACAAATTGTTAATATAACAAAAAATAAAAACATTACATTAGGCGACTCTATTTTTTGAATTGTATTAATCTACAGATCCCCAAATAGAAATGCTAATATATTTCTTGAGTAATTACATGACCTTATCTCTATTTAATCGATGAAAACCAAAGTAACAATATAATCTTCTGTTGTGATTATTGGACATTGATTTATTAAATAACGAGTAATTTATAAATAACTACACGAGCTTAATGCTATATTATGGCTATACTTCTTATATTATTTTACTAACACTTATTTGTGATATTGGAGAGTCGTGCAGTGACCACTTATTTATAAGGAAAATATGTAATTATAATATTGATGAGGCATTTATCTTGAACTCATCAATCACAGACCATTTTCCTATATTTTTACAAATAAATTATGTAACACCACTAAAATAATAAGTAACAGAAAAGAACTCACTTTGGCAAAAACATTTTCAAATTATTAATAAAAAAGAACAACAGAAAATATAATAACTTTATCAATGATAAACTTGAATCATATATCTATAAAATAAAATAAATAATAAATAAATCTCACAGTATTTCAATGTATAAAAAAATATCTTATATAAAACCTTAGATTACAAAAGGTATATTAAATAGTATAAAAAGAAGAGACTTATTATATGCACAGCCTAGAAAAAAGCCATATTACTTAAAAATACAGAAATAAATTAAATAGTGTTATAAAATCATAGACCATTAGGTCTCCTGACAACTTTCTCTAAAATATTTAAAAAGGTAGTTAAAATAAGATTGCTTAATTATTTAATTTTTATAAATAAACCTCGAAATACTATCAATACTATATACTATTTTAGCTTTATATTTTAATTAATATTTGATTACTAAATCATATAATTGTTTAATATTACTATATTATTATTATTATTATTAATATTCAATTGATTGATTTGTTTATGTTGTTTTGTTCTTCTAATTTTTCTTTTATAGAGTCGTTCGCCTATCAAAACAAGGATTTCATACTTAGTGATAGTCGATGAAATACAATTTTTAAATATTTGTAATTGTTTACAGTTTTTCAAATCAATAGTGCTAAATAAATAATAATTATTTAGTTGTTGTTATACAAGAAGTTTGACAGCAACAATCTATTAATTACATACATTTGACAGAAACATATAAAATATTTTATTTCCTCGTTTTATTTTTATTTACAGGAAATTATAATTACCTAGCCATAATTTTTACAATAGTAGCCTGAAATTGTTTATATATATATATATAAAAAAAACTGAATCAATTAAAAAAATCAATTTGTTTAAATAGGATAAATTTTTAACTATATTTTTTTGTTTTTCAGATTTTCCGATATTGTATTAGTAGTTAATGGTGAACGTTTTCATGCACACAGAGTGGTTTTGGCTTCAAGGAGTGATTATTTTAGGTAAATATAATACAGTACTATAGTCGCTATTGAATGTATTTATAAAAAAAGTATTTTTAATATTCATGTTAATTTGATGTTAACCTTGTTAACAGATATATTTTTCTTAAAAGTAAATCAGAAATAATTTGTTTAAATATATTTTTGTTATAACTAGAAACCAGTTTTTTAATTTAATACTCAGGAAACAGAAAAGTATAATTTAATATTGGAAATTAGGTTTGATTAAGTGGTTTGGTTATTACACAGGTTACTACTAAAGAATGTTATTATTGCCGAAGTGATGTTTTTTAGTGAATTACTAATGCTTGTATTTATCGCCCCAGTTTTAATATGTTAATCATACAGAGAAATTATGGTTTTTCATATTTCGCACAAAATGTTTTGTTCATTGTATGAACATAAAAAATTATAGATTGAACATTTGCATATTAAATAGAATTATTTTGGTATTAAAATTTATAAAATTATAAATTCTTTTCAATGAAAACAATGTATTATTCTGGTGCCAAAAATCAAAATTACATGTTACCATGGTTATTTCATATGACAATGAAATAAAATGAAATTGATATCAAAATAAAAATGTTATCTTCACGTTTATGAGTACCTATCATATTTAAGTGTGTCGTCATCATAGATAATACAATGTTCTATAAGTATTATCTTTTGTCGTCTTTGGTACAAAAAAGGTTGAGAACCACTGGTGTAGATCACTGTGTATCAATAAGTAAATAGGAAAATGTGATAATACCTACCATTTAATGAATGATGGAACCCGAGAGCTATTGGTGGCACCCCTAAGCTGTTAAAAAAAATTGCATGCCCAATTAAAAATAAAGAATAAAGTCTAATTATTAATTTGTTAGTTTTATAGAATTTATTACAAACATTTTTAAATATGTATTATATTAGTACAGGAATAAATGTAGACTAATAATCTTTAGTAATGTTTGTTCTAAAATCAAATTATTTATTAATAAAAATGGATTAAATTATTATGTAACTTTAAAATATTCTTAGGTATACATAATGTATAATGTATATATGAATGTTGTCCAGACCTTCGGATTTATTCAACTGGTTTTTTATTATTTTTATAATCTCAAACATATCTCCCAAATAGCGTCAATTATTCCGAACTGTTTTTATTTGCTGACGAATCAAAACTTTTAAGTGTCATAAATACAAATCAGAACGTAATTAACTTACAGAGTAATATTTATAACCTAGAGAAATGGTCTGTAAATAACTGCCTTGCTTTAAATATTGAGAAGTATGAATTCATGCCCTACACTTTAATAAAAACCCAATTAATTTTGATTATTCTATATCAGGAACAATTATTGAGTTGGTACATAATTTAAAAGATCTTGGGGTGATATTTAACTCTAAATTGAATTTATCCAACCACAATAAACAAATAATAAAGCAATGCGTAATTTAGGTTTCATTAAAAGAACATGTTATCATTCAATGATCCAACTGCCCTGAAAAAACTTTACTGCTTTCTTGGTTGTTCAAATCTCTAATATTGCCCTCTAATTTGGAATAATAATACAGTTAAACAGAACGGAATTATTGAGTCAGTACAGAATAATTTTTTACAATTCATTTCTCATCAATTCCTAGGCCTATTCAAGAGTTATACCATTATGTTCTTAGCTTTTTGAATTTATTTTCACTAAACAGCAGGTGTTAGATTTTACTCTCTAAATTTGTACATAACTTAATATTAGGTTATATTTATTGTGTTGAAAACCTTTCCCTGATCAGATTTAAATTAAATTCCATCAATACTTAGGATCCTAAATCTTTTTATCAAATGTTTTCTAGTAGGAACTATATCATGAATTGTCCCGCCAATCTTCTAATGACTACGGGTAATATATTTGTATTAGACTATTATTAGCGATTCTTGAGTTTAATATATTTAAATTATAAATCAAGATTAAAATGTATTTATTTTTAATACTTTTTTTCTGCCTTAGTTATTAGTATATTTTTAATTTAATTTGTAATTGCATTTTACATTGCTATATTGTAATAGAAATCACAGTCTGTATCTTTATATTCTTCTTGTATATTTGGAGTAAATAAATAAATATTAATAGTTTTACATTTTTTTTTTTTTAAAGTGAATACCTTATTTATTTTTAATGTGATATTTGATTCTATCTTTTCTTTACTAATTTTTAGTTATTGTATTGTAGCATGGAATGTATTAGTTTTAATTTTTTAATTTTTGTACAGGTTTAGTCCATTTATGGAAATAAAACTATTAGTTACTTTAAAAAAAAAACTTAAAATTGTTTATATAAGATTTAATTTTAAATTGTACTTATTCATAAAAAAAAAGAATTGATCATGATGCTATAATATATTTTGTAATTAAAAACTAATACAATTTTCAATTTAAATTTATCATAAAATTTATAACCGAACTTTTTTTTTTTAAATGTTTTATTGTAAGTTCATTTATGTACTGCTTAATGAAAAAAAAATATACAATTATATATATATATGTATTATTAATTAGTTTTCTTATTTTTAGAGCTTTATTGTATGGTGGCCTTAAAGAATCTCACCAATCTGAAGTGGAAATTAGTGATGCATCTGTAAATTCCTTTAAAAAACTTTTGGAATATATTTACTCAGGACGTATGAATTTAAGTATATTAAAGGTGGAATTGATTTTTATTAACTAAATTGTATAACAATGAGAACCTCATTTTGTGAACAGTAATTATTATTATTTTTTTAGGATGAAGTAATTTTAGAAATATTTAGTTTATCAAATTTATTTGGTTTTACTAATTTGGAACTTTCTTTATCCAAGTATTTACGTAGTAACATCAATGTGTATAATGTGTGCTCCATGTTTGCTGCAGCACGTTTATATCAACATAAAGCATTAGTTACTGAAACACTGAATTTTACCGACAATCATGCATTGGAAGTACTTCAATCTGAAGCTTTTCTATCCTTATCACCAGTGAGTTACCTTAAATAATAAACTTTGAAAGTTGTACAATATGATTATTGTTGAACAACATATTTTTTAGGAACTGCTTCAAGAAATCCTTAATAGAGACTCGCTGTACGCTTATGAGTTAGATATATTCCGTGCGGTTTGTCGTTGGATTAAAGCAAATCAAGATGACGAAGACCCTGAGGCTAAAATTAAAGTTTTGTCTGCTGTGAGGTATCCCTTGATGTCTTTGGATGAATTACTTTCTGTTGTCAGAGAATCACAACTTGTCAGTTCTGACAACATTTTAGATGCCATACAATTAAGAAATACACTACCATCACATAAACTAAAATTTCGCGGACAACTCAGTATGTACTAAATCTCATTTTTTTTTTTTTCTAATGATTTATCCAATTGTATTAATTACTAATGTATATTATTTAATTAAATAATTCTTAATATATTTTTATTTATTTTAGAACCCAATTTAAATATTGCTCACCCTTCACAAGGTGCTCGAGTACTGCAGGGAGAAATGCGTTCAGCATTATTGGAATCAGATTCAAATGGCCATGATCACGAACGAGGATGTACCAGACATCTCATTAATGAAAACGATGGTGGTATTATGATTAAGCTTGGTCATCCTTCAATTATTAATTATATGAAAATGCAACTATGGGATAAGGATCTCAGGTATAAGATAATATATATATTTTTTTTAAACGTAGAATATATTATAATTTATTATATTTTGTTTGTATTGAAGATCCTATTCCTATTACATTGAAGTGTCTATGGATCAGCATGATTGGGTACGTGTTATTGATCATTCAAATTATTATTGTCGTTCTATGCAACGTTTGTGGATATTTCCTAGAGTAGTACGATACATTCGTATTGTTGGAACAAATAATACAGTTAATAAATGTTTTCACACAGTTTCAATGGAAATAATGTACAATACTGAAGAAATCAATTTAATAAATATTGAAAAAGGATTAGTATGTAAGTGTAAAATTAAAATAATAATGTTAGAAATATGGGAAGCTTTGTAGAAACCTGCTGTAGGTAAATTCTATAACTCAATAAGATTTCTTAATGACAATGTTTGATAAACTATATATAACATTAAACAATAACAATAATAATATTTAATCTTATATTGTATTATAGTATATTAGTAAATTTAATTTGTATTTTCCCTAATACAGTAGTGTCTAATCCGCTGCCTAAAATAAAAAAAGAAATACAAAATATTTGCGCTTTTTTCTGTTGAACATTTTTAAATGGAAATTTTGCGATTTAATATTGAAGATCACCCGTACACTTTGAGAGCATACAGATCAAATTAATGTGTACACTGTATCAATCCTTAATTTTTTTAATAATCAACAAAAGATACGGAAACAAGTCCAATATGTACCAACAATCTACATGTATACTTACTTTGTATAACAAAATTATATAGGTATATTGTGTTATAGTTAAATGTTTAAAACAATATTGGGACGATAAACCTAATTGAGATTATTCATACTTTTTTATTTGGTAGCCCACTCAAAGTTAACTGTTTACCAAAGTGGCCTATCGAAGAAAAAAGATTGGGTATCATTGCCCTAACTTATTAGTAGGACATTATACTTGCATTTACTGTTTCAGTCTAACTACCGGGTAATATGTAAAAATAATGCTTACTCAGAACAAGTAAAACTAGCTTAATTTTGATTTTAGAGTAAAAATACCTATTATAAAATTTATAGAGAACAATATTTTTCAGGGATTTTTCTTAGATGATTTTGAATTATGAATTAATATAAAGTATATATTATTATAGTTATAGTTATTTAAAAAAAAAAAAAAGTTTTTGGTATCTTTTATGTATCGAGCTGTGTATTTCGAATAATACAAAATTCCAATGACATTCCCTCCAAAATATTGTCTTCTATAAATTTCATAATAAACACTTTTACTCTAAAATAAAAATCAAGCTGATTTTATTTAATCTGTGTTTTTGCATGTTACCCAGTAGTTGGACTGAGACAGTAGATGTAGGTATAACGTCCTCTTAAAAGTTGTTGTTAAGCTGTGTTATCGAGTTACAGACTTCACTTAGAAGTACTGGTGACATAGCGTTATAAATTGTTGATGGTCTCTGTTTGGTCTCCTAAGCTTTCGAGAAATACATATGTTTAAAGGGGTATGCATAAGCAACTGGTTAGTGAAAAATAGATAACAGTTTTCCTGAAAAGTGCTATGAGTTTCTCATATCTATAGTATTTCATAAAATTAAACATCATGTATACACTAATTGAAGCTCTAGGAATTACAATCATATTGTGATTCACTTGTATTATAATTGTAATAAAAGTTTCCAAATGCAAGTAACAAAATATTAATTTTAATATATATAAAAAAAAATTAACTTGTGATTTTGTATTCTAAGTATATTGTTAATGTGTACATTATATTTGACCACATTATTGATAATTATAATTAGTGCGTGTGTGTGCTATATACTAAATATATATGTATTTTAAATGTATTACAATTTTTTTATAATTTTAGCTCCAAAATACAATGTCGCTACTATGGCCATGAATGCTATTGTAATTGATGGAGTGAGTCGTTGTCGAAATTCACTCTTGGATGGAAATTGTAAAGATTATGACTGGGATTGTGGTTACACCTGCCATCAGTTAGGTTCTGGATGTATACTAGTTCAACTTGGACAACCATATATGCTTAGTTCAATGAGGTATGTTTTTTTTCATTTGATGGTTTTGATATTACAGTGGAGGTACATTTTTGAGGAGGCAATAATTTTGTACCATTTTAGACACATTGTTATGAATAACCCAGTCCATGAATACTTCATTTTATTTAATATTCATATTTTGTCTTTTAAAATAAGTCAGAGGCTGCTTCACTTTCATTCTCTTTTATAATTAATGTAACTAGTGAGTTATGATTTTGGACTACTATTTGGTATATATAATATACAATATATATTTATAATTTAAACAGAACTGATTTGCATAAACCTATAAAGTGTCTTTTTAGTTTTAAATTACAAATAATTTAATGTTTATAAAATGTATATGAGGAAAGTTATCATCAAAAAAATAAATACAAATAAATAGATGTATAAATTAAAATAATAAAAAATGACCTACAAATGTATGTAACTAAAATAAAAGTATAGTCATAAAAAAATACTAAAAATTGTAACAGTTTAGTTAATAATTGACTAGTGTTTTTCTAGTAACAAAATAATTATATAAAAACATAAAAAGGAATAATATTAAACTATCACAGTATCACACAGAAAACAGAATAATAATTATTAATCTTGGTTGTAGAATGTAGATATACAATTGTGATAGTAACTTATTCAGTGATAACAGTCATCTGCTCAGCTACGTGACTATGTGAGCTAATGGAAGCAATGGTTATGTGTAGTCTCCATCAAGAATTGCGCATGCGCATATTCATATTTTTCATGTACGTTTGTGTGTATACAATTGTGTAAATTTGTGCACACATTTAACATACTGGAGACAGAGGCTGCGGTTGTCTCCTAGGAAGCTTCCATCAATACGACACGCATGGAGGGATCTCTATTTTATATAGTATACAACTATAAACAATATTAACAATATTATATTTGCATATTGTGCACACCGCACGGGCAGTCTCTTACCTATGCGTACTGCACGGTTTTATTTAAGGACCAAGATCAAGCAGCAGGCTCGTTACATTTCTATAACCTCTCTCATACAAAAATTAAACACATTTTATTTATTAGGCTGTATTATTATTAAGGTACCCTGCTTCCCTTGCCTCCTCGGAAATATCACCACTGATAAAAACTGCGATAACTATCTATTGAGTTAAGCTTGAAGTACTTGCAAACAACTATTAATAGTTATGAGCTAAATTAAATTTATTTGATGTATCAACAACATTATCATAAAGGTCTTTGATTGTTGATGTTACCAAATGAACATGGTTGATTTTCCTTTATTTTTTAAATTTTCATTATATTAATTTTTTGATGATTAAAACAGAATGCTACTTTGGGATTGCGATGATCGCTATTATAGTTACTATATTGAAGTGTCAGTGAACATGTGTGATTGGGAATTAATTGTTGACAAATCTAAAGAGCTTGTTAGATCCTGGCAAGTATTGCAGTTCAGTTCACGACCTATTGTATTTATTCGTATTACTGGTACATTCAATTCAGCTAATGAAGTAAGTTTGTTTAACCAAGTAAAACTATAATTTATTATAACACTATTAAAATGTTTGAGGATATTTATTTTTATTTTTTACAGGTTTTTCATTGTGTTCATTTGGAGGCACCAGCACAAGTTCCATTAGAAGACACTACGATAATCAAAGTTGAACAAGAAATTACAAATATGCATATTTCAAAAAAATCAGTAAGTAAAATTCTAGTTCAAGTTGTAAGTAAGCACACATATTTAACATTAAAATGACAAAACAATTATTTCTTTTATATTTATGAAAAGTATTATGATCACTATAATTTATATTATAAACCATAATACACTATGAAGCATGAAGTTGGTTTTCTGCAGTCTGTAGGGAATAGCGCATTCCTCTTTGGTCATCTTGCTCAGTACTTGCACTGAGCATGTGCAAAGTATTAATCAGGTTATGCCATAAAAGTTTTTAGAAAATTGTATACATTGTTTTTAATACCTAATACCAATATTTTTGGTAGCAGTGAATGCTACATTATAATGCCATTAGGCTAGATCGTACTGCACAACTGCATTCCACCTGAATGTCCATCTATAAATGTACACAAATAGTTTTCCGAATAAAAGAAGCCTCTTTGTTGGATCACACTGACATAAATCTTGATTATTACAAGCACAATAAAATATTGGCTTGATAATAACTGTTAAATTTGTTTATTGACAATTGACCACTAGTCTGCCAAAATGATTGAATTAAAATATTATTAGCATACAAATATTAGATATATCTTACATTTAATGTAATAATTGTTACTGTACTTGTTTTTAGAACAATTATGATCCAAATGAGTCAGCAGATTCATCATCAGCAGTAGAAATTCCAGCAACTGCAGAGAGTGGACCATCTATTTGAATTTTTATATTTTACTACAGCGTTTGCTAATGTTCCTTTGTGTGTTTTCCATTATAGACTGACTGTTAAATCAAATTATTTATTTTTTTGAAATTTACAATATTAATTATTTGTTCATTCTTTACCTATATATTTTAGTTTTCCATTTTTCATAAAAATGTTGCTTATATTATCTACCAAATTATTATTATTACAATTATTTATTTTGTTTTTTCTCAGTGATTGCAGGTAAACTAAATTTTGTATTACGATTATATTATATTTGTTGATTGAAAATGATGATTATTTCTATTCTTATATTATAAATCCTACGTTATTAAAGTAATTTAATTTTTTTAAATATATACGAGTTACCCCTTTTACATAAAGTATACAGTATAACAACGAATATAATAATACATTATAGGTATTATGTAGACATTCTTATACAATAAATATAAATTACAAAAGTATAAATATTAATATAACTAAACATAAAACAAACCAACATCAAATGAAGGATTCTCATTGGCAAGTGACATAATGCGTCTTAGAGGCTCATTTTGTAAATAATTTGAGTTGGCGCTAGGAATATGGAAGATTCTTTGAAAAAGAGATGTATGGGAAGGGACTTCAAAATTGATTTGGGATAGCAAGGATGGAGAATCAATTTGGTTAGTTATCAAACCGCAAATAAATTTTAAATTTAATATTGTTTAGCAAGAGTAGGCAGGTAAAGTACTTCAATGATATTGGCATAATTGTGTGATAAATGGGGAATTCCTAATACAAATAAGTGAATCTCAAGAATCTTTGTTGAACACGTTCAAGTTGATTAGAGTCAGAAACAGTATAAGGACACCAGATTATTGATCTGTATTCTAAAATATTACGAACTAGAGCACAGTTTAAGGATTTAAGCGATTTCGCTAGTTTGAAGTCTGGATAAACGCATCATGAACCCTAAAACTTTAAACACTATTGGAAATCATTGAAACGTGAGGATTTGGACTTTGGGTTTTATACAATTTAAAATCAAGATCAACTACATTATCAATAACTTATACGATTTTCACACGTAAAATATAACAGTCAAAAAGTGTAGGAGTATGAGAATGAGTAAATGACATGACTTGACATTTAGAAGCATTAACTTTTAGACTTATTTTAGAACACCAATGAACAAAATAATCAAGAATATTTTGTAGATTTGCACAGTTATTGGTTGAGTTTATTTCCATAAAAAGCTTCATGTCTGTAAAACATAATAAATTACAAAAAGGAAAACCAATACGTACGTTATTGACAAATAATGAGAATAAAATCGGTGATAAATGTCCACCTTAGGGTACCCTAGAAGTTGCTGAAAACATGTTTGACTTAACACCATACAATTTTACCCATTGTTGCTTATTGGTTAAAAAAGAACCAAACCATGAAAGGAGAGGATTACCAAAACCAGATTAAACGAATCTAATGATAACTCTATAGTGTTTTGACTAAATCTATTAGGGAGCTATGTTTGTTGAAGTTATTATTCTGGAAAAAACAATTTGAGGCAAATGTCCCAGGAACACATGGAGTACGACAATGGGAAGACGAGAAGGTTAAACCAAACTCATTACAAACCCCATAAAACTTCAGGAAGGTTGTAATCTCCACAAAATATGTATGTATAATTAGGGTAAAGATTAAGAATATGTTCAACAGAATGCATATGAGATTGGTAGATAATGAGTGGAGATTGAGGATGGATATAAACACAATAAAGTAAAAAGTTAATTTTCCCGATGGAAAGACGAACAAAAATTTGCTCAACATTCGTTCAGGAACGTTAATAAAGTAAGATGGGATATCCTTCAGAACAGCAATGAGAACACCTCTTCCGAGGGTACAAGTGAGTAGTTAGAGCAGTGGTTCTCAACCGGGTTGACATGGATCCAATGTAGGGGTGACAAAAAATCCTTGGGGAAAAGTTTAAAAATATAGAATTTTTTTTCGAAAAAAATCGTATTATTATAACGCTAATCATGTGATTGCTACCACAGTCAAATAACGCAATAATTGTTTACACTAAACGGCACAGATACCTCAAAATTCTTATCTTTGTATTATTTATTTCTATTTATAGTTAACACTATAGATCCGATAAATACGCCCGTTCGACGTGCGATAACGCCACGTTATCTGAAACGGGACTTGGTCAGTTTTTCTACAGTGCGACTACGCACGACTATTATATACTTTACTGATTATTGTGAATTATTATTTCAAGCTATAAACACAAATAGTATAAAGTGTTTATTATTTCAGTTAAAATTGTAATTCTTCATTTTAAATTGTATTAAATACTATAAACTTTTTAAAGTATTTTTAGTATATATTTTATTATATTTAACCTTGACAGTGTTGTAGTTTTCGTTAGCGAGTGCAGGTAATAATAATTTATTTGTGAAAAATCGAAAATATTATTATTATTATTTTGCTATAAGTATGGATGGATTTATTACTCGGACCTCGAAACTGATTGAAAACTCACCATCAACTTCTGGAACGTCAAAACAGAGTGAAGACTCACTATCAACTTCCGGGACTTAAAAAATGAGTGGGAATTCACTATCAACTGCTCGGCCGTCAAAACAGAGTAAAGGTAAGTGTCTGTTGTACGATGAATCTTATATATCCATTGGTTTCACATGGTGTGGTCCAGAAGATGAACCTATTCCCGAGTGTATTATTTGTGGAAAAACATTTACCAACGAATCGATGGTGCCCAATAAATTAAACAGACATTTTATTAAAAAAACATTTTCACTTGAAGTGCAAAGATATTCACTATTTCAAAAGACTTTTAAGTAGCTAAAAAAAAGAAGCAATCAAGTTCACAAAAAAAGTTAAAATGTCTGAGAGGGCTCTTGAAGCTAGTTTTGTTGTTTCCCAAATGATTGCTAAAAACATGAAAGCGCATTTTATTGGAGAAAATTTAATCAAACCTGCGTGTGAGGAAATGGTGCGAATAATGATTGGAGATGAAACGGCTCTTGAAATAGATAAGATTTTATAGTTTATTCAATTATTATATAATATATATTATCAAAAATCTTAATTATTTTTTATAGCGCTTGTATTTTATATAACTATTATTTTGATGTTAGGGAGACGTATTGTTGGGTTACCGTGGATGAGGGTGACACGAATCCAAAAAGGTTGAGAACCACTGAGTTAGAGGTTAGGGGAGATCTATCACATCTAAAAACATTGTAATTATATAAGCCAAGCTCATTATCATAAATACCATTAGTTAGCCAAGTCTCAGACAAAATTATAAAAAGGTGGTTAAACGCAGCGGCATTACATATAAAATCGGATAATTTGGATCTGAGTTCTTGGCAGTTTTGATAAAATCCATGAATTGGCTGACTACTAAATGAATTTGAAATCTCGAGATTTGTTTTCCCATTCAACCTCCGATTATCAAGCTCAGCATGACAGGACCGTAACAAATTACGTTGAAGCAACGTTTTGTCGTTGACTATACGGAACCCAGTAGGATATAGAGCACCATTTTTCACCGAAACAAAGTCGGAAACCAATTTACTAGTAAACTCTTTGCTTCCGCTCAGAAGCTTGGGTGGACGAGTTTTGTCAGGATAAACTTTATCAAGGCGTATGATTTTTGAATTATCAGAAATATGAATACTATGAGGTTTAAGTAAAGTGCGAAAGGCAGAACTGTCGTCGGATATCCGTTGGATTGACGACGACGAGAACTCAGGTATACCATAGACAATTGCATTTAATGAGCGCCTTTCATGCTCTAAGCTTTCTTTTAATACCTGATTGATTACATGGGAACTGTGGTCATTTAAGAATTTCTAATTCATTGCGTAAAATTAGTATTTTCAGCCTTTAATTCAATTATTTGCGCAGATAGTTGCTTTATGTCATTTTTTAATTCATTGAATTGAGAGGTTTGGGTGCAGATAAAAATGTATTGCGAAAAGTTTCAAGAGCAGTTATTGTGTCACTGTTGGAAGGGAGTGCAGACGAATTAGCTTTTGTGATAATTTTATTTGAAGAAGTAATAGTATTATTAGGAGTAGTAGGTTTGGGTGCCATATTGAAAAAATAATAATCACTAAGCACACGGGGTATATGAGACCGGTAAAGTGTGAAGATTTCGGCACGCGATGTATACAGTGAGTGCTGCGCGACGTGGGTCTAACCGCTAATACGATAGTCACTGGTCGGCACGAGATAGCACGGTCGTACGACTTTTGTGCCGATGAAAATTAAAATAAACTTGCGTTTTTCCTATGAAACAGCATAAAATACACGACGGCCGTGTATTTAAACAGAGCTCACACAAACTGCCCTAATAGGAAAGATTTTGAGTAGACCGACTCAAAAGCGACACCGGTAAACGCGCGCACATTTTATAAAACTGCTCAAATAAAAACGGGAAAAACAACTAACACATACCGGAGTAATGTGTGTATTATTATTATTACTACTTTATTATATAAGTTCTGAAAATATGTATGTCGTATTGTTTTTAAAATAAATAATTATTTATATTAATTTGAAATAATATCAGGAGCGAATTGACCGGAGCGAAACTAGGGCGTGGCCGCAGGGCTATACTTTAGCTATATACTTATTTTATGTATACTAATTTTTTATCTTTAATACTTACCAATATTTACGTATTTTTCTCTGTTAATTGCCGTCAGGCGTAGAAATATATAAAAATTAAAAAAAAAAAAAAACCAAAAACGAGTAACGTGAATAAAAGAAAAAGAAAACGTGTTTAAGTGAAGCGCTAAGGGACGTGGCAGTGAATTTAATGATGATTTTATAAGAAAACACGTGGAAAAATTATACTGTGGAAAATGGGTGAACATTAAACGTGTAAAAATGAGTTTTGGTTCTGTCTGCACTCTGCGCAATACGCCACGAGTCTAAACCCATTTTATCAATAAAAATATTGAAAGTTCTTATAAATTGTACTAAATACTAGTAAATATACCAGAACATATTTAAATCAATTTTTACCGGGTGGTACTTCGGTAGAAAGAATTGTATGCATGCAGACGAACATAAAATCGGGGAAACCAAGGCAAGTCACGACGAATTCGACACGAGTGCTACTGTCGGTAATTCCAGTGTCCAAATATAAATCACAAATAATGCAATAAATAGTGGCTGGCCTAGTCATAACTCGTTAAGAATTATTGTGAAGACGATAACGGTCGACGGTTTCCGAAGAAACGAATTACATTGACCATTATCGTTTTTATACATCATAATAAATATGTTCATATCGGAAATATTGCACCGGCGCGCATGGCATACGGTCCCGTTCAAACAGTTTTTACGTTCATAATTCGATAAAATATTATTTTTCTTTTTTTTTTTTCTTCTCCTAATAATATATGATAAACCGTCCAAGAGCTCAAAATAGCACCGGCGACAGCGTATTTTGTCGACAACGAACAACCGCAAATGGCAATTGCGCTGCCGCGGGGGAAAATGTTCTTTTCATTTCTGTGTGTTTATCAAATGATCTCGGGCCGTTGCGAGAACGCCAGTGGCACTGATTAATTACCGTTCCGCGGTGACGCGAACACACACCGCTGGGCATTACCGACGGGCACTAGTACCGCGTGCACATACTTTGTACGCTAAAATACGCTCTGGCCCCGTGCTAAATCCGCCGAATGACGTCACGGGCCTATACCGGACAAAAAGTCAACAACAATCGTACCACGGTTGTTGTTTATACCGCGTTTCGGTCACGCTTCTTTCTTTCGGCCGGATCGTTCGCGGCCAAAATACGCAGCTAATATTTGTGTGCGCATACAGTGCGAGGTTTCGGGACTTGTTCGGGCGGCCGCGAGCGGTTCGCGGGGGAAATACAGATAACGTTTCGCTCGACCGCGTCCTGCGGGATTACCGCTACCTCCGCCGCCGCGCAAAGACCTCATATGGAAACCGTCGCGGTCCCGCCGATGTGCTGCGCCGGGGCCGAGGGTCGGACCCGGTGCTGTGGCAGGATGTCGGGGATCGGCGGCGGCGGCGGCGACGGCGGCGTGTATACAAACACTAAAGTCCCTTATCTAAGCTCTCTCCGGAATTCCCTTTTCTTATAGTCGTCCAAAAATCTCCTCGCGTCTACCCTTCGCCACCGGCCCACCGACGCCCGGCAACCGGCTCCGCACCGGGGCAGACGGCCGACGTTGAATGATGATTTTAACCCTCTTATCAGCTACTCATCCATTTCCCCCGCAAGTGTACCATCGCCGCCTCGCGTCCATATATTACACACACACACACACACACACACATACACACAGTTTTCCCGTTCCCTTCCCATAGATCCGCCCGCGGGCACTTTCTATATTATCACAAACGCCCCATCTCCTGCGCCTCCTCCGCGCTCGCGGCTTTTTAGATTTAATGTATCCACATAATGCGATGTCCCTTGCCTCATCTTCCTATGTATATATATATATATATATATAATATATAATATATTATATAATGTACGAGTAGATAATGCGGTCCCCTGCAAACGCGTATACCACCGTAAACGCCCACGCCGTGCCCGCTAATATAATACAGTCCCGAGTTTTACGCAACGCAGTGAAATCAATATGAATACGTGAACAATTTTTCGAAACGAATTTGATGTTTTTAAATTATTTTATTTAGTAAAAAAATGAGGAATTTGATGATTGTCACACTGTGCAAAATTCAAATGTCCCTGTATAATTAATATAGCTCCTTCAGTTATTGATGTATGTATTTTATATATTTGTATTATTGATGATTATAATCATGCGGTAAACGATTTATCGAAATTCATTAAAAATTAAACGGTGCAGTGTACACGAATCACGATTTCAACAAAAAATAATATAGGTTTTCATTTGGATTTGAAAAATTAGCTATAAAACGTCTTATTTTCTTTTAATGAATAAATATCAAATGTTAAAACCGATTAAATATACATGTGACAATATTATAGAGTTTGGTTGGTATTAGCCAATCTCGAGAACTGCAATTTTACCGTTATAGATCCGAAATTCTCGAAGAATGTTTAACGAATATTGTTTAACCATGAATTTAATCTATAAAGGGTGGTTGACACATGAATATTTGGTCTTATAATGCGAAATTGAATTTGCTTTTTCTAAGTGATTTCGATGATTTTGTTTTAAAAAAAACCATTTACAGTTCAGTGAGGTGGAGGATAGATTTAAAAGTGTGTTTGTTTAATGGTTTGTTGTTCTACAACAGTTTAATTATATTTTTATAAAATACGGATGATACACTTGGACTTTTAAAAATAAGAGGGTAGTCGTTGTCTACGTATTTTATCCTTAAATACAATCCCTAAAGAATGGTTTATGATCTTAAAAAAATACGAAAGTTGTATTTTATGTATTCATTCCTGAGTTACTTTGCAGGTCACACCCTTTGATGCCACGGTTTGTTGAGTTTGCACAGGCAATGTAACTTGGTAGCACCAGAGTTAGGTGGAATGTACCGGCCACATAATCCTATACTGTCTCACCAAGCAATGTCAGGAGCGCATAGTCATCTCATTTCTCGCTTTTCTGATAATGGGCTGTATGGACAGGACCCTCATCACATCGGTGACTTTGGTCCGAACAGTGCCGGCACTATATACAGCATAAACCAAGATGACCTGCCAATTGAAATAACTTTAGTTATTTTCAATATTTTTGATGTATATAAATATATTTTTTTAAACAATTAGTATGCCTCTGCGCTACAGTTTATACATGAACACTTTTTTTAGAGGGAGGGGGTCTTAAAATAAAAAATTTAAGTATTACTATAATTTTTTTTAAAAAAAAATTCATAAAAGCCATTTTATAAAATAGATTTTTAAAAAATGTTTGGTGGTTGAAACTTTTGTTAAAGTATGGTCTTTGATTTTTTTACGATTTTTTGAAGTTTTTGCAAATGTGAATATTACCTATTCCGGTTATTCCATTACAATATTTAATCAGTTATTAGTCAGGGCACGCGACAAGGATTTTCTTTTCCGTAAGTATTAATAATATGCAATAATACTATCATATAATGGGTATTACGGTCTCCGGGCGCGTGCCTAAAATCCATAGTCAGCATTTCGCCGTTCATTCCCCTCGCCTATGACTGTAGAACTAATGCCTCGCACTACCAGTGGGATAATGTACGTACCGTAACTTTTTAAATTTATCATCATCAGTAGCTCATTCACGGTGCGAAGTATGTCGATTATTTTAGATTTTTTGAGTAATGTATGGAGGATGACGTTATGTAGGTTACTTTTCATTCCTGAATTCAACTCCTAAAGCGCGTGCTAAACTCATACACGATTTTCGGCCTTATCTATAACAGAATATAATATATAATTGAATTTGTTAGGTTTTTTCGATTTCTGGGTTACGTTGGTTGGCGGATGAAAAAAAATATAATTGTTATTATTATTTAATCGTTATTTCTGGAGAAGGTCACGAGAAGAAGATTATTGAATTTGGTTGTTTATTTAATTTGTTGACCGAACAAGAAATGTTCGGATCCCTGTCGTAAGTTTTTATTTTAATAACGTCAGAAAATTATAATTGTTAAATATTAAGTATAGTTAGATTAGCAGGGGTGGGGTGACTCAAGTGGCGATCGCTGAATAGATTATTCTATTATTTCGGTGCCACTGTTTTTAATTTAGACCAATAAAATAAAAATATTTTAAAGTAATGTAAAATTTATTCTATACAGTATAGGTCTGTATAATATTATTCTTGACACCATTTCCACCCCTGTATTACCATATAGGTACTTCGTTGAGTTTACGTTATTGATCCGGATTACCTAGCGAGATATAAGGTTTTTTTAAATGTAAAGCAAAATTGGATTATTCGAATTGTACGTATACGTATCTACGAGTATATTATACATGCAAGTGTATTACCCGTAGCCGTTCAATTATTAAACCTATGATTTTCGAGCAATCCTGAATAGAGTATACATAATAGGACCGTAAACAAGTTTACTAAACATAATCTCGAACGTAAACATTTTTAATGTAAAAACTTGTAGGAAACATCTAATTTTTGTATACAATAAAAAAAAAATTAAACAACAGCCTCTGGGCTCACACGATAACTACGAATGTATTAAACCTTTCACATTCCTTAGTGCAACAAACAAGTGGTAGATAAGTAATATAATAAAAAAAAAGACGGACGTACTTCGCACGTGGGTGCAGCAACTGTTGTAGATGGGAAGTTGGGAAGGTAGGTTACAAAAGGGAATTTAATGTATATCTAGACCAAGTAACGATAAACTATCGCTAACGAAAAGCCGATTCCGAAAAGCCGGAGTAATGCTTTGTCGACAATATATATGTCATATTATGGTAAAATAATTAAATAGGCATTATATATTTTCTGTAATTATATTTGTTCAATATTGTACCAATTTTCCCGTTTTTCCTAAGTTTTTCCCGGTTTTCCTCATTTGTTGAGAAAACTCCTGGGAAAATCGAAACATGACTTTTTTTAAGTATCTGCCCAGTCAGATTTAATTTTAGAAAAAGTGCTATAATTGGAAATCAAAGCTAAATTGCTGGTAGAAAAGTTGTTCATAGAAAACAAAAAAAAAGTAATATTTTACTAATATATTTTGTACATTTTCCCGTTCTTTTCAGTTTTTCACATTTGATGAGAAAACCCCCGAGACCATCGAAAAATGACCGCCCTAAAGTACCACCCTAAGAAAATTGCCTTTCTTTAAAGGGTCTATATCGTATATATCAGAGTAAGCTTCCTGATAGAAAAAGAGTTCACATATAAAATAAAATAAAAATAAACATCATTGTGAAACCAATATATTCTTCGCTAAACTCAAAATCTAAAAACACTGGCGATATTATATAAATTATAATATGTTATTCTATGCCCTACTTATGTGTAACCAGTATTTGACCTATACTCTAAATGCAAACATTTTGAATTAATCGCCCAATGAAAAAATAAAACAACACTTGCAAAGTGTGCGTCGAAAATAATATTTAATTATATTTCAGCATTTTTTTTTTTATTATCTAAATTATTTTGAACTCATGGAATTACGTTCATTGTGTTTTTCTCAATTACCATTTGTATCGTTAAAAATCTAAACTGGGGATATTAAAAACTATTAATTTTTTTTCTTGTTTGAAAAATGCAATTTAAAGTATAATAATTTATTATTGATAAACAATTTGATAGATTAAAAATGAGATTTTATCCTATTTGTTTTTGTTTAATTTTAAAATAATACACAATTCTTACATATTTTTAATTAAAGATACGGATCATATAGACGTAACAGAAGCGCGAATCAGCACGGTCGTTTTGGCGACATTTTTGTTAAAACGATTGAGACCCATATATTTTACACCCTGACTAAATACCCTTTACATCGGATTTTTAATCTTAATTTATCTGAACCCATCGTGGTGTTTTTTACCAAATAGGTTTTAGGTTTCCAATTAGGAGAGTAAATTCTTTTGAACAGTATTAGGTTCGACAAACAGGAATATCTCTCTCTCTCTCTCTCTCTCTCTTAAAAAAAGCTAATATTGAGGACGCGTGTATCACTGTTGTAGATGAAAGTTAGGAAGGTAAGATAGGTATATAAAGTTATTTAATTTATATCTCTAAGCAACGATCAACTTTCTAACGAAAAACAATTCTAAGCGAAGTTCGGTTATAAATGTTTTAGAATACCGTAATTTTTATAATTTAAACTCAAAACTCTTATAAAAAAAAAAAAAAAAACTACTACATGACACTCACATAATGTACTCCTATTAATTGGTTATGCTCCTATTAATTTGTCAAGTATTTCTGTTTGGTTAAACAATTTTATTTACATATAGTACCTACCTAAATTTACGCACAAAACTTGAAGAGTTAAAATATTTATA